CCCCCCTCCTTTCTCTCCCTCCCCCCCCCCCCCCCCCCCCCCCCCCCCCCCCCCCCCCCCCCCCCTCTCTCTCTCTCTCTCTCCCCCCCCCCCCCCCCCCCCCCCTCTCTCTCTCTCTCTCTCTTTTTTTTTTGATTCTCTCTCTCTCTCTCTCTCTCTCCCCCCCCCCCCCCCCTCTCTCTCTCTCTCTCTCTCCCCCCCCCCCCCCCCCCCCCCCCCCCCCCCCCCCCCCCCCGAGTGGGGGAAACTTTTTTTTTTTTTTTTTTTTTTTTGGTTACGCTCACACAAGATTACATCGGCTGAGCTACATCGAGCGTGCTTTATGTCCAGAGTGATGTAATCTCTCTTTGACCGCAGCTCAGTCAAATCGGCTCGGATCAACCTACTTTAATCATGGAAATGAATGTCTGGAGCAGGGGCATCGTTCCCATCCAGTGGATCTCGCAACAATGATGATTGGATAAAAGTGGCCGTTAGCTAGCAATACGTGCCTGTTCCTAGATGATCCATAAAGTAATTATACATTGACCCTTTCATTCATGCAAACGTAGCTGTGTTACACAACACGACCCTCTACATCTTTTGCTCTGCCAGGGTCCACCTACTTGACAATGAACAAAGACCACTCTTCATATAGCATCACGCTTACAAACATAAAGGTGCCTGTATCTCCAAACTTTACAATGAAACGTGGGGTTTTGACCAGAGCAATGGGCTCGGCTTGGCCAACTGCACCTTGTGTGAAAGTTTCACGTTCAACGTCGCAACTAGCCCGAAAAATATTTTTTTGGTCGTCGTTGTCGAAGAGGTCGACCCCCAGATCCAGTTTGGCTGGTGGCGACATTGCGAAATCTGGGATTGGCAAGCTTGATCGTGAAACTTACACCCAAGGTGCAGTTGGCCAGGCCGAGCACATTGCTCTATTCAAAACCCCACGTTTCATTGTAAAGTTTGGAGATACAGGAACCTTTATGTTTTATATATGTTGTAAGGGTGATGCTATATGAGAAGTGGTCTTTGTGCATTATCAACCGTCCTTACTCATGCTAGAGCCATAGCCAATAGATGTGCAGGGACGCGTTTGTGTAACTAGGCTAGACTTGAAGGGTCGATCCTATTGGTGGAGGTATGCATGATTGACCCTTCCCCTGCCTCCCTATAGTAAGGTCCGCCCATAATGGCCGTATCGAATGATTCTTCCTTATATGAGGATGCACGGGATAGCGTTAGCTGAGATCTGTCATAGATACGTAAGCATGGATAGTTAATGTGCTTGTAGAATGTCGTATAACAGCTCATTCTTTCTTGGAAGAATAATGCATTAAGCTCACAATGAATACCATGCTCCGTAACGAGTAAATGTTGGGCATCATCACTCTCAAGTTAAGTTATCTTTGCAATACAATCGTTAGAAAGCTGCCACTGCATTTTGTATTTTAACAGCATGTGAACTAGAAAGCTTCAGTGAAGTCATAAAATGTTGTGGCAAAGGAACAAAAGCATCGCGATACAACGATGTCAATGATCCAACCTCACTTTATAACCTTTCATTTCTATTCCCTCTTTCAAACCAGAAACCGACCAAGTGATCCACATCTTGCCTATATGAGCTGATAGCATGATACCCCAAGTATTATGTTCAATCCAATTTTCATTCAATGACAAAGTTGAAGAATAGTCTACAGTAGTATGGGTGGGTGTCTATCAAGTAAATCTGATAAAGGAACAACATTGCAAAGATACGAGGGATGAATCACATAGAGGCCACAGGGATAATTGTGTCATTGCATTCTTGGGTTGCTGCCGCCATAATCATCCTTCCTTCATCCATGCCTGCAAAGTAGCTGCTGCATGCATTGACTTGGGTATTTCAAATACCATCCATGGCTGCAAATCACCTTTTCAAAGATAAAAGCCCTCTCATCAATGTCATCCAATCCACCATCATCCTCAGCCGTATCCACATGATATGATCCCTCATCCCTGCTGACGACGCGCCAAGTAATCACCACAATTCTCATTACAGCACTTGATTGCATCCATCCATCATAGCCATTGCAAATCCAATTGTTGCTTGAAATGAGCCATTGTGATCGCTTCCTTTTCCATCCGGCTGTGTTCCATCCCTTTCTTGGTCGTTCCCCATTGCTGCTCAACCAGGTGAAAATTGCTTGTATTGCGGCATACTTGATTGCTGATATGGCATCATCCGTTGTAATCCGTATGTATCGAAACAAGTTGCTGCACGTAAATAACGCTGCTTGAATACGATGGCCATCTGCTGTTCGTGTAAAAGAAGGATGCTGCAAGCAAAGAATGCTGTTCGAGACAATGAAACAAAAGTCTTGATAATAGCAGTAGCAGCTGTTACGTTTGGCCGTGGAAGAGAGCGCGTGTTGTAGTAGAATGACAAGGTTGTGAACGCTGTTTGAGACAATGGATTAAAGACCTTGCTAATGGCAGCTGCTGTTACGATTGGTCGTGGTACAGGAGTGTACAAGAGAAGGTGTAGTTCAAGAGGAGGCTCGTGTGTTGTAGTGGAGTGCACACGCCATGGACTTGCCCATTCAGTCAAACACAATGGGATCAAGACCATCGTAGGATTGACATGATGGGTTGAAGCAGGACAATCGTTGCAGGTGGTAGTTGTATACTTGAATGGGGCAACAGTTGAGATAGGGAGGAAGAGATAATGAGTTGCGAGTGGAAGAAGTGGAAATTGAATAGGGCGGACACCTCTTGTATAAATGCATAAACACTATACATCCAAACCTTGATATTGAGATTGCCCCTCTCGAACCTGAAACTTTCACACAAGGTGCTCTTGGACATGCTGATCACGTTGATCTAAAAAAGAGCCCATGCTTCATTATAAAAATTGGAATGGGAGGGTATAATGTGGCATGAATGATAAATTGTAAAAAAGTTCATGCGTGAAGCGACCCCACTTGTCATGCGTTTTCCATCACTCATCCTGGAAATCCTATATCACCATAATATCAATCTTCCTCATGTTAAATGAACTTGTTTACTAATGATGGGGCAATAAATAGAGATGCATAGATGATCTATTATAAAGGAAGCTACTTGTGTTGTGTGTCATTGGTAGTGGCAGTAGAGAAGTTCTTATAAATGTCTTCTATAGCTGGAAACTTTTGCTCAAAGTCTGACAAGGAGGGTTGACGTTGTAAGCGTTGTTCTGATCGAGCTGGCTTTGTTGGTGGAGCGAGATGTTGACTATCGGCTGGTGTAGTAGATGAAGGGGAGGAGGATGAGACTGGTTGTTTGGATGCACGTAGACGAGCAGGTTTGGGTGGTGGAGGTGGTTTGGTTGATGTTGAACGTGTTGGAATAATGGGAGGAGAAGGAGATGCTTGAGGAGGTGGAGCCGATGTTGCCATTGGAGGTGGCGTTGATGATAATAAAGGCGATACGCCACTACCACCATTGGATACCTTTTCCTCAATCTTTCCCGTGCTGCTTGGTGTATTGGGTCGTTCGACGCTCATCTTTAGTCGTTGTAGCCTTGCTTCAATATCAGATGCTACCCCATTCCTCAATTTCAAATCCTCATCATCTTGTCCTGTCGTTGTTGCTGTTGCCACTTTGGGTGTTGATACAGCATTACTGTTGTTGTCATTGCGTGTGGATGATTCGGAGGCATTGCTGACAGACCGGCTGTGATGGCCACCACCACCATTTTCTTCTTTTTTCGTTGGTAGAAAATCTGATTCAAATGCTAACATGCTGTTCCTTGCTTTGTTGCTATTTTGATCATCGCTGCCTGTCAATTGATTCTTTGCTTGTATTCCAAAAGCATCGTCAATGTCGGTTTCTTTGACTGGTTCATTCGCTTGCGAAGGACTGAAAGGATCAAATTGATTGATGTTTTGTGATGGAGTCTTTGAATGTCGATTAGGTCGTCCACGTCGCATAGGTGTAATTTCAGGTAGCTGATGCGGTTGCGGAGGAAGTTTCTCAAAGATAGAAGAAGGAGAATCGGATGCACTACTGGTTGCCGTGGTAACAGTGTGTTGCACAGGAGAGCTACGCGATGATAACGTTGGCTGAGAAGTGTATGAAGGAGCTTCTTGATAAATCTACATAGCTTCCATAAGCATCTTGATCCATATCACCTATTGTTATTCATACTTACATTTCGAATGGGACATTCTACTCCTCTGAGCTGGCTGACAGCTTTTACCACCTGATAGATATTGGGTCGCTGGCTTTGATTCTCTTGTAACATTGACATGATCAATCTCTTGACTCCATCTGAAAAATGTGGCTGCGTAGGGATCGAGTATCTCGCATTCAAGATTGCAAGTTGGCCTTGCTCTTCAAAGGGCGTGGTATAATAGCAAAGCTTATACAAAAGCACACCTAGTGCCTTTAGACATGATCATTAGTATCCCATATATCCCATCGCTCAAAGTAACCCATTGCTTACCCATATATCTGCCTTTTCATTGATAGGTTTCTTTTGGTATATATCAATCATCTCAGGTGCGCGGTATTGAAGTGTAGTATGGCGTTGGATATCATCCTCAACAGCTTGGATCTCTTGGAGGGAAGTAGGCACATATGGACCTTTGGATAGGGATGCAGAGCCGAAATCGCAGAGCTTGTAATGGTTTTGAGAGAGGATCAGGATATTCTCCACCTAATAATCCAATCAAAGAAGGGTGAGTAATCACAAACTTGAGTTCTTTTGTCTCTATTGTACCTTGAGATCTCTATGCAGCACAGGGGGATTGCAATAATGAAGGTACGCCAAAGCCTGAAACAGAGCACCAGTGAGTATTAAAAGTAGACACAATAAGTGAAAAAGCTTGCATTACCTCGCACACATCACCGAAAATCTTGAGGATCTCGGGTTCAGTCAAGCGTTGCTGCAACCGTCTATTCATCAGATCAATGACACCACCACCTAAGAAAGTGACCCACCCATCATGTCAGCTATCTTTCAACATGTAAAGTTCCAGTCAATATTTACCAGGGCAGTACTCCATCAAGATGAAAGCTTCGTATCCACCGTTTGGCATTGGATCAACACGAGAAGCATAGTATCGTACAATATTCTTGTGATCCCCTAGTCGTCGCTAATGATGATGATGATGTCAATGCCACTATCGCAACCCAAGGATCATGAAGTATGTATGTACCATGAATGCAATTTCCTTTTCGATTGTTCGAAGTCGTTCGTTATCAGGAACAGCTACACGCTTGAGGACCACATATCCCGATTTGCCTTCGATCCGAGCAATGTACACATGAGCATAGCCACCTAGGGACGTTTCATCTCTGTCAATGGACTATTTTTTTTCGCTTATACGCTTGCATAGTTGTATACCTTCAGCAAGGAAGTTGTGGATAATGACTTGGTACTTTTGAACCTGGACACGGGAGCCACTTGGCATAGCTCCGGGAGGCAATGGAGGAGCATTGGAAGTGTCCATCCCCACAGGTACTGGCGGTAGGGTTTGACCGACTGATTGCTGTTCAGGAATTCGAGGTTGCCGTACTTGAGCTTGTGAATGCATTTGGAATGCTGCTGACAAGATGAAGAGAAGCAAGGCGAGACGCTCGGGAGACTCTTTCCGCAAATAGTGGCGGGAGATCAAATGAATGTCTTCGACTCCACACACACCACCACCACATGGTAGTAGAGTAGAAAAACCCACCGGATCAGAAATTTGGAATGATCGATCCCACTACTGATACTTTGATTGTTATCACACTCATTGTTTTGTATTCTCAATATACTCTCATGTATGACATTGCAAGGACAAAGGACATAATTCAATGATAACATTGATCCTGTTGCCTCGAGCCAATATCCATCCTAGTTGCTAGGCCTTTAGGCCGGGCAATAGAACGTTGTAACAATAAACAACATGAAATGATATCGCTTCCAATCCACAACATCATCAACATTGAGCTAGAATAGGGTGGTTGTAGCTTGAGGAATCATATAGAGACATACGTATATCAATTTGTACATGAAAACATAATCAAATTCATCATTCTTTATTATCAACAAGGCGTCTATAGTACCAATGGTGATGGCATCTTGTGATTGGTGTCACGTGCCGCTCTGCATTGCCATGTTGCGTGGAAACGGAGTCCCCCCCTCCCCAAACCAAAAATGGGATTATGAGTGCGACCTTGTACCTCTTGGCTGTTGAACGCGAGCATAGCTACCATGACGGCCCATGAGACAAGCGATGCAGTAGTTAACTATGACAACTTTGACGATCATCCAGTTCCACATATAAGACAAGTAAGTCTTTAGCCTTCTCTTACATTAGGAGCCAACGATTTCTCATGTGACACTGCTACTACTACTCGATGGGTGCCTTGGAACAGGAAGCTGATTGGGACTGTGGGCAAGTAAAAACTGGGACGATAGGGTTTATGCAAGGAAGCTGATGCAGACATTGATAGGATTGCTTGTACGACGATGGTGCTTCAAGGGCTTGGCATTGAGTGCACTGTGGAAGAAGTAACCAAGCAATGTGGACTGACAAGCGTATGGACGATTGATCTGGCATATCTGCTTCGGAACTACGGCCCAGACTTTACGTATTACACAAGCTATTTCGGTAGCCGCAAGGAATATCAGGGGTCAAAATTCTACAAGGCTACCTTTGATGAGGATGAGAGGCGTGTCAACAAGCTCTTTGTCGCTGCAAAGAGTCGTTCAGTGCATGTTGTTCGCATGTAAGTTTTCTTTATCGGCATGTGAGTGAGTGGATAAGATGTCTTATATATTATCATGTATCCTCCTACGGGCGGTTGATTTGCCATATAAAGGATGCTTCCGATCGACGATTACAAGCGATTTCTCTACTGCCGCCAATTCGTGATCATTGCTCTAGTGGATGCACGGCTTCTCCAATGCCAACGATGCCAGGTGATTTGATGATCTATCCATGGGAATGAGAAAATATTGATCCATACGACTAACCTTATCTATTACAGGAACGAGCCAATTGCATGCTGTCATTATGTGGATACATCCTGAATCGGTTCAAAGGTTATGATGAATATGCAGGTAAGTGACATGGGATGATGATGATGAACAATGAAATAGGATCATGGACATTTTATTGATATACACACTACAGGCCATTACATTACCCTTATTGGCTATGATCATACGGAGGATTTGTTTATCTATCGGGATCCAGCGGTTGTCGACAGCTTTTGCACTATTACAGCGGATGAGTTTGACGCCGCTCGACAATCGGATGGCACTGACAACGACTGGTAAGGCTTGTAAAATAAGGGGGGGGTGCGGCAGTGTGTGGGAAAAAGATAAAAGAACTGACGGGCGATGATGCAGCATTGTTATCAAGCTTTGAAGCAGGGGAAATCAAGAATGCGTTGTTGTATTCAATGTGTATAGAGAGAGTAGCGTTGTTGTCGTCGTCGTGCGGAGCGACATACAGAATTGCACCACATCTGTTCCCGAGCCAAGCTGAAGTCGGATCGCTGACATGCGCCCAATCGCAGGTTGTCCTACCTTTTGACCTCTAAAAAAGAAACAAGGAACGCGCCCCCGTGCAGCTTTCTACTCTTGTTCCAGCTAATAAAACCGCCACACACCTCTTTTTTTTTATCTTCTTCTTCATCTCACCTTATCCTACAATGACTGCTGCAAACTTTGAACACTATCCCAAGAATGTCGGTATTCTTGCCTTGGAAATGTACTTCCCTCATCGTGTAAGTATTTTATACTTTTACCTCTTGTATCCTAGGTAACTCATTCTTGTTATTAGTGCGTCGAGCAATCCGAGATGGAAACTTTTGATGGTGTGAGCAGTGGCAAGTACACAATCGGCCTCGGTCAAGAAAAGATGGCCTTCATTGATGATCGTGAAGATATCCAATCCATTTGCTTGACTGGTAAGAATAGTTGGGGTTGCTGTGGTGATAAAAAGAGAATGAGAGATCATTAACAAGACACATGATGTTGTTGTTGTAGCTGTGCAGACCTTGATGGAAAAGTACAACATTGCCTATACCGATATTGGCCGTTTGGAAGTGGGAACTGAGACCATCATTGACAAGTCCAAGTCTGTCAAATCCACTTTGATGACCCTCTTTGGTGAACATGGCAACACTGAAATTGAAGGTATCGATACTACCAACGCTTGCTATGGTGGTTTCAATGCTTTCTCCAATGCCGTCAACTGGATCGAATCCTCATCCTGGGATGGTCGTAAGGCTATTGTCATTGCTGGTGATCTTGCTCTCTATGCCTCTGGTGCTGCTCGTCCCACCTCTGGTGCTGGTGTCGTTGCCATGTTGGTTGGTCCTAATGCTCCCATTGTTGTTGAACGTGGTATGTATGCATGTGTGTGTGTATGTGCGTATAGAGTGTTTGAATCTCATCCTATTTTATCCAAGGCTTGCGAAGCACCCATATGGAACATGCCTATGACTTTTACAAGCCTGATATGCATTCCGAGTACCCCGTTGTAGATGGCAAATTCTCCAACATTTGCTATCTCCGTGCCTTTGATACTTGCTACAAGCGTTACATGGCCCGTCTTGGCAAGCAATTGAACAAGGAGAAGCCTAGCATGGATGATATCGATTATGTCGTGTGCCACTCGCCTTATGCCAAGTTGGTCAACAAGTCTTTTGCCCGTGCTGTAAGTTATTTTTTTTTCATTGCAGATTTGGGGGGTGGGGGTGGTAGGAGTGTATATATATATGGGGGGAGTGGTAAGGGTGCGATTAAGGGAAAAGGAGACAAAGCTGATCAGGTGATCTATTCTATAGTCGTACAATGATTTCCTTTTGGATCGTGACAATGAAAAGTATGCCCCTATTCAAGCATTCGGTGATCTTGAATATGGCCAATCTTTGGAGAACCGTGATTTGGAAAAGGCTTGCGTTGCATTCACCAAGGCTGGTTATGCTCAAAAGGTCGGACCTTGTGCTTTTGTTCCCAAACAAATCGGTAACATGTACACTGCCGCCGTATGGGCTGGTCTTGCATCACTCATTTCCGAGGTCGATTCCGAGACCCTTCAGGGCAAGCGTGTCCTCTTGTACTCTTATGGCTCTGGTTTGGCCGCTTCCATGATCTCCTTCCGCATCGTCGATAACACCACCTCCATCAAACAAACCCTCAACTTGCGTGAACGTCTTGCTGCTCGTGTCCACTCTAAGCCTGAAGATTTCGCAGAGGTAAGAGAAAAACATGATGATGGTGATGGGTTTTGCAAGAATGCTAGGGTGATGTCTAACACACATGTTACGTTATAGGCTATGAAGATCCGTGAAAACACTCACAATGCTTGTGATTATTCCCCTGTCGGCAGCCTCGATAACATTGCCTCGGGTGTCTACTACATTGAAAAGATCGATGACAAGTGGAGACGCTTCTACAAGCGTAAGGATTAAGTTATTTGTTTCCTGTGTTTTTTTCTCTTTCTTTCTTTTCCCCCTATAATCACGTACACACACTCCCTTAATTGTAATGAACGTCCTTTGGTTTCGCTGTTAATGCCATAAAGTTTTGTATGACTTTGTTCAAGTTGTAAAATGGGGATATTGTGTATACATCGCTATAGGGATATCGAAGGGGAAGGAGGTCTACTACAACAGCTTTTCAATATCGGCACCAATATCCTTGGGCTCAGTCACTGATGAATAGCGCTTGACAACGTTGCCTTGACGATCAATCAAGAATTTCTATAACGTCGACATGCATTAGTACCTTACCTCCCATATGCACACATGCATTGAAAGCTTACCTCAAAGTTCCATTTGACACGTTTCATGCTATACGATGCAATGTTAGTGCACATGGATCACACCATTCCATACGCGACTTACCCCATGATACCAGGTTGGGCTTCCTTCATAAACTTGTAAACAGGTGCGGCGTTGTCTCCGTTTACTTCACTGTGCATGTGTGTAACGTGTGTTATATGCAATGTTGTGCAAACGACGACAAGGATCAAAAGACGACTTACACTTTTGCGGTGATGGGGAACGAGACGTCATAGGTCAATTTACAAAAGCTGACAATTTCTTCTTCGGTGCCAGGTTCTGTAGAGTAAAATGGGGTGACCCAAGGCCAACACGCAATTTGACATGAGATCTTTCTATTATGCGTTCACATGCATTCTACCAAGTTTGTCTTACCTTGACCAGCAAATTGGTTGCATGGGCAGCCAATGATGGTAAAGCCGCGGTCCTTGTACTTTTGATACAATTCTTCCAAGCCAGCGTATTGCTTGGTGAAACCGCATTTGGACGCGACATTGACAACAAGCACCACCTGATGATTCGAATGAATAGTTGTTGGTGAATACAACATCGACAAGGGCAAGTCATCCTATCTTACATTGTCCTTGACGGAGCTGAGGGACCAATCTTGGTTCTTGATGTCCTTGACAGTGTAATCGAAAAAGTTGTTGCTCATTGTAGTAGTTGTTGTAAGATGATAAGAAAGATGTGATAATGAGACGTCAAGTGAATCTCCCCCTTTTTATACACATCTATCAAGCGGCGGAACATGATATGCATTTCACTTGAGTCATGAAAACTAAAGATCGACCTGCACAAGTCGCGCGAAAGCAAAACATACATTGAAACCATGATTGGCTTACAAGCGTGATTGGTAAGCATACGAGGACCTTATGCTGAGTGCTTGTGTACCCTGGACAACGTTGGGCCGAAACAGCCGTTGATTGTCGTCGTCAGCTTGCCTTTTTTAGAATTTAGGAATTTGGTATCGTAAGCTGGATTTCCAAAGTACATCCCAAAAGAGCCATGCTTATTCTGTAGTCATCGCATCAGCGCCTTTTCAGTCACGTGGACACCCATGTTCCAATGGGTTGGGATAAATGCCAAGACCACCTCTTACCGAGGTTTTATACAACAAAGTGGGCTCATTCAAATGAACAGCAAGTTGCATGGTTACCAGCAAACGTGGACACAAGTATCATTGCAGCTTCTACTCTTTCAATTTCTCTATTGCTACAGCAACAGCAACAAGTGCATGAATCATAGCACCAAGATGCTGTTCCGCTGAGATCAAGAGGGAAGAATGCGATAGATCAGATCTATCACATGTGCCATTCCACACCACCTGAATAGCATACGACACCATCCATCGATATAAAACACCATGATGATGATGATGACCTATTCTTTATGGTGTTTTCGCACTAAAATGCTAATCTCAATCTTTTCTATTTTAGGATCAATTGTTTTCTGTTGCCCCGCCGCCGCCGCCGCCCACAACCAATTGCTTTCTCGGGTTTTAGTTGAGAGCTGGGAGTGAGGAAATCAGGGCCTAGTGGTGAGTTGCCCACATCCATACACCCCCCAAAAAACAGTGTTTATAGAAGATTACAGAAAAAAAGACAAAACAACTACAGGTTAAAAAGGGCAAGTAATTATGTATGGGATGAGAAGAAAAGAGTATACATTGTAATGTGGGAACGTCGCATGGCGGATGGATGAATATGGGATAGAACGAAGGAACGAGGAGGGATCATGGTGAATGAATAATAATCCTGCTGCTGACGAATCAGAGTGGTGAAGTGGAAGAGGAATCGGTCATGAGCGAGGGAATATCATCTTCAGTGGTAGATGTGGAAACTGAAGATTGGTGGTGGTGATGTTGTTGCTGGTTGATAATAACCGAAGGTGTATGGAAAAGCGATTCACCCTTGTGTTGTTGTGGAGTGCCATACGTGGTCAGGCATTCTGGAGCAGGTAATCGAAAAGCCAAAACTTGTTCATCCAAATCCAACCAATGGTCTCGTTTGCCTTCTTGTGTAGGTGATGGTGGCAAATACACTCCAGAATCATTAATAGTGGATAGCTTGTAGATTTCGGCCTTGGGTGTCTCACGTAATGCATTGGCAGGCTGCTCTTTGGGTTGTAAAAGTCCAGGCTTTTTAAATGTGGGCATGGTCAAAGCGAATGGTTTGCCTGCTGCTGCTGGTTGTTGTTGTTGTTCCTCGGGGCTGCTTGCCACCTTGTTATTGGCACTGCCCTTCCAGAATTTGGTAGGTTTCAAGAATGACTTGTATCCACTACTTTGCTGCTGCTGTTGTTGTTGTGCAGCCTGTTGTTGCTGTTCGGGAAGGATAGCAGTGGACATGAGTGTGAGTGAGTGAGTGAGTGTGTATATGTGTGAAGAGGGAAAGGGGGCGTTAAAAAGAGGAAGAGAAAAAGGTAATGTTGTGAAAAAGAAATGAAGAACGACGAGAGGAGGGGTTTTAACAAGACCGATATGAAAATGAAACTAGACCATACTCTTCAAAGCCCACCAGGTGCCCTTTGCCGAGAGTGTGTAAAGGCGACCGGTGTTTGAATACTCAAGCATATTTATGTGTGTATGTGTGGGGTGGGAGAATGAAGATTGAATGTGTGCGTGTGTGCGTGTGTGTGATGCTCAGCACACACGCGGCTGAGGATCCTGGGTAACACTTCAACTCCACCCCCCTTTTACAAGTTGCTTGGCATTTATTGACCCATGGTCAATTGGTAATGTCTCTTTTTCTATACTTGCCATATCCATTCGCATCATCAATTCTGAAAAAGAAGGCCCTCTTGTTGCTTGTTCATTAGTGCAGGAGATGCGTGGTTTGCATTGGTCATGTGCGCTCTCTTATGAACACAGCGCATCCTGCATATCAACCACTCCTTGGCATGACTTTGTCACCCGACATTGATTATCCGCTGGTCGTCTTTAACACCTTCTCTCGTATTCAGCAACTCAATCGCAACCCCCAATTGCAATTACAAGGATCCCGCTAGCCAACATGCTCAACATTCATGAAATGAGTAAGGGTACCAGAGGCTGATGCCGTCATTCGACTTGCAAGTTTATTATTCACACATTGTCTAGAAATAGGAGGAAGCTATTATGCGTCTCAAAAAAAGATACTTTCGGATGTGGCGGTTGATGGGCTGCATGATGAATATGGTGACACAAGGAAAGGTACCGCATGATGAAAACGGTGAGAATGCTCTCACAACGGTCATTGAACAAGGAGAGAATAGGGTGCTGATATCCTTTGTTGTAGGGCAACGTGAATGATGTTTCATGGAAGGATGATGAGGTACGTAGTCTGCTGTTGTCAATGGACCCTACTCTACTATTGCCATTCCTCTTCCTCTTCCTTATTACCGATTGATTAACCGAGACAAACGTATTTTTGTATTGCATGGATAGGATGAAGGAAGAAAGGAGTTTATTACAGCTTATCCACCATGACGTGCTGGGTGCAACAAGCGTTTCCATGCATGGTGACACCACGATCGTATCCGCCTTGAAAATGGCTTTTTGCATGTGGTGTTAGTGGTAGGTGGTGATGAAGGATACGTCAAAGTGGATGTTGAGGAGGTATGCAGAGTGGATGATTGCTCACTTTGTCGTCTAGAATGATTGCCGTATTCATGCCACCACACGGGATAGGATACACGACGATACTTCAATGACAAACTACAAGCCGAGGATGAAGGACTGTCAAAACGATTCAAGCCGGATTCGGCAGCTGGGATGAAGATGTCATCATTGTGATATGGAAACGGCAAAGGCAACATGTCGATCACGATGTTTTCTGTCAACCTGCTATTGCGTTTGTTGGTGCTGCTGCTTCCCGTCAACAAGCTTTCATGAGATAGTTGTTTCATCCTTGACGATCGTTGTGAGCTGTAACATCTTTTCGAGAATAAATCACCTTTTGCGCAAGGATTTTGTTGTTGTTGTTGTTGAAATGAGTGTTGCAACAAGTTGTCACGAGTCAATGGAAGATAAGAATGGCGCTTGTGATCATTGTCTTTGTTTGATATGGACAAGCAGTCAATTGTGGACCCTGAAGGACTTGGATCCCATAGTGTGCTAGTATTAAGCGAGCACATGAAGAAGGCTCTCTACGTTTTTGAGTGAAAAGAAGAATAAACAAAAAGAGAGAGAGGATCGGCAAATGGATGGGATATTTATAATACTGAAAGATTGTTGTCACATTATCATACTTGCCGATGATGATGTTGATGATGATGATGATGATGAAAATTTGGGTTGGCAGTGGGTGCATGTTGTCAAAAGAAAGCGGCATTTCCGTATTGTTTGTTTGGTGAGTATATAATAGTAGCGGTGATCTGATGCTTTCTGCAGCAGTCTTCTTCTTCCGCCCATACTCAGCAGCATGGAAGCAGCGTAAATGGGTAGTAGGCGGGGTGCACGCTAAAACGGCATGCCCAAGTACCAAGTTGGCATATGAATTGGTTGGCGAGGATGTTTCAGGCGGTGAAAACCTGCGATCTGTTTGCGTCATGTTACTTTTTCCAGCAAACATCATGCAACTGCAGCAACACGTCTTTTCTTCTCTCTTTTCCTTGTTCCCTCTCTTTTCGATCCACCCAAAAGTCATCGTCGAATGGAAAAATCAAATCAACCACCACAAGGGCAACTTCCAGGTTACCCACCTCCTCCCCAACAACAAGGATATCCACCACCACCGCCACCACAACAACAAGGTTATCCACCACCACCACAAGCTCCCAATTATGGTGGATACGATAATCCCAACTATGGTCAACCACCACCACCACAACAACAACAACCACCGAACGATGGCTATTATGGAGGAGAATCACAAGAAAAAGCGATACGACCTTCTAGCGGATGGAAGGATATTTGGGCAGCCATCTTGTGGGTGCTCAACTTTGGTGCATTCATTGGTGTTTCCGTTTTGGCCTTGCGCACGTATCATGGCAACCAGGGTCACACTGCAGGCGGCATTCCATCGTCTACCCAGTACTCTGGTGTCGTTTTCGACACGGATGCCATGAGGATTTTTGGCTATAGTGCCATTGTTGGATTTGGATTGAGCTTTTTGTATTTGATGCTGATCAACGCGTAGGTATCATCATTATCGCTTATGATTTCACCCGTATTGATCGAATATGTAGGATACCGCGTTTAATGATCCTTATCACCTTTATTGGGAGCATCATTGTTTACTTTGGTGTTACCATCTACTACTTTACTCAACACTACTACTCGGCAGCTATTGTCTTTTTGATCTTTTCGGTGCTCTATCTTTTTGCATTTTGGTGGTGGCGAAGTAGAATACCATTTGCAACAGGTAAGGTGTAACATGAATTGGATGTTGTTGCATATGTCAAAAGAACGGCAGCCCAAATGCTTATGCATGATTTGAATCTCCTCTTTTAGTGATGTTGGAAACGATATGCAATATCACACGAAGTCATCCAAGCACCATTGTGTTTGGAGTGATTGCACTCATTGTGCAAACGGCATTTAGCATTTGGTTCTCTCTTGTGGTGATCGGTGCGTATCAAACATGGTTCAGCACAACAAGCAACAATGCCAGCCTTAATCTTGCCATGGTATTTTTGGTATTTTCGTTCTATTGGACATCCCAGGTAAATTTAAGTTTAGATTGAATTATGCAATGTAACTCATTCACAAGCAAAAAAGGTGATTTCGTATGTCACCCATGTCACTTTGGCAGGCGTGTATGCCACGGTCTACTTTTTGAACGACACTGTACGACATCCAATTCTTGGAAGTTTACGACGTGCGCTCACCACAAGCTTTGGATCCATTTGCTTTGGTAGTCTCTTGATTGCCCTTGTCAACTTTATCCGTTACTTTCTCAACCTCGCTCGTATGAACAGCGACAATGGCATCTTGAGCTGCTTCCTCTTTATTATCCAATGCATTGTTGGCTGCTTCCAAGGGTTATTTGTATGTTTCATTTGTTTGTTGGCGACACCTATTCTCACACACACCTATGTTATTAGGAATGGTTCACCTATTACGCATTTAGTGGGGTTGCCATTTTCGGACAAGCTTTTATTCCATCAGCTCGACGCACATGGAACTTGGTCAAGGATCGTGGTATTGATGCTATGATCAATGATTCATTGATCGGCAACGTCTTGTTTATGGGCAAGTGTTTCACACACACATGTATACTAAATGCACCATGGCTCATTCACCGTAAACAATGAATAGGCGGCTTGCTGGTTGGTGTGCTATGCTCACTTTTGGGTTTCATTTATCTCGAAGTCTCCAGGCCTGCATACAACCAAACAGGCGGAATGACACCCGTTGTTGTTCTCGTGTGTTTCCTTATCGGTGCATCCATGTTTTCTAGCATTGCCACAGTAATCTCCAGTGGTGTTGCAACTACGTTTGTTTGCTTGGCAGAAGATCCTGATGCTCTTCGAAGGTAAGAAGACATAAATCATACTTCACTTAGAGAGATTAACCAATCATTGTGCTATTAGAACACGTCCACAACTCTTTGAAAAGGTGGGTATCTTTGATATCCTCTTGTATCAAAAATCTTCATACTCATATCGATATCTCTCTTAGATCCGAGAAACCTATCCTCGCGTTGTCCAAGGCGTTTAAATAACATCAATATTGCATAACGAAAATACTTTTTTTTTTGGTAATTCATCATTCTAAGATACTAATACATAAACAATGCTCCTTATTTTTTCTATCATGAAGAAGACACCTTCTTGTCCTGTTCAATGGCGGTATTCACACTGATTTCCAAAAGCGTGTTGAGACGTGAGATCATGGAACGCGGGTCATCGAGCACACCAGCAGCACACAATGCGTTATCATAGACCTAACATGTAGTGTTAGCAGTGAATGAGATGATTTACAGGGTTATCAAGATCCTTACTTGTTCGGCAACCATCTTTGCCAAATCAGGGTTTTGTTGGCGGATTTGGAACAAGCCTCGCATCACGGCATGATCAGGGTTGATTTCGAGACGAGTGGGTGTTGGTGGTAATTGTCCCATCTTTGCAGAGCCTTCCATCATTTGCATCATCTTACGCATAGCAGGGCTTTCATGCTCAAGCACTAATAAAAGAAAATCAATCATCTCTCTCTCCATCCATCCTCTTCCCCTCTCCCATAACTTACCAATAGCAGGGAATTTTTCAAGTCGACGTGAAACATCCACTTGCTTGACGATATCAGAGCCCAATGTTTGCTCAATCCACTTGGCCAATTCCTTGGCATCCGATTCAGAAAGCGAGGCACTGTTGCTATCGGGGGAATCACGCTCCTGTTGCAAGAGAGGATCGGTTGCGGCTTCTGGTGAATCAGCTGCAATAAGTTCAACACCTTGGAACTCCTTGAGATGGTTGACGACAAATTCATCCACGGTTTCGTACAAATACAAGAGCTCAACGCCCTTCTTTTTGAACATTTCAGTGTAAGGACTCTCCTCAGCGTACTTGCGCTTTGGTGTCAAAAGGTAGTAAATGCGGTTCTGGCCCTCTTGCTTACGATCCACGTATTCATTCAATCCAATCATCTCGCCCTCCTTGGTAGTAGAGCTCTCAAATCGCAATAGCTTAGCAATATCCTTCTTGTACATAGGGTCTGTACAAACACCCTCCTTGATGAATTGACCAAAATCAAGGAAAAAGTCGTTATACTTGGCAGCGTCCTTCTTGGCTTCGCCTTCCAACCAGCGCAATACACGTGAAGTCATGACCATACGCAATTTGGACAAGATGTTGTCTTGAAGCAATTCACGTGACACGTTCAAAGGAATATCCTCAGAGTCGACAACACCCTTCACAAATCGTAACCAATCGGGCAACAATCCCTTCGACTTGGGCTGAATCAACACCTTGCGAGAGTAAAGTGATACACCAGGCTCTGTGCGTTCACCCAATGCTTCCATATGCTTCTCAGGGACATACAAAACGGATGCAATAGACACTGGGGCATCGGTCTTGAAATGAAGGGTGTATTGTGGATCATCCCAGGCACCGGCAATGAAACGATAGAATTGCTTGTGGTCATCAGCTGATACTTGGCTTTTTTCCTTTGTCCACAAAGGTTCCACCGTGTTCACTTCAGCATCATTTAAGTAGATTGGGAAGCCGACAAAGCTATCGTATAAAAATGAATACATGGGATAATCATAAAAGGAAGGGGGCAATGCTTACTTTGAGTATTTCTTGATGATCGAATCGACCGTCAAGTGTGAGCCAAAGCTCTTGCAATCATCACGGAGTTCAATAACGATCTTGGTACCAACAGCAACGTTCTCAGCCTCTGCAACAGTGTAAGAACCCAAGCCATCCGTTGTCCAGCAATAACCCTTCGATCCTGGTTTGGCAGAGCGCGTGTAAACCTTGATCTTCTCTCCCACCATAAACTAAAAGATGTCATCTCGTTAGCCATCCAGGAATAAGAATTGAAAAAGATTCATGCGTGTTACCGTTGAGTAGAAGCCCACACCGAATTGACCAATAATATTCTCCTTGGCATTAGCAGAGCCATCCTTGTCAAGCTTCTCCAAAAAGCTCTTGGAACCAGAGCGAGCGATGGTGCCCAAGTTCTCATTCAGCTCTTCCAAAGTCATACCAATACCATAATCCTGGGGTTATATGCATACATCAATACCTCTATCTTCCTTTGTGTGCGTACGTGTGTGCATTGTCTTACTTGGATAATGAATTGCTTCTTGTCACGATCCACCCACAAACGAATTTCAAGGGGCTTTCCAGAATCAATTGAAGGATCGCTTGCTTGTGAATGACGCAATTTCTCAAGAGCATCTGCAGCATTGGAAATAAGCTCGCTAATATGGAAAATGATCAGCCATCGACCTTTATAATCCTCAAGTCAACATGCTCACCGAATAAAGATCTAAAGCCAACAACGATGTTAGTATAACCCAAAGATGGTATCTCAATGTCAACCCATTACCTCCTTTTCCGAATACAAAGAGTTTGCCACAATATCCAACAATCGCTTGGTCTCGGTCTTGAACTCGTGTACTTGTTCCTCGCCAGTGATAACTTCTTGCTCTTCGGGTGCCTGAGAAGTAGTGGTGGCAGCCTCCTATGTATATGAGTATACATGTATCAGCTTCGTAGTTTGGTCGAGTGTCATAGAGAACTTACCTCCTCGTCAGTCGAAGTGGTTGTCGAATAGTAGAGCTTTTCAATCACTTGCTTGCTGGCAATGCCTGAAGCAGCAGCACCATTGGCCTGGATCGTGGGCGTTGACTAAATGACAGGTTCGATCGATTAGACCACAACCTTCCTACAACAAGACGTGTTTACTTGCCAGAATCAAACGTGCATGGCGCCATTGACGTTGTGCCGAATGTCGAGAAGCGGTTGCGATGCGAGAGACTGAAGAACGACCAAGTTGCCTGAGCATGGTGGGACTGATCGAAAACAAAGGAACCTTGAGCCTGCCGACAAAGCCCGACTACTTTGAAATTGGGGATTTGACAGGCTCCCCGCTATACAGCACTTCCATTCCGATCGACTACCAGTGTCATGCATTATCCCTTAGATGATAGCATAGGCTATTCAATATATATAAACTATAATCGTGCATCCAGAAGCCTGCGTGATGGTATCATTGTAATCTATGCCACGCTCATCCATCACAGCAATGGGTGTGTCAAGAGCGAGTGTTGTGATTCTATTGACAATAAATAGAAAGGATTGGAATGTGTGCGTAACTTGGATCCAATGTATGGATCTCCAACTCATAGTGCTATTATACAATCCAGGTCACTTTAAGCCATGTACATCCAATGTAGTATCACCTGACTCCGCACACACAAATGGGATTGACACAAGCCGTCGTTAAACAGCGCTAGACTAACAATGTTTGGAAAATGAAAGTGGCTATTTATTCGAGGCTGCATTATTCAGGATTCAATTACATAAAGGGCAACGCGTGTCATTTTCTCGAGTAGTTTGCCATTATTATCAAGCGCAAAGTGACCCATGGCTCCCCTTATACTCTTTGACCCAATGAATCTTTGCAAAGCACCTTATGCACACAGCACAAACAAAGAATACCAGCAACGTAATGGTGTAACAAACAAGAGGCCAAAAGGATTCTTTTCTTTAATCAATAGGTAAAATGAGGCTCAATTGCTTGGTAATAAGTATCCATGCATAACCCGTTTACTAATAGAAGAAAACAATGAGTCAGGGAATTTTGGATGCCGCCCAAAGAAAGAAAACAAAGACACTTACCAACTTCTGCTCCTTAAGACCATCCTTGAAGAAGGTGAAGTAGGGGGTGACACCATCATCACGGTAGTTCAAGAGACAGACCATACCCTCGGGATCCATCGACTCACCAACGAAGAATTCGTAGTCCTAGAAAAGAGGAGGAGGGAATGGTTAATACGACGAGATACAAAAGTCCTTGCAATGGATATGGATATATACCTTGAAGTTACCCAAGATCTTCTTGACGAGAGCAGCAGCACCCTTTTCGAAGGCAGGGATACGCTCAGGGTTGGATTCCTCGAGCTTCTTCTTCAAAGCCTTCATGTAACCCTTGATGTAGCTCATGTAGGACTTCTTGTCAAAGGCAGTCTCGGTAAGACGGAAAGAGTAGACAACGTTGTTGACGGTTTGAGCAGACTCCTCAACACCTTCGTCACCACCTTCAGCAGAGGGGTTGGCACCGATATCAACATCACCTTCCTTGATAGTGATCATCTATAAAGTAAATAGATATGAGCACCCTTTGTTCCCACGAATAAACGCGTATGCACTTTTTCCCCCATATTGTAAAGTACTTACTTGGCAGTCGACCTCATAGGCGATGTCGTCAATTTCCTTGATGGGCTATAAACACATGAAATGGAGAGATGAGCACTTGTGTTCTATTACCATTGGGCAGTGTGATCGGGCCATCGTGGATGGATTCCATTGAGATGCGTGGTGTTACTCGAAACTTACATAGGCATCAGAGAAGAGTTCGTCACCTAGACAAAGCCATCCATCGTATTAATACATCATCCAACCAATGGTCCTTTCAATGGATGGATTGGATACATACCAGAGATGATATCAGTGTACAAAAGCATGGCGGATTAGATAAACCGATGGATGGGTGTGAGAAAGAGAAGGATATGTGGAGATGCAGGCGGGATCATCCATGAAATGCAGCGGGTCCAGAGCAGTCTAGCCAATCACGTTCAACTCATTCAACAAACCAAAAGTGAGTTCGCATACACGTTGATCCAGGCAACGGTTGCCATCGTTTTTTCCCTAATTATACAAAATGAGCAAACATTCTATATCTCTTTACATGCCGATCCCATGGAACCATCATCATTAAGCGTGTTCATGTATCCATCAAGCACCAACCACCCCTCCATTCATTAGCTTAGCATCGCGTAGCCTGGTTATTATGTACAATGTTGCTGTTTAATAAATAACAACTCTTTATTTGACAAGTATTACTATTATAGCATGCTCTCAACAGTCATCGACTTTTGTATATAGGATCGCCATGTGGCAAATCGGTATTGCTCAAAGAAGAGGTATCACATGAAATAGGAAATGTCTTGTCCGACCGCCAGTGAGTTCTTCAATTTCATCTTCTTTATGGTTTTCTTCTTTGCCAAGCTAGCCCTGTTGGCTATAGGAGGAGGAGGAGGTCTTCTCGCCAATGCCTTTTACCTACCAGGCGTTGCTCCTATTGACTATGCGAATGGCGACAATGTTCCTCTCTATGTCAACTCACTGACACCCATGTCGAATCAACAACTCAAGTCTCTACTCGCGTACGACTATTATGATCCTCGCTTCCACTTTTGCCAGCCTGAAGGTGGTCCACAACAGCAATCAGAAAGCCTCGGCAGTATCATGTTTGGTGATCGCATCTTCTCATCGCCATTCCAGGTATGTGAAATAGGAGGGCGCACCAAGTGGATCAGGTGATCTAATATCATGCCACCACCACCACCAGCTTTTCATGGGCAAGGATGAGACATGTAAACGCTTGTGCGTGTCTGAAACGATACCCAAGGAGGATGCTCAATACATCAACCAGTGCATCAATGATGGATACGCCTTGAACTTTGTGGTGGATGGTTTACCAGCAGCTCACATTTCCACGGATGAACGTACCGACGAGGAATATTACAGCATTGGATTTAGATTGGGCGAATCAGACGCTAAAGGTCCCGTTCTCAACAATCACTATGACATTTACATTGACTATCACGAACGTCCTGATGGCAAAAAGCGTGTGGTTGGCGTCGTTGTCACTGCATCCAGTTTCGATCGTGATCCAAAAGCTGAAAAGGTGGCATGCGATGGTGGTGCTCCTCTGCATCTCAAGGATGATGGATCTCAACAAGTTGTCTATACCTATAGTGTCACTTGGCGTGTAAGTGCATACATGGTTGTGCATTGGCTTATCTTCTTACCTATGATGACAGGCTTCAAAAACCGCATGGGCTACACGTTGGGATAATTATCTCCATGTTCTTGATCCTTCCATCCATTGGTTCTCTCTTGTCAATTCGGTCGTCATTGTTTTATTCCTCACTGGCATGGTGGCCATGATTTTACTTCGCGCTCTCCACAAGGATATTTCTCGTTACAATGCTGTTGAAGCTCAGGTACTTTTTTCGTTTACATATACATCTTTGGATTACCTTGATTTAACCATGTTGAACATGTAGGAAGATGTTCAAGAAGACTACGGCTGGAAACTCGTACATGGTGACGTTTTTCGTGCTCCTGCAAGATCCATGTTGCTATCAGTCTTGGTTGGAAGTGGTGCACAGCTTGTTGCTATGGTTGCTTTGACGCTAGGCAAGTAGTGGTGGTTATTATTGTACGATGGAGGAGGATGCTAACATTGGGGTCATTGTAGTCTTTTCGGTCTTGGGTTTCCTATCTCCCTCAAATCGTGGTGCTCTTGCTACTGTGATGGTGATCTTCTTTATGCTATTTGGTTGCATTGCCGGATTTGTGTCAGCACGTATTTACAAGATGAATGGTGGTGAAAATTGGAAGCTTAATATCCTCTTATCTGCCACGCTACTTCCAGGGTAAGAAAGAAGGAGGGACTCTTGATGATGATGATTGACCATGTTGTTGTATGCTTTATAGCTTGATCGCTGGTAGTTTGCTTACCTTGAACTTTTTCCTTATTGGATCCCAATCCTCTGGAGCTGTTCCCTTTGGTACCATGATTGCTATTGCTGGTATTTGGCTCTTGATTTCGCTTCCTCTTAGTGTGGTCGGCGCCTATTTTGGTTTCCGTAAACCTCGCATTGAGCATCCTGTACGCACAAACCAAATCCCACGTCAAATCCCAGATCAGCCTTTCTATTTACGTCCAGTACCATCGATCTTTATGGGTGGCATTCTTCCATTTGGCGCCATTTTCATTGAACTTTACTTTGTCATGAACAGCATTTGGTTCCATCGTATCTACTATGGCATTGGTTTCTTGTTCCTTGTCTTTATCGTCCTTATCTTGACATGCTCCGAAGTTACCATTCTTTTATGTTACTTCCACTTGTGCAGTGAGGATTATCATTGGTCATGGCGTGCTCTTTTGACATCTGGTGCTGCTGGCTTTTACGTCTTTTTGTATTCTATTCTCTACTATCTAACCAAGCTGGATATCAATTTTACAAGTACCATTCTCTACTTTGGATACTCTGGTGTCATTTCCCTCCTCTTCTCCCTGCTCTCAGGATCCGTTGGCTATTTAGCTTGCTTGGTCTTCTTGCAGAGGATCTTTGCTAGCATCAAGGTGGATTAGAGATAGACATTTCATCTTGCAATAAACCCGAATCTTCTTATCCCAGCACTATTGCATAAACAATCAATCACTTGTACAACATGCTCTTGCATGACAACTCTCATTTTGCTCAACCTTGTACTATATCCAACAATGAGTTCCATTTATAAACCAAAATTCATCCGTCAATAGATAATCCATGTCAAAATGTCAAGTAGATCTATTGCAGCCTGAGGGGAATAATGAAAGTGGATGGGAAGGGTGTTTCGAGTCAAACTATCATCCTAAGGACTATGCTGCTGCTGCTTTATCCATCTCTGCTTGGGTCTTGGTCTTGAGAGACAAGGCGTGGATACCATGTTGTAATTCATCATTCAAAAGGCCGTATACAAGGCGATGTCGTTGCATCATGGACTATGTACAACAAGGGGGTGGGTGGGATGAGGAGATCAGATAACAAGCCTGGTGTACATCATTCGTACTTGGTCCCTTGATACTTACTTTGCCTTCAAACTCTTCAGACACAATGGTGATGCTTTATCATATATAGAACATCAGCCTTGGATCACGTAAATGGGTGTATATCACATTACCGAAAGTGAGTCTCGTTGCTCGTATTTCCTCTCATAGCAGCATGGCCAGCATGCAGGTGGCTTTCATTGACAATTTCAAGTGTGGAAGGCTTGAGAGCCTCGGTGATCTGATGGAGCATAGCATTAGGTGGATTTCGCTACAATGTGTATAGGCGACATTTACCTTGTTTTCGACAGAGAGCTCAATCGGTCCTTTGGTTGCCATAGTAAAAGTGTACAAGAGGTAGAAGCCGCTGGCGGCCCAAGAAGGGAAATTGTGGAATTTGATTCAGCAGCCCCAGCGCCCTCATTTGACACATAGCTTCCTTATCCATCTATCTTCTTCCCCATCCCTTTCTTGTTCCTGTTCACCATGTATGATACATGTTGTCATTTCATCTAGTGGTTTAAAATTTTATAATGATAAAAGAAGATTGTCAAGGTTATTGGTGTGTCTTGTGTTAAAGGGGGATGAGCAGAAGATGTAAGGTAATGGTTACAAAAAGGATCACCGTGGATGGAGTGATTAAAGCGTATTAAGACGACGAGAGACCCGAAGCAGAGAACGAAGATATGAAGAATTGGATGACCTTTCAAATGTTATCATGAACATCAATCACCTCATATCGCTTTCACCTACTTGTCATTGTAATTGTGTCCATTATCAATAGGATAACACCTTGAAACTTAATGGATCAGCGATGTACCCTATTCTATGGTGATAGGAAGCACTATGTAAAGGGTTGGGTGGTAGAAGGTTAGCGTGTAGACAGGTCTTTATGCAGGCTGTACCCCGCTTTGTAATGGGGAGGAAAAAGCTGTCACAATGGAAAAGGCGCCAGACTTCGATTTTCGCGGCTTGAGGGTCGGGAGGTTCAAGAGCTCCGAGAGTGACACACAGCTGAAATCCTGCAGCTCATGTGCTGAGCCTTTCTCTCTTCTCTTTGACTTCCTCCCCAATATGAGTGCCACAGCCAATGACGATAGTCAAGAAGAAAGAATAACTCTACATGAAAGCAACCAAGATAGCCATGTCGACAATGACACCAATGAAACAGCAAACCAGACTTTGAATGAGCCTTTTGTGGAAAACGGCAGTGGCAATGAGAACAGCGATGCTTCACCACCACCTCCACCACAACAGCCCTATACGGATAATGATAATGATGATGGTGAAGATACCACTCCTGGTGCGATGTATGATCGAGCACCCTTATTATCACGATCCTATTCACAAGAGAGCACTATCAGCACTGATTCAGCACCACCACCTTATGAACTCTATCCACCTGCGAAGACGATGTTTGGTAGGGCGTACAATTGGCTTCGGCAACTACCTCGCATACGACGGCGTCATGGTGCTATTCGACTACCGACACTACCTATCCATCGTTCACGACATAGCCAACATGCTGATTCGCTATCATCCACCTCGATAGATTCGATTGCATCATCAGCGTATCCAGCAACATGCTGTTCATATTATTACCATGTCCTTGTTTCTTATTTCCCATCCATGCCACGTCTTGTATTACCTTCAGCACTGGGACGCTTTCGTGGATTCCTTATTTGCCTTTCATTCTTCGCCCTGATGATCTTTGCCTTTCTTTTATTTTGCTCGGTCTTTTTTTCTCCAGCATCATTACCCCCACCCTCGATTCCCGACAAGACAACAGACTCAAATGCTCGCTTTCTCACGCTCAACATATTCATGCGTCCTCCAGGCATCACCAACAACCTCTCCGATTACAAAGATGAACGTCTCTCCTACATTGTCGATCATATCCTTCCGCAATACGATGTCGTCGCATTCCAAGAAGCCTTTGCATTCGGTAGTAGACGAAAGGATTGGCTGATTCAACAAGCAAGAGCCATGGGATACAATCATCATATCGAGTCACCTCGTCATTATCCTTGGGAAATCGCTGTGGATGGTGGATTATTGATCATGTCAAGATTTCCTATTCGTGTATCCCATGACATTGAATATCCTCGTGGTTTCCATAGTGATTGGTAAGACATTGTGTATATGTGTGCATGTTCTTTATATTGACATTTTACTACTAGGTTGTCACGTAAAGGGGCACTTCATGCCTTGATCGAATTCAATGCCACGCGATTTATGCATCTTTATACCACCCATGCTCAAGCATCCTACACGAGTCAAGCTAATCCAGATATTGGCGATGTCCAAATGCGTCTCAGTCAATTTGCACAGCTACATCAACTTGTACGCGACACATCAGAGCATGACAATATACCGATAGTGCTTATGGGCGACTTTAATGTGGATGCTGCTGTACATATGGGATTGCCATTGACGGAGCCATCGACCATGAGTTCAAAAGAGTACGGCATGATGTTGGATGTACTACGTGGTACGGGTGTCGATCCCAAGTTGGTAGAGCTCAAGATGCGAGGACGATTATATGCTGACAACTGGCGTTTGGACGATCTCACGGATGTGGTTTATGATCATTATGGATATCATCCTGTGACATTTGGGGATGTGCATGTCAACATGGAAGGAGAAATTGAACCGGCTGAGACCGTGTTGACCGATATGAGCCAAGCAATGACCGTACAAAGCATTGATCGTATCCTGTGGGACAAATCAAGACCTTCGATTGTTGTCAAGAACCCTCAAACAGCAAAGTTTTTGGTACAAAGCAATGACAGGTTGAGCAAGGAGGAGAAACAACAGATTCCCTTTACACAAATATCAGGTACTACGTTTATTACATTGGGTATTGTTGACTTTTGACTAACTTTTTTGTTAATAGATCATTATGGGCTTGAGTGTACTATTGAGCTAATATGATGGACCCCTCGTTGTACAATTTTTCAATATTACTATCCTCGACAACATTTTAAAACATGTAACATTTCTTCATCAATCCTCTTCAATCGATTCGTGAGATTTTGGTGGTGGTGATGATGGTTGACCATTGTTGATCCATTTCAGGTTGTATCGGGATTCAAAGGTTGAGCGATCAATGACATTATTTAGCGCCTCGACTTCATGCAGCAAGCGGGATACGGAATCCAAGAATGCCATTTCAGCGTCCCCTTTTGTTTTCAGGTTGAAGTATTCACGGTCGAGCTTATTGGGATGAAGGAGAATGCTCACCAGTAGCAGCAATTGGTCTATTTGTCGACACCAGTCACCAACACCTTCGCAAACGTACATTTCATTCTCTGGAAAACGGCTGATGCGCGTAGCTGGACAAGAAACAGGTTGCAGCTTGTATGTGTATGCTTCCGATCGCTTCCCAATAGAATTTATAATGTACTCTCGTAAGCCATGGATGTAAGCTACAAGTTCTTGGAGACGATACCACTTGAGATTTCCACTGGCAGCTTGAGCGCGTTTATTCCAGTCGCGGTACATAGAGGAGAGCTTGAATAGGATTTGTAGGAAGGAAATGGAAAAGAGAGAAGGAAGACGTTTATCCAAAAGCGAGGATCCTTAACTTTTAGTTGCCAACAGGGGTCAAACATCTGTACCTTGGCATTGTCCTGACGACAAGATAAATAAAGCCACAATATTGATTCTTCTTACATTCGTACATCCAACGCATAGCTATGCGACACATAAAGATCCTTGTTCTTCCGCGCAAGGAGGTGTATTAGCGTAAACGTAATTTTCATTGTTGCCCATAGCGCTTCTCCATTACCTTCATCATGTACCATATAGGATTCATATCAAGCATGAATGATCGATCTAAAGGAGTTGTACTGTATATACCGGCCTTGACAACAGCTGAGCGTATAATCATCATTGTGATATCCAAAAAGAGAATGCATGTGTAGCGAAGGAAGGTGCGTCCAAAAAAGGCGAACATTCTTTCCACTTTGTCGGATGCCGTATGCTGTCCCCTTCAAAGCAGGCCGTCGATCATTACAATCACTTAAAAAATAGGGTCCTCTTGCAAGTGTCTTTATTTTTCTCCGAGAACCCTTGAAGTAACTATAATGTATATATACATGCGTCAGCAGCTAATGCTAATGATCATGACCACGCCTATTCGTTTTCGACAATAGCGCAGCCTCCTTCTTTTTGGATGATAATGGGTCCGAGTGTGCCGTGTCTCCATTCACAACAAGATAATTACAGCCATCACAACCACTGCAACCACCACTACTACTATGAGTCCGATTAAAGTTGGTAACCTTTTTGTCAGCTTTTCAGCCAGGAGAATTTCGCGGGTAATTTAAAGTCTCCAATTCCCCGAAGATTGAGACAAAAGAGTGATAGGCGGGGTAAAATGCACTAGCACACAGACCCATTTGGCGTCATTCTTAGTTTCCTTTTCCCCGAGTGCGTGGCGGGGATGTAACAGATTGGGTCCTGCATATATATAGTGGCTGGTGACCCAAGGGCAGTAGGCAAAGTGAGCTTACCCTTTTCTCTCTCTCTCTCTCTTTATTCTCACACTCCAATCATCATCACCATGGTCAAACAAGATTTTACTATCACAAAGTATGAAGTACGTGATATTCGCTTTCCTACTTCCCAACATTTGGATGGATCGGATGCCATGAACAAGGACCCCGATTATTCAGCTGCCTATGTTATCTTTTACACGGATTCAGCTATTGAAGGCCATGGTATGACTTTTACCTGTGGACGTGGTACTGAGGTGTGCTGCAGTGCGATCGAAGCCTTGGCTGTCAAGTTCGTTGGCAAAAAGTTGAGCGAGTTGACTGCCGACATGCGTGCCACCCATCGTATCTGTACCGGTGATAGTCAACTTCGTTGGATTGGTCCTGAAAAGGGTGCCATTCATCTTGCTACGGGTGCTGTGATCAATGCTGTATGGGACTTGTGGGCCAAAGCAGAAGAAAAGCCTTTATGGAAATTGGTTGTCGACATGACCCCTGAAGAGTTTGTGCAGTGTATTGATTTCCGTTACATCACGGATGCTGTTACTCCTGAAGAAGCTATCAAGATGTTGCGTGAGAATGAAGCTACCAAGGCGACTCGTGAAGCTGAAATGCGTGAAAAGGGATATCCCGCATACACCACATCGGCTGGTTGGCTTGGTAAGTGTGAACTCTCTCTCTCTTGCATGAAAGGGCGGCTGTATACTAAATGGGGGAGGTGTATGTATGTAAATGCAGGCTACAGTGATGACAAGGTGCGCCGCTTGTGTCGTGAAGCCAAGGAACAAGGTTTCACCCATTTTAAGCAAAAAGTCGGTGGTGACAAGGAAGCTGATATTCGTCGTGCCGCCTTGATTCGTGAAGAGATTGGCGACGATGCTGTTCTCATGATGGACGCCAACCAAGTATGGGACGTCAATGAAGCTATTTCTTGGATGGAAGACTTGTTGCAGTTCAAGCCTCACTTTATTGAAGAGCCTACTTCCCCTGATGATGTCCTTGGTCATGCTACTATTCGCAAAGCACTCTATCCTCGCACTCGTGTTGCTACTGGTGAGCACATTCAAAACCGTATCATCTTTAAGCAACTCTTCCAAGCCAACGCTATCGACTTTTGCCAAATCGATTCGTGCCGTGTGGCCGGTGTCAATGAGATCCTTGCTATCCTTCTCATGGCTAAAAAGTTCAACATCCCTGTGTGTCCCCATGCTGGTGGCGTTGGTCTTTGCGAATACGTCCAACATTTGTCATTGATCGATTACATTTGTGTGTCAGCTACCACTGAAGGCCGAGTACTTGAATACGTCGACCATTTGCATGAGCACTTTTTGGATCCCGTCGTCATGAAAGATGGTCGTTACATGACTCCCACCTTGCCCGGCTATAGCATTCAAATGAAGCGTCAATCCATTGAAGATTACACTTTCCCCACTGGAAAAATCCACAAGGAGCTTGCCAATAACAAGGCTTAGAAGATAACCACATAGCACATCTTTACATATATACACACACCCACACCCACATGTCATCCTCATCAATTGATCGTCCCATATTCTACACTTTTCTCGACTCACCTTGTTCATCATGTGATTAAACATTAGCAACGTTCTTTTCATCTATAATGTAGTCTATGAGTGGGTGGTCTTGTTTGGGATTAATTTGTCGTTGTTGTCATAGCAACAATGCTTGTTGGCATGGAAGGGATGCCATGCATGGTTACTGTAGTCACAGATCCTTCGTCTTGAATAAAATTTGTTGTCATCTCTACAGGAGCAAATGCACTTTTTTTCGTACCCGATCAAGACTTAAGACCAAACCTGGCTTTGCTGCATACTCTAATGGTCGAGGTAGTCCATGGACATTATTGAATACCACCCGACTTTGCAAGTAAATCGCACGTGTTAGGGTTATGTATAGTAGCAGTAATAATCGGCTAGCTGTCATAATGCCATGAACCCTTTATTATTGCTAACCGGTGCATCTTCGCTGTCAACAACCCCACTCCCATTCTTTGATCATGAAAGTCCCAGATCCTTGTTCAGTGTAACGTCTTTTTTTCGGGGGTTGTTGGGGGAGTAGGGATGATGGTACTAGGTAATCAACAGATGCATTTCAAATATTGATAGATGGATGTCATCAGCAACAAAGAAAAAACAAACATTTATAAACAATGGCAGCCAAAATAAATGTCGTTCTATCAACAAATCGAAGAATCTCGTATCACAGCAAGTTCAAGCGTTCGGTTGCATTGTGTGACACGCAGCTATCCACGAGGTTTGTACCCGACTTTGGATGGGCCAAAGAAAAGGAAAGAAAGGGGATGAATACTACAAAGGGGATACGCAGGAGAAGTGTAAAAAAGAGACCAATGCAGTAAGGGGTGGGTATGAAGAGTACATAATGACAGCGAAAGAATTGGTGGTGTGATAGTTTTATTGTGGTGATGGTCGTGGTGATGAGGGGCAACCAAAGAGATAAAATCTCTGTCTGACCACTTAAACCCGACACGTCCCTTTTATATAAGCTCCCTCTTTTTACCTCTTTCCTGCACACACACATATCCATACCCATATATACACGAAGTTGGTTGCAGCAAATATCGATTGTTGTTCCTCAATGTCACAAACAACAAAACGACGCAGCATCCGTTTCGGCAAAGAAGGTCCTGCCGCTTCCATTCGGACGGGATCAAAATCCACCAGTGATCTTCGACAACTCTCTCTCAATTCCTTCCTCAAAACACACGATTCCTTGTCCATGCCAGCAACAGCATCCTCGAGACGCGTTACTGATCACTCGCCTTCACAAAAGAAACTCGCTTCCCCAAAGACAACACCAGCATCTCCAACACCCGATCACAGCCAACTATTAAAAGGCGTTGTGGCATGTCTTGATATAAGGTTCGTATCATGTGCTACTTCCCGGGCAGGTTCTCGCCCTGCTAACATGTTTCATCACCCTTTTCTTCTAGGACAGAAGATGGGGATGATGTCTCTGAGAACTTTGAACGAGCATTACAGTCTATGGGTGCCAAGGTAAGCAACCATTGCATCATTATTATGCATCACATGCTCACATAGCAACCTACATTACATTACATAGACACGCCGTACCTTTTCAGGTGAGTGGGTTTCATCGCAACATAGTATTCTGTAGCAGCTGACATCCATCATCTTTAGATTCTGTTACGCACCTCGTATTCAAGAATGGATCCAACGCTACGCTGAAGAAAGCATTAAGCAAGAAAATCCACATTGTAAACTTGCTTTGGATTACACGGTAAGTAATGGGTTGGATCAAATGATGAATGGACATTGGATATTCTAACATGCGTTATAATCAAATAGGTGCAAACGAGAAGGACGCCGCTTGGAAGAAAAGGAATTTCTTATAGAAAGTCCACAAGGCATTGTTCTGGCAGGCAAGAAACGACGTAAATCCATGGAGCCTGGAAAGGTTAAAGCATTGAATGAAGGTATGTATGTATGTGTGCATAAGGAATTATATGATACTGATCTATGGAACTTGTAGAAGAAGCATCCGATAAGCGAAAACGGGCACGATCCACGATTGGAGGAAATGGATTACCATCCAAAGGAGGATCAACATTATTACAACAACAGCAACAGCGACATAGCTCTGCTCATGAATATCGGCCATCAACGTTATCACAATCCCTTCTCAAGCTTGAAGCATCCACCAGCAATAGTACCACAGATAGCAGCAATACGAATACTACCGACAAAAGTACATCTAATTCACATGAGGAGCAACAAGAATTAGATGAGGTTGCAGAAAGAGTACGGCGAGAATTGGAAGGAGAGGATATAGACTTGACACCACCAGCATCACCTGTGTTATCACGGCCTCACCTATCAACAGCTGCCTTGGAGAGGCAACAGCAACAGCAACAGCAACAGCAACAAGAACAAGCAGCAGCAGCAGCACAAGCTCAGAAACCCGTAGTGACAAAGGAAATGCGTGAGCGTAATGAACAAATCAAGGCCCAAATTAAGGCTGATTTCTTTGTTGGCGACACTGCACCACCGCCTGTGAAATCATCTCGGCAGTCATTAGGCTCATCCAACACAACTCCTCTTCGACGAAAACGACGTTCGTTGGGTGGCAATCTTTCCAGACCCAATCTCTCAACATCCTCATCATCATCCTCTACAACGACTGCCTCCACGAACAATAATACATCCACCACAGCAACCACAACCACAGCAACCGCCGCCACAGCAACACCCATGCCACCACCATCCCAACCACAACCGCCGCAACCAAAACCATCACAACAGCCACAACCATCATCATCATCATTGTCTTCGTCAAAACCTGCCACTATCGACGGCGACGCATCTTCATCCAATTCAGCACATACAATGAAGACACGTAGTAGTAATCCAAAACCAACCATTGTTATGACATCCATGAGCAAAGGAGAACGTGATCGATGTGCTGCAGCTATCAAGAGAATGGGTGTGTATGAAGTCGCCACAACGTAAGTGACATGACCATTCTTTGTTTTGCAAAAGATCGCTAATTTTATATACATAGTGTGGATGAAAGGACTACACACGTGATTGGTATGCATGATATGGGATTATCAAAGTTGCTAGATCACCGTTGGTAACTGATTTGATATGTTGTAGTGGGTAAACGGCGACGCACAGTGAGCGTGTTATATGGTCTACTCTTTGGCGCATGGCTAGTGAAGCCTACGTGGTAAGTGTCTATGCTCAGGAGCATACGTGTGATATCAAAGGTATTGAATTAGGATTGTTTAGGATCTTTGACAGTGAGCGTAACAAGGAGTATCTATCCGAGTCAGAATATGAAGTTATCGACTATTATCCTGATGCTCCACGTGCAAGGCAACAAAAACCCTTTTTACCATCCAATTTGGATATCTTTGTCCACTCAGCACACATCCTCGATACCAATTCCATCAAGACATTAATTCATAAAGCAAAGGGCCGTACCGTCGACGATATCAGTCAAGCTGATCTTATTATCAGTAAACATCCATTGGAGACCACTAACAAGATGACAATCAACGAAAATTGGATATTGGATTGCATTGAACGATGGAGATGTAAGTTTTATTCCTATGATACAAAATGGAACGAGGATCATTGATCGTGATTTCATCTAGATCTACCGACCGAGCCTTATAGCATAAAGAAGAAGACCAATGTAACATAATGTACAAAGTATAGTCAATAGCGGAAATATAGCATTTGCATGAATTGTGCAACCTGAAAAAGTTGGCCAACTGGACAAGGGTGATGGGATGGGGATGGGCAATGTAAAATCAAGGAACAGAGGGGAGCATATGGAATGAGTGGATAGGATCATTTTTGCTTTGTATTGAATGGAATGGAATGAAATGGAAGATCATAGCAATGCTGCTATTGCTACACAATGACATGCTATTACAATGATGGTTTGCTGTGCCTGAGAGTTGGATGCACTGTTATGGAGTTTGGAAGAAACTAGAGTCGTGCCACAACAGGTTTCATGTCCTCAATTTCATGCACCGCGGCCTTTATTCCTTTATATTGCACATCACCCTTTCCTTTCCCAATTGACGACCGCATGGACAGCGATCTGCCGCCACCAACGGAACCATCACCACCCTCTCCCGGCAGCAATTACGCTCCTCTCGTTCTTGGCACCTTGGCATTATTTGTCATTGCTGTCGCCACGGTTTCTCGTTACGGTAATCTACGATCTCATCCTTGGTATGTTTCCACCGTTTGCATTATCGGTTGGTGCTTTCCATTCTGGATCGTGCTCTTGCTACCGGTTGATCTCGCGTCGGTATGTTTCTTTCATTCTTCACTATAGCATTGTATATAATGTACTTATCGTGTATCCTGCCATAGTCGACATACGACCAGTGCCAAGGCGACTGCAGAGTCCCATTCTCCCATGTGTCCCAGTCCTTTCTTTATGTGGCGTGGCGTACCCTTTATTGGACATCCTTTTGTCTCACGTGGTAAGTAGATACAAAGGAGGCGTGGCGATAATGCAAGGAGGCTCATTGTTCCCTATTTCCAGGGTGATGATTCCAATGATGCAAGCCTATGTCAATACAGGCGACTTTGGTTTCACAAACCGCCTCAAATCTGCAGTCAGGGTCAACCTTCAGTTCTACTCGATATACATCGTCATCGGCTTCTTTGGCTTGATTTATCTTGTATTCGGCAGTGGCTATACGACAAGGTAAAGCAAGACCTCATCTTTTCAAAAAACCCCCAAGCTCATCACGATCAAATATAGAGAAAAGATCCAGGGCTTTGTCATGGCCATGGCTAACAGTTGGGGTCTCTTTTTGGTGATTATGTTTATGGGCTATGGTCTTGTCTCGGTGCCTCGAAGGCTATGGTTCACTGGCAATCCTCAAAAGCACTTGAATCAGCTATATGGAAATGCATCCCGGGTCAAGGAAGAATGCATGGATAGTGAATTGGAGTTTATTGAAGTGTGCAAGGCAAGTATACCCTCGCTCCCCTCCGATTGTAAATCAAGGATGTATATACTCATTTGGATTTCTTTCAATAGATCATGCATGCCATATCAAAGCGTACAACAAGAGCCGATCCCTTTTTACGTGGTTGTGTCGACCAGATGATCCAGCGATTTCCTTTTATCCTTGATCCAGAATACACCGATCGTGACAATTCCGTTTCTTTGCCAAGAGATATCACCGAGGATTATCTGATCAAGCTCAACAGACGCATGATTATCGCTGCGAGGATGAAAGATAGAAAGCTAGCGTAAGTGGCATTTGTCTTTCGATGTGGACGCTGTGATTGGGATTGACAAAAGGTTCATTGTTGGTATAGGTTATGGGAGAATCTCCTGGAGGAAGCGTTCTATCTGCAGGATATCGTTGAAAATAGAAGCAACTCGGACCAGTAAGTTGTCATTGTCATGTAGCACCCTCGTTGATCCTTATTGAGCCTTGATTGTATAGCCAATTTCACTCGACGTTACGGCCATTGAGAGAAAGCACACGTTGGAATGATATCAAGGCACAGCTAGGTATGTGTAATGGCGAGGGATAGAGGTATTACAATGCATTGGGCTTATCATTGATATTACCAGAGTGGTGGTGGCTATTACGAATTGAGCCCATTTTTCATCGTGGTGTGGCCCTACTATGTGCGGTCCTCAGTGTATGCATCTTGTGGTCTGAAATCGTCTTCAATATCAAGAATCCAGTCGTATCGATCGTAGCATTAGGTCTTCGAGCCTGTGGATACAATTACGCTGCCGTAGAGGTAAGTAAATTCGAAAGCATAAGAGTTTAATGGATGACGATGTAACCCAATGTCATTGTTTGTAGTTTATGGCCTTTTTTACCCTGATGTTCATGTGCATTTGTGTTTATACCTCGTTGTTTAAGGTGCGGTTTTTCAACCTTTACATCCTGATACCCAAGCATCACACCGACGAAAACAGTCTATTGTGGTTTACAAGTTACATGTGCAAGATGATGTACGTTTGGCTTCCATTATCCGTTACATTACCAGAGTCGCTGATGGTATTGCATTAGGGCCCCACTTTGCTACAACTATATCAATCTTGCAGGTGATTTCAGTGGAACATCGGAATCAGTATTCAACAAGGCAAGTAGATACATACCTCAGGGTTTAACATGGGAAACAATTACTTATGGTGATAATAGTTCATGGGTGGTGCAGACCTTGTCCCCTTCTTGGGAACTACCTTTATCGATTGGTTTCCTGTTGTCATCCTGATACCAGCCTTATCGGTTCTCTTCAACTTTCAAGGGCGTTGCCTAGGCCTCTGCGGAGTGAAAGATCCGTACGATGACGAGGAAGGAGGTGGAAGAGAAAGTGATGGAGCTATATCTTTGAATGTGGATATTGCGGATGGAAAAGCATTGGTGATTGAAGGTACTATGCTCTTGATCAAAAACTCAAAGTCTTGTATGTATTGACGGTATGTCGCTATTAGAACGTGGTGTTCGGGAACGTACAATCAATCCACATCTCGCTGATCAACGAGGTTTTCTCAGTCGTGCTCGTAACGCACTTGGGGTACGTGAGCTGCATGATGTCGTTGTTTGATCATTTTCCTTATGAAACCTTTAGGCATACACATCCAAATACAATCGTGGACCCTACAATTACAGCAGCAACAGCTCAAGGTCACTCCACACACTTGGTGGTGGCAACACAGAAGGTAGAACACCTTTGTCAGCAACACTTAGACAAGAACGTGATCGACGCATTGATGAGATCCTTTCTGGGCGAACAACACCAACCTCCTTTGCCAACAACAGCCGTAGCAGCAACCACCAATATTCCCAAGTAGAGGATGAGCATGATGGGTTGCATGGAGGATATCATCCACAGCAAGAAAATGGTGCTGCTGCTGCAGGTGTAGGAGGTCTTTTATCATTTGGTGATGCTGTGAAGAACAAATTCAATGACCTATTTACAAAGAAATCACCTGGTGGACCTGGTGCTGTATCCTTGTCTCCCGAATCGGAAGGCGATTCTAATGCAAGACAACAAGAGCCATTGTTGCGACCTGACAGCTATCAAGGAAGAAGAGGAAGGCGTGTATTTGGTCAACCACCCTCTTCATCATCTTCATCTTCATCCCCAGAACAACATCGACGTGATATTACCCGCTCACGCTCTCCGTCTCCACCACCTCCAACAACGGGATTAGGACTTTCGTCGGCTGCTGGTCCAACACGTAGTGACTCCCCCTTTGCCCGTTTCGACAGCAAAGGCCGTGATATGAATAACATCTTTAACGATCTATAATCTCTTATCTATCTTATTGATCATCTAATAAACAAGTCATATTTACCTTAGATGCTATTTATCTCCAAAGCCCATTCCCAGCTTTAGACGCTTAGCGCACCGTTGAATGACTTAATGCTGAATAATGAGTTTCAGGTTTGAGAGAGGCAATCTCAATATCAAAGATTGATGTACAGTGTTCATGCATTTATACAAGAGGTGTCCGACCTATTTAATTTCCTCTCCTTCCACTCCCTCTTCCTCCCATTCCCAACAGTTGGCCCATTCAAGTATACAACTACCACCTGCGAACGATTGTCCTGCTTCAACCCATCATGTCAATCCTACAACTGTCGTGATCCGATTGTCTATGGCTGAATGGCAAGTTCATGGCGTGTACACCCCACTACAACACGCTCCTTCTTGAAAGTACAATGCCTTGCACACTCCTCTGCCACGGCCAAACGTAACAGCTGCTGCTGCTATTATCAAGGCCCTTGTTTCATTGTCTTGAATGGCGTTCTTTACTTGCAGCATCCTTCTTTTGCGCGAACAGCGGATGGCCATTGTATACAAGCAGCTTCATTTACGTGCAGCAACTTGCTTTGATACATACGGATACCAATGGATGATGCCATAGCAGCTATCAAGTACGCCGCAATACAAGCAACTTTCACCTGGTTGAGCGGCGATGGAGAATGAGTTAGAAAGGATGGATCAACAGCCAGATGGAAAAGGAAGCGATCACAATGGCTCATTTCAAGCAACAATTGGATTTGCAATGGCTATGATGGATGGATGCAATCAAGTGCTGTAATGAGAATCGTGGTGATTACTTGGCGTGTCGTCAGCAGGGATGAAGGATCATACCATATGGGTACGGCTGAGTATGGTGGTGGATTGGACGATATTGATGAGAGGGTTTACATCTTTGAAAAGGTGATTTGCAGCCATGGATGGTATTTGGAATACTCAAGTCAATGCATGCAGCAGCTACTTTGCAGTCATGGATGAAGGATGATTATGGCGGCAGCAACCCAAGAATGCAACGACACAACTATCCCTGTGGCCTCTATGTGATCCACCCCTCGTATCTTTTTCGATGCTGTCCCTTTATCATAGTTACTTGATAGACGCCCACACTACTACTATATACTATTCTTCAACTTTGTCACTGAATGAAAATTGGTTGAACATAATACTTGGGGTATCATGCTATCGGCTCATATGGGCAAGATGTGGATCACTTGGTTGGTTTCTGGTTTGAAAGAGGGAATAGAAATGGAAGGTCATAAAGTGAGGTTGGATCATGGACATCGTTGTATCGCGATGCTTTTGTTCCTTTGCCACAACATTTTATGGCTTCACTGAAGCTTTCTAGTTCACATGCTGTTCGGATACAAAATGCAGTGGCGGCTTTTTAACGATTGTATTGCAAAGATAACTAACTTGAGAGTGATGATGCCCAACATTTGCTCGTTACGGAGCATGGTATTCACTGTGAGCTTAATAATGCATTACATCCTCCAAGAAAGAATGAGCTGTTATACGGTATTCCACAAGCACATTAACAAGCCATGCTTACGTATCTATGACAGTTTTCAGCTAACACTATCCCATGCATCCTTATATAAGAAAGAATCATTCGATACGGCCAACATGGGCGGACCTTACTATAGGGAGGCAGGGCAAGGATCAATCATGCATATCTCCACCAATAGGAACGACTCTTCAGGTCTAGCCCAGTTACACAAACGCGTCCCTGCACACCTATGGGCTATGGCTCTAGCATGAGTGAGGACGGTTGAAAATGAACAAAGACCACTTTTCATATAGCATCATGGTTACAGCATATGTAAAACATAAAGGTTCCTGTATCTCCAAACTTTACAATGAAACGTGGGGTTTTGAATAGAGCAATGTGCTCGGCTTGGCCAACTGCACCTTGGGTGTAAGTTTCACGATCAAGCTTGCCAATCCCAGATTTCGCAATGTCGCCACCAGCCAAACTGGATCGGGGGGTCGACCTCTTCGACGACGACGACCAAAAAAATACTTTTTGGGCTAGTTGCGACATTGAACGTGAAACTTTCACACAAGGTGCTGTTGGCCAAGCCGAGCCCATTGCTCTATTCAAAACCCCACGTTTCATTGTAAAGTTTGGAGATACAGGCACCTTTATGTTTGTAAGCGTGATGCTATATGGCAAGTGGTCTTTGTTTAATGTAAAGTAGCTGTGACCCCTGCAGAGCAAAAGATGCAGAGGGTCGTGTTGTGTAACACAGCTACGTTTGCATGAATGAAAGGCCAATGTATAATTACTTTATGGATCATCTAGGAACAGGCATGTATTGCTAGCTAACGGCCACTTTATCCAATCATCATTGTTGCGAGATCCACTGCATGGGGAACGATGCCCCCGCTCTAGACATTCATTTCCATGATTGGGCTAGGTTGATCCGGAGCTGATTTGACTGAGCTGCGGTCAAAGTGAGATTACATCACTCTGGACATAAAGCACGCTCGATGTAGCCAACCGATGTAATCTTGTGTGAGCGTAACTCAACCAAGCAACTCAGCTCGGATCAACCTACTTTAATCATGGAAATGAATGTCTAGTATAGTGAGCATCGTCCACCTACAATAGAATGCACAAAAGTTGGGAATGCACAAAAGTGGCTATTAGCTTCCAATGTATGACATAAAAGTGAGTGTTGCGTACCTTCTATGCATTGTCCCTGAAGTCCTGACTTTTTTAGCTGAGTAACCCAAAGAGGTCCTTCTGCATCTTTGGCTCCCCCCAGGGTCTAGCTACTTGGCAATGAACAAAGACCACTTCTCATATAGCATCACGCTTACAAACATAAAGGTGCCTGTATCTCCGAACTTTACAATCAAACGTGGGGTTTTTAATGGAGCAACGTGCTCGGCTTGGCCAACAGCACCTTGGGTGCAAGCTTCACAATCAAGCTTGCCAATCCCAGATTTCGCAATGTCGCTACCAGCCAAACTGGATCTGGGGGTCGACCTCTTCAACGACGACGACCAAAAAATATTTTTTGGGCTAGTTGCGACATTGAACGCGAAACTTTCACACAAGGTGCTGTTGGCCAAGCCGAGCCCATTGCTCTATTCAAAACCCCACGTTTCATTGTAAAGTTTGGAGATACAGGCACCTTTATGTTTGTAAGCGTGATGCTATATGAAAGGTGGTCTTGTTCATTGTCAAGTAACTAGACTCTGATATAGCCAAAGAAACAGCCCTTTTGCATGACTGGAACGGCCAATGTATGATTACTTCATGCATCATCTGGAACAGCCATGTGTTGCCAGCTAATAGCCCATTCCTCCCAATCACCGTTTTTGCCCAATCCAATGCATATGAACGATTGTGCTGCTCCAGCCCAACACCTCCATCCTTCAACTTTTTTTGATACGAGTGGATTTGACTGAAAAACGCTCAAACACAGAAGTATCATCCAAATCACAAAAATTAATCTGATTGATTATATTTAAACTACTACTTGATAGCCCATTCCTCCCAGTCATCTTTGTTTCCCAAACCAATGCATGTAAACGATTGTCCTGCTCCAGACCATCGTAGCCATCATTCAAGTTTCTTGATCCGAGTGGATTTGGTTGAGTTACGCTCAAGCACAGAAGTATCATCCAATATGAGAAAAATCATTTTGCAAAGTTATTTGTAAACTGCCAGCTAGCAGCCCATTCCTCCCCTTCTCCATTGCTGTTCAAAACAATGCATACAAACGATTGTCTTGCTCCAGCCCATCGTCCCCCATCATTGAACTTTCTTGATCCAATAGGATTTGACTGAACAACGCACAAGCAAAGAAGTACCATTCAACGTCAGTTCACGTCACTTAATTTCCCAGCTCTTCCACTCCAAGCTTATTTGCCTCTTCCTCCCATTCTCAACTGTTGCCCCATTCAAGTACAATTACCATCTTGCGAACAATTGCCCTGCTTCAACCCATCATGTCAATCCTACAACTGCCTTGATCCGATTGTCTTTGACTGAATGGGCAAGTCCATGGCGTGTACACCCCCACTCCAACACGCGCCTTCTTGAAAATACATTGTCTTGCACACCCCTTTGCCACAACCAATCGCAACAGCGTTCATTGCAGCAGTTGTCATTACTCCATTTGTTTCCAACAGCGTTCTTTACTTGCAGCATCCTGCCTTGCAGCCTTTTTTACGTGAACAGCAGATAGCCATTGTTTAAAAGCAGCTTTATTTACGTGTAGCAACGTGCATCAATACATACGACTTCTTATGGGTATGAATGTGGATATTGGTTTGGTCCATGGGATGAAGGAATTGGATGTATGCAACACGTGGAAAAAGAGTGGTGTCCATTGTCAACTTGATCAATACGCATGGTGCATCCTATTATCGTACTTGACGCTATTCCATGGCAGCTACTACTTTGTGCAACCTGTCGACCAGGCATAGCCATCATCGTCCAGCACCAAGTTTCGATCCGCCATGCTTATAACCCATTCACCCATTCACTTTTGCAAAATGCACGTTTAAAGGATAGAAACTTTCCATGTCGATGTATCTCCCATTTGAACAACTCCTCTACTATCCCTTGTGAATGATATTGGATTAAAGGATCACTATATGGAATGCGACATTTATGTTGACCAAGTATTTCGAAGTTGCTATAGTGTAAGAGAGCTTCCTTCTTCCTCAGCTGGTAGCGAGATCTATGCATGGTTGTAGAAGTATACATATCCACTTGTGAATGCTGTGATAAAGGGAAAAGGGTGAATGAGAAAGGACCTAATTGATTCATTGTGTCTTGAACAAAGGCTGTATTCGATAGCATCATTCTTGTAGATACGCTGCAACACGTTCTTTTTATTGTTGTAATCAGGCAGATTACTAGTGAAATTGTCCTATCTATATATTGCTATTGTCGACGAACAATGTTAGGCTAACGGATAGATGGTGGAACCAAGAGCTACTAGACTACACTCTAAGAACAGGTGATTACGATTTCATTCTATGATAGTATTGAATGACACCGGTTGAATGACAACAATGAAATAGGTGACCACAATGATGCCAGGGGTGCCTGAAGCGAATCCAAAATTGTGATAATGAATCGAGTGTGGTGGTGGTGGTGGTGTTTAAATGGACGTGGTGGTGGCTGAGTGCGACACATCTTGAAATAGACCTCTAACCTCTTTCCGCCCAATGTCATTTGAAGCACGCTTGTGCCGAGAGATCGTCGAAGAAGACTTTGGTCCATTCACATCGGTATGTCCATGCAACGATGATAATGCAGCGATCCAGCCCATGTGCTGATTTGCAGTACTCTGTGCCGCGTGTTTAGAAAGTCGTTAGCCAACTCTTACTGAAAGGACGTCTCGGCTTGGGTGACATTGTCCGGTTCACCAAATTGACCCAACGTCAAGTGCGCGAAAGCCTTGTGGTGCTTATTCATCATGCTCTTGTCCACTTTACCGAGCCAGAGGAGGGTGTACGTGAGCCGACATTCTATCAAGCAGACGCTCAAAGTATCATGATGCGGCTGCGGATCGGTCCTATCATGCGGGTCACTGAGGAGCAATATGGAAAAGAGGTAAGTAGATTGGGGGATGAGAAGAGAGAGATCCAATGTAGAGTAACCATGATTTGATTTGATTAGGCGCTTAATATCATCAAGCTTATATTCACTAATGGACGTATGCGACTACCAGCAATTCATCAATGGGTCTCCGATTTTGACAGCAAACCCAAGACAAGTGAGTTGGATCAATCTTCAAGGTCATTGTATGCGGATCACTTATCAAACAATGATATCATACATAGAGAAAACAACATATACCACAGCATTCAAACGACTCGCCATGGCTGGTCTTATCACAGCTTTACTCCCTGAACACAGCCGATCGAGCACGGATAGGCTACTCATTGCCCAAGAAAAGGAAGCACAAAAGTATACAATCACCAGTGCAAAGGATATGAAGGCTATCAAGCAAGCAGCACAGGCACAAATCGACGCTGAGTATTCAATGACAGAAGGCATTGGCATGGTAAAGTTTGCGTTGCTAGGGATGGATGGATCACGCTACATGTGACAGGTAACTGATGGATTGCTTTTCTATATAGAAACGAAAAGCTGTTGATGCGTTAGCCGGTGAAGAAAAGCGAATGGCAGTTGGCAAGGAAGATGACGTTGATCATTTCGACATTGACAACACCGTCTATTTCGCCATCAACTATGAGAAATACAACATGATTTTCCGGAATAACGTGAGTAGGATACGACATGGCAATGATAGGAGGGTATCTCACATTACATTATCATAGACAATCGTTGATTTTGCCACCGAACGTATCAACCGCACTGCAGGCCAGATTGTAAAGGCGTTCTTAGAGCACGGCAAAAGTAAAATGAAAATGATCAAGGAAGAAGATTCTCGTAAGTCATCACGCAAAGGCTAATAGAGCTGATGATATTGATTGAATGTTTGCCTATGTAGCCTCCGCATCCCCAATGCATATCGTCAACCTCGTACCATCCGAAATGTTGACACAAGGCGATATTGTATTGCAGCCTGACCCAATGGATCCTGACAAAAAGCCCTCGTATCAAGAAGTGGTTAGAGGGTACCTTGCACTCTTAAAGACCGATCAAGGTGGTTTTATCAAATCCAAAGACGAGATGGGTGCCAATCAGTTTTCTGTCAACTTTGCCAGACTAAGGAATACAATGCGGCGTCGCGTGTTTGAGGGATTATTGCGAGACAAATATGGTGTAGCCACTTGTCGGATTGTACGCATTTTGTTGGATAAGGGCAAACTAGAGGAATCACAAGTGCAGAAATTGGCCATGTTGCCTGCCAAGGAAACGCGTGAAAAATTGGGTCTTCTCAATTCCAAGGGCATTGTGGAAATTCAGGCAAGTAGGGGGGGATTGGATTTGTAGCTACTTCAAAGGGCTAATCGGATCATCATCATCAAATCAATAGGAAGTGCCCAAATCAGCAGATCGAGCACCTGCACGTACTATTTATCTTTGGTATGTTCCGCTAGAAAAGTGCTATCAAGAACTATTGATGGATGTATACCGAGCTATTGGCAATCTACAACAACGAAAGCAAGAGGAACTCAAGATCCGTCATCGTTTGGTGGAAAAGCTCAGCCGAAGAGATGTGATTGAAAACATGGATCTTTTGAGTGATGGTGACAAAGCCGAGATGGCTCAAATGAAGAAGGTCCTCGAGCGATTAGAAGTATCCAAGATGCGTTTAGATCAAATTGTGATGATTTTCAGAGATTTCTAAATAATACATATAAAGCAGCCCGGTTGCTATAGTGATGCATGATATGCATGGGTATGTCTCTCTTGTGTGTTTGAGTCGCTTCGTCGTGTGCGTGTGAAATAAAAAGCGTGCATGAATTTCTTACCCCCCTCCTCCCGACTTGTTTCCCATCCTTATCAACCATGGAAGAAAACAGCAACAACAATAACAGCCACACTGCCAGTAGCAACCACCGAGCACTGTATAAGCGTACCAGCATACCAAGAAGTCAAGAAGAATTGCGTGAACGACGTATGGTGTTCGATCAATCCCTTCGCAAGAAGCATCGCGAACAGCTTATTACTGCCAAACGATTCCGTCAACTTACGCATCGCGAAGAAAAGGAGAGTGCAGGTGACCCGTTGCCACCCATCAATGAGCACGATGGCAAGTTTATATCACAAGAGGCATGATGTTTTGATATGTAAAAGCTTATATGAACTTTATTATAGAGGATATCGATCCTTACTATCGTCTAACACCCGAGCAAGTGAATGCGCTGGCATCTGATTTGAAGAGTGATGAAAAGCAAGTGCGTATGGTGGCAGCACAGCATTTGAGCAAGTTTATCTTGGAGCCGGCACAAGCTTTGATTGATTACATTACTCAAGGGGATTGTATGGAAGCGCTTACAGTGAGTATTTTATCAAAGTGGTGGTGATGGTGGTGTATTCAACTCCTTATCTCTAACCCAATGGCAATAGCACATGATGACGGGCACTGAGCCTGATGAGCAGCTGCAAGCCGTCCAAACAATCTCAAGTATGTAATTTACCCACCACTTACTTCCTTGTGATTGTGGGCGGCTAATGTAACTGATGCTTCATGCACCAGATATTGCCGCTGGTCCTCATGATTTATGGATAAAGTCAGTCTCGGCCGTGCCATATATGATCCAATACCTCGATTCGGATAACATTGTATGTATTAGGGTCATCCAGGATGATGTGCTTTTCCTCACACCGATACATAGAATCTTCAAGAAGCAGCAGCTGGTGCTTTGGGAAATATGGCAGCTGAAGAACTGGGTGATATGACAACCGAAGATGATGAAGTACGTGATACGATCCGAAAGAATGGCACCATTCCACCTTTGGTACGATTGCTTGATTCTACGGTACGTGTCTTTATTGTTTACTGCATAGCTTTGTTCTCACAAATAAGCAAAAATAGGATCCCAGATTGGTGCAGACGACATGCTTTGCTTTAGCCAACTTGGCAGCACGCGCATCAGAGAGTCAACTACATGCATTCATGGCTGCTGGGATAACACCTCGATTGTTGCGTCATCTCAAGGATAAAACGGTATGGCATTGTTGTTCCCAACAACCATGTATCGAATGATTCATCTCACTCACACACACACATAGCCTGATACAGTCACTGATATTTGTTGGGTGCTCAGTTACATGACAGCTGGGTCCAAGGAGTTCCGAAAAGAAATCATGCATCAACGCATCGCTCCCTTGCTGGTAATGTGTAACCTGCTACCATCATTGTTTCGTCACCTTTATTGATGTTGTGTTTATTAGGTGGAGAATTTGAGAGATCTTGCTCAGCATGGTCCTGTGGTCTTGCCTATTGTGCGTACTCTGGGAAATTTATGTGGTGGGCCGGATGAGTACACCAAGGCTTTGCTTGCACAGGATGGCTTCCTCTTCACAATACTCCTTTTGACGCATTCCGAGCATCGGTAATCCTTACTCATTTACAACGCTATATGAGCATGCCACTGATATTTAAACTAGGGCAATCAAAAAGGAAGCGTTATGGGCATTATCCAACATTACATCTTGGTAAGTGATACTGTTTGTTTCACCTTATGCAAACAAAGACGCTGACCCTCGGTTTCCCCCCGCATCATAGTGAGGATATGGACATTGTGAAAAGTGTGGTGGATGCAAATGGTATTGGTTATCTCGCTGATATCCTTGAACAACATGGCGGTTATGATATTCGTCAAGGCGTAAGTATATAACTCCAACCAGATGAGGATTGAACAATGACTCAAATAATCCCATATAGGCTGCTCAATGTCTCTTGAATATTGCCTATCACAGTGAAAAGTATATGGAGATTCTACCACATCAACGGCTACTACCAGGTAACCTTTCTTTTTTCCCATGCACCCAGGCTCTCTTATTTACTCATCTTTTCTCACCCCTCCAATAGCCTTTGTGGATTTGGTCCAATCTCAGGATGCTGAAATAATGAAGCTTGGATTACAGTACATTGATTTGCTATTGACACGTGTACCAAGGGTAAGTAAAGATGATGGGATGGTAAATGCGTGTTTGTATATTTGGTTGACGTCTCTTTACTGTATTAGGGAGCTGATGTGGTTCAAGTGACACCAAACTGCATGAAAGCTTTAGGTTCAGTGACACCCATGCCTGATCCCGAGCTCTATGTGTATGCGAACAGATTGGTTGACAAATTTTATGGAGAAGCAACACAAGAGCTACATGGATGAATGAATGAAGTAGTAATGCAGCCCATAACATTATCATTTATCAATAAAACAACTTGTATGAAAATGTGCATATTTTAATGGAGGAACATGGTATATAGGAGTAGTAAATGAAACTAGATAATAGCTGTTGAACATACCAAGGAAGGAGGGTGGGGGTTGAAACGCACACATACACACAAGGGGAATGGTTGGGGGTGGGATGGTGGATAATAGGTATCATTGATTTTCTTCATCAGGATGTTCTGCATAGGTGCGAATGCTTACGATCAAACGTTCCATATCGGATTGACATCTTTCGACGGCGGATTGCAAATCACCATCTGTCTCCTGCACGTTACCAGCAAGTGCTTCTAATTCCGAACGCACATGATCCACAAAAGCTTCAGTGTTGGATTGGACTTGATCACGCATCCTCCGCAATGCATCGAGTCGCTGTTGCTGTTCTTCAACCCATTGATAGGCTCGTGTTTCATGTATCTTGGAAGCCAAATGACATCGTTCAGCTACAATCGCTAGTTGCGCATTGACGACACGAAGTTCTTGTCGAAGTCGATCCACTTCTCGTTGTGGGCCAGAAGCCATGGATTCTTCCAAAACCTTATAATGCTGATCAAGTCGTGCCTTTTCCTCAGTAACAAACTTGTGCTTTTCCATGGCTGCATCCAATTCCTTTCGTGCCTTGGCCGCTTCTTGCTTTAGTCGCTTGACCTCGCTCTCCATATCCTGCGACGATCGTTTGGACTGATTTAGTTGCTGCTGTTTGCTGTCCAATGTACGCATCAAGCTCTGGATCTCTGAACGATGCTGTGTGTTGCTCTCTGCATATTCCTGTGCCTCCAATTGGTACTTTTTTTTCGATTCACGTACTGTATCCAGCTATGTATGTAGTATTGCTTCAATGAATAAACGAGGGAAAAGAGGAGTTGTATGAAAGGTTCATTACCTGCGATCGGGTGGCGGCTAGTTCTTTTTGAATGGACTCCCAATCTTGTTGAAGTTGTACGAGTACTTTACTGGATCGCGAGTTTTGGACACTTGTTGGCATGGGTTGGAGCATAAGTGTTGCACCGGGAAAGAAGGTTAAAAGATGGAAGGAAGGAAAATGAAAAAATACAACAAATCAAGCACCGAGGTTGGCATGGTATGCTGGGCTGAGCAGAAAACCACGTTTCTTGGTTACGGAAACAGTAATCATATTAGGGATGGGATCGATGTGGCATTGACAAAGAAGAGGGCATATGAAACAGACGTCATATTAATTCACTTGGTAGGTTTTGAATGCACACATAGCACTGGTGTGAAAATATGTGTGGGGTAAAAAGTTGGGTTGAGCAAATGGTATTATAGGTTCTCTCGGCATCATCAAAATTGCCTCTTTCTTTCTTTGACTTTCCTTGTTTCTTTTTCCCTTTCTTCTTATTTAAAGCAGCAACCACCACCACTTTTACACCACTCTTACTACTACTACTACCACCACAACCACCACATTTGAAGTTGTCAGTCCGTGCACACTCGCCTCCTTTTGTGTTCCATCGATCCATCCTTGTCGACTAGTTGGATTGCTTAACCAAGCCTATTTTAATCCGAAAAGACAAGAGAGGGGGAAACGCTTTGCTATTGTGTCGTCGCTGCGTTTGCCTCTTTCTTTTCTTTTTCTTCTCTCTCAAAAGTCAACTTTCAGCACATTCTTCCACGAGGCTTGAGACGGTGTGTGTACGTGTGTGTAGTCGTTCGCAAGAGAACAAGAACAGGGAAACGACGACGACGGTATCCCCTTGCTTTTGCTCTTTCTATTGGCTTCTCCTCGTCTTTTTTATTATCAACGTTTTCCATTGCGGACTGACAGACACCGTGTACATCCTTCATTCAACCTCGACATTCTCATCCTTGCGCATTCGACTCCCATGACAACGACATTTTCCATTCGCAAGACTACTGCTGCTGCTGCTGCTGCTGCTTCTTCCCACAAGTGCAAGTATATCAAGCCCCGTGCCATCCAATCACCTGCCGCCTTACCGTTGCACACCTCACTTCCTCCTTCTCCGCCGCATAAACAGCAGCAACTACAACATCATCCAACAGCATCCTCGGTCGATAGTACTCTCAGCACAAACAGCAGAGATGTCATTGTTGGTGATCAATGGCTTGTCCTATCAAGAATAGGCGAAGGCTCTTTTGGTGAAGTATTTGAAGGTATGTGAAATCCACTTCTCTTTTACTTTTTACATCATCATCATCAGCTGACACATTTTCACTTGTTATTATTATAGCCGAGGACATTGACACCCATCGACATTATGCCATCAAGCGTGAACCACTTGACACACCTTTTTCTCAATTACGACATGAAAGCATCATGTATGATGTATTAGCAGGTGGCCGTAAGTGTTGTCCACTACCACCACTGCCCATGATGATGATGGTAACACATGTCATGTTGCTTTATTATCATAGCTGGTATTCCCCAATGCCTGTGGTATGGCGAACACGATGACTTTGCATGCATTGTGATCGATCTCCTTGGATCCAGCTTATCACAATTACGCGAGACGGTAGCCTACATGTCCATTGACACGGTAGTTGACCTTGGTTGCCAAATGGTAAATAGGATAATACCAATAATTACTATACTTGTCATATACTCACACGCATCTAAATTAGGTTACCATCCTGGAACATATCCACAATCGAGGCGTGGTGTATCGCGACGTGAAACCAGACAACTTTTTATTCCCTGCAAACTGCCATTTGCCAACAACGACAAGCGTGGCTTCATGTGCCGATGTCTTTGACACCAACAATATTCCTCAGCTGAGCGTGGTTGATTTTGGTCTTGCAACATGGTGGCGTAATCCACAAACGCATAAACCATATCCACAAAGCAAACGCCGTATCAAGCATAAAACAGGGACAGCACGTTACGCATCACTCAATGTGCATCGAGGCAAAGTGCATGCTCGTCGTGATGATCTTGAAAGTCTCGGCTATCTATTGTTGGATCTACTCATCGGCACATTGCCATGGACCGGCATTCAAGCAAAGAGCTCCAAAGCTGGATGGGATCGTATGCGTGAGCTCAAAGAAAATACCGATCTTAGAGATCTTTGTGCTGGATTGCCACGTGGTTTACTTGAATTTGTTGCCTATACAAGAAGTCTTCATTTTGCCGACACGCCTGATTACGATTACCTGAGACGGATGTTACGTGAATCGATTGGTCATGGTGAACTTGCAAAGTCCGTACCAGAAAAGTCTCCATCCTTATCATCATCATCATCCCATCATCATCATCAACAACAACGACATGTAAAAGGTGGTACAACGACGAGTACAACAACAACAGCAGAGGAAGGTGTATTTGTCATGGATGATCTTGCACATGAGTTGTCAGCAGTCGATATTCAACAACCCAATTATCGACAAGGACGACGAAGACGAAGAAATAGTAGCAACAATCATCGAAAACGTTCCACTAGCAAAGGTAGTCTCCATCACAATACACCGAGACGTGGCAACAATGCGCCAACTACGACGACACCACCATCGCCACCCTCTCCATGTTCCATCTCGGCTGGTACTACTGGTGGTAGTAGTAAGCATCAACAACAACATGCACAACGTAAGAAACATGGTGGTTCTTTGGTGGGTTGGAATACGCACAAAAGTTCACGTGTAGCAGCATCTGCGGTGTCAAAACAAAAAGTGGAAGAGGTGACAGCAACGCCTATGGATGATGAATGGAACAAAATGATGCTATGGGGAGAAAAGCAAGCCTGCTGGGGACAACAGGATCAACGCCAACACCCTCCTCCATGGTTATAGCTTTATCCTTGTGCGTATGTGTGTGTAATACCCCAATGATGCTGATGATGATAGGTGTGTGGGAATTCCGAGTAGGTGCATCGAATAAGCATTTCACACAGTTCTTTTCTACTACATCTCCTTGGAATAAAAATCAATTCTTTGTCCCTTTTTCTCTTGCTTTATCATCACCTCGCTGCTATGTTTCTTGCTTCGACAACAACATCATCGCTTCGATCACTCGCTCACAAATGCTTTTCAACATCAGCCTTTCGTGCTTCAGCGCTTTCCAACACCTATGTCAAATATGATTGGGAGGACCCTTTCAACTTGGAATCCATGCTTACTGAAGAAGAGCGTATCATGAGGTATAAAACGTCAAGACCATCATCATCATCATCATCATCCATCCTTACGTTTCATCTATTAGAGACACAGCTCGCAATTACAGCCAAAACAAATTGTTGCCACGTGTTGTGGATGCTTTTCGAAATGAGAGTAAGCTCAAGGCTGCCATACTACCATTCACCACACACGACTCATATGATAATAATGATAGAGTTTGATCGGCAAATCCTGGCAGAAATGGGTGAACTTGGATTGTTGGGCGCTACCATTGATGGCTACGGATGTGCAGGTGCATCATCAGTTGCTTATGGACTTGTTGCTCGTGAGATTGAAAGGCATGTATAGGTTGTCGACGACGTTTGATTGATAGATAGGAGAGAGGCTAAAAATCATGCATGGTACCTTATGCAGGGTAGATTCGGGATATCGTTCGGCCTTGTCAGTTGTCTCATCGCTGGTGATGCATCCCATATGGGCGTATGGTACCGAGGAACAAAAAAACAAGTATCTACCTGGTTTAGGTAAAGAGACGATACACGACCCCTACTACTACTAAGATGCATTGCTGATCCTTCCTCCTTGCGTAATTTCCTTTTCTATATCCGTATCTTATGCATACGCAGCCAAAGGCACTACCATTTGCAGTTTCGGATTAACTGAACCCAACCACGGCTCTGATCCTAGTGGTATGGAAACTACAGCACGCAAAGAGGGCGATACCTATGTGCTCAATGGCAGCAAATCCTGGATTACATTGGCTCCTATTGCTGACATCATATTGATATGGGCTAAAAACTTGGATGAGGATGGTGCTGTACGTGGTTTCATTGTTGACAGGGCAAGTACAACATTGTAGGACGCGCTTTTGCACATTACTATGCTAATCCTTCCTTTATGCAGAACACACCTGGTCTTGAGACACCTGTAATTGAAGGCAAACTCTCGCTTCGAGCATCGATCACAGGCATGGTTATGATGGATGAGGTGCGTGTGCCAGCTGAAAACATGTTGCCTGGTGCCAAAGGGTTACGTGGTCCTTTTGGATGTTTGAACAATGCAAGATTTGGTATTGCATGGGGAGCACTTGGTGCAGCTGAAGCATGTTTGAATACTGCAAGAGACTACACGATGCAACGTACTCAATTTGGTCGACCTTTGGCAAGCAATCAATTGATCCAAAAGAAACTTGCAAATGCACACAGCGAGGTAATTCATCGTTTTTCATTCATCGTTTAGAAACGGCTAATTAAAGTATCAAAGATTGCACTTGGGCTTCATGGTTGTTTGCAAGTCGGGAGACTCAAGGACCAAGGCAAAGCGGCTCCTCAAATGATTTCTTTGTTGAAGCGTAATAATACCATCAAGGCCTTACAAATCGCCAACGAATGTCGTGAGATGCTAGGTGGCAATGGGGTTGTCGATGAATATCATGTCATGCGTCACGCTTGTAATCTTCAATCTTTGGTCACGTATGAAGGCACATCAGATATCCATGCTCTTATTCTCGGCAAGAGTATTACCGGCATCAACGCTTTTTACTGATGAATGAAATAAATATGGAAGTCGTTCCGATTCGCTGCTACAATTTCGACTTGTGTTCATGTGATCCGAAAATGCGGCGGCCCAAAGCGAAATGAGCGGATCATTAATTGGGACCACTTGTTTCACCCATGTTGCTATGCTGATTACGTACGGGCAAACCCTGACGACCCTTTACTTTCCCTCGCATCCCATATACATACATACATACATACATACATACATGATGTTACTCATCAACAAAGTCTACCTTACATGCATCTATTATACCATAAAATCGTAAAAGCTTTTGATCCATTATCACTGGCACGACGATACTTAATGCCTATTGCAGCTAGAGATTGCTATACCATGTTCCAATAGAATGCCTAGAAAAACAATGGCTGTATTCCTCTTCCATGAGGACCCGCCGCTCAAGCGGGGTGGGATGATGCGATGCCCCAGGAATTCCTTTTTGGTTACGGGAAGATTGGGAACCACCCAACAAAACGCCATGATGAATCTTGTTCGATGATGCATACACCCAGCGTTCTGGGTAGGAAAAAAGTGGGATTATAGCGTTATCCATTCATTGCTGCTGTATGGTGTCTTTACGCTCAGCAATATACACCCCCTCATCCACATTCATGCTACCATGGTTGGACATGTACAGCATTGTTTTGTCAACATAAAAGTAGCGCACTGACATTGTTCAAATAATGAAACCGAAACATGGTATTTGCTGTCAATCAGATGTGCCCTATTCCTACATGCTCCAGATCTTCCCGTTGCCTTTTTTTTCCCAACACTGGTATTTCGTCATATGCTGTACACCTCTATCTTGTGCAAGGATAGGCATCTCTACTCACTATTTCATCGCTTTTACGTTGCAACTACAAGGCAATGATCCCATTTTTGATCTGATTTAGACAATCATTAGCACTATAGCTGAAACAAAATGGGTCGATAAGTATCCCGAGTCAATGGATGTGAATCGAGAAGGTGCAGCAAGACAACCAAACGATGCACGACCCCGATCGTAACGGCGCATTTAGCATTGTGCCACATTGCCTTTTGTTTTCTATCAAAGATCTTTCTCTTTGCTTTTAATGTCGATCACACGAATTGATTTCGCACGGTCGTCATTGCCCCTTGAGCAATGTTCCACCTTGTATATCATGCCTTTTATCTTTGGATCATTTCCATTGACCCTTGATGCGTGATCAGCATTATAGTAAAATTTAAATGACTAATGTCAGCATTGACCCAGAACGGAACTAGGTTTGTGCTGGGTGTGTATGGGTGGGAAGAGAGTGAGCGGGGCTTTGTTAGCTGCAGTTCAATCACGGAAGCACAAGGAAAGTTTTTTTTTCAACATCCAAGAGGTATAGTAGTATGCATGATGATGCTGACATTTCCATACTCTTCCATATCAATATACCCATTTTGTATCATCCCATGATGTATAAGTCTTTTTTGATGCTTTTATGTTACTAGCCAAGAAAAATTACTCATATATGGGTCATTTCGCCCACATCAGACAACAAGCTTTGAAACGATTGTAATTCCGCATTTCCCCAGATTTGGTATCACTATTTCGGGAAAGGGCATCCCGCGGAAAGCGTGTACCGAATCATGATCCAAGGAATAGAGCGGTATAATGTGGGGAAACGAGGCCCAGCCTATGAGCTGAGATAGGCATGTGGGGAGTTTTTGATGTTGGTTTTTGCGCGGGGAACCCGGGTGAGTAAGCACGACATAATACAACCCCACCAACACCACCAGCACCCTTCTCCACCACCACCGAGGAGCAGGAACGAGAAAAAATATTGGGATCCAGTCTATTCCTCTTATAAAAGACAAGCTCTTGTCATCCTATTACCTTTTTTTTTCTTAATCCCTACCACCTTCTCCTCCACCAGCACATACTCTTTGTCATGGCTGTCGTTGAAAAAGATCAAGAGATCGGCCACATTGATATGGAGGCCGTATCTCAAGCAAGCAGCCATCATACCGAATACCGTAACAATTTGGATCTTACTGAAGAAGAAAAACTTGTCGAGAAGCGCCTGGTGCGTAAACTCGATTATCGTCTCATGCTTTGGGCGTAAGTCATTGTATACATGCCACCTTAAGAATAAGAAAACTCATCGAAAATGGCTCATTTAGTTTCCTTGCTTACTGGGCTAACGGCTTGGATCGTAACAATATGCGTATGTATTTTTGACATTTGCGCTTGTGGTAGTAGTGACAATACTAATAGCATTCGTTTCATGCAGCCAATGCTTATACAACCGGTATGAAAGAAGAACTTGATCTCGACAGCAGTGCATACAACTGGGCTATCACCATGTTCTTCATTGGCTATGTCATGTGAGTCCTCCTCCCTATTCAATCTTTGCTTCGTAAACTTGTTACTTATTCAGCCATCCATTAGTTTGCAAATTCCCGCCAACGTTGTCATCACCCGAGTACGTCCTGCCATCATGTTGCCGCTTGTTGTGACCCTTTGGGGTGCTGTCGTTTGTTTCATGGCCCTTGTCAAGAACCATAGCGCACTCTTTGGCTTGCGTATCGTCCTTGGTTTCACTGAAGCTGTATGTATCGCTTTTAAATCATCCCCCAACAACAACAACTCACACCATCCATCTATAGCCCTTCTATCCCGGCATGGTTTACTTGCTTGGTAACTGGTATACTCGTCAAGAATTAGGCTCTCGCACTGCCTTTTTCGTTGCTGGATCTCAATGTAAGCTTTTTTGCCCATATTTATTACCATGCCGATAATAACGTTCTACTATGATATAGTCTCTGGTGCCTTTTCTGGTCTTATTTCAGGATCCATTTCTCAAACTTTGGATGGCGCAGCTGGCATGCGAGGCTGGAAATGGCTTTTCATTATTGAAGGTCTCATTGGTGTTGTTATTGGCCTTATGGGCTTCTTCCTTATCCCCGATTACCCCCACAACACTCGCTTTATCAAGGATGATGAACGTCGAGTCGCCATCAAACGTTTGGAGCGTCAAGGCAAGAAGGTCATTGCCACTGGTCTCAACTTGCAAACCTTGCGTAACATTGCAACCACGCCCTATGTGTACTTGTTCATTCTTATCTTCACTTGCATGCAACTTGGAATGGGTATCCTTCAACAATTTGCTATCATCCTCAAGGAAATGGGCTACGAGGCCTCCTTTGCTAACTACATGACCGTGCCTGTTTGGTGCTTTGCTGCGTAAGTACAAAGCATGATCCCCCTTCTCGAGAAAAGTTGTAACTAACAAAAAGACTATAGCATTGTCATTGTCACCCAAGGCTATCTCTCTGACAAATATGGCCATCGTCACTGGCACATTCAAGCTGGTGCCGTGTGGACCTTGATTTGGTACATCTTATTGGTGGCTGTCAACAATGGCCATGTACCCATCCCATTGTTGTACGTCTGTGTCTATATGGTTGTCCCTGTTCTCGGTATCTCTCCCATCATGATGACATGGAACAATGAAATCCATCAATGTGATCCTGGTACGTGTATTTTTATTATACATAATACCATGCCTTGGCTTTTTGCTCATCATCTTTTTCTATATTACAGAAACACGTGCCCTTGCTATTGCCATGGTTAACTCGATTGGTAACCTTGCCCCCAACTTTATCAATGTTGCGGCATGGACCGTCACCCAAGCACCTGCATTCCGCCTTGGAAAGATCGTTACCACCGCTACTACGGCTGCCATGATTGTCATGTGTGCTATTGTCTATATCTTGGAACGCTACAAAATCTTGCTTCCCAAGGCTCAGCAACGTATTGAAACCGAGAGCATGGAAAAGAAGGAAGAACACTAAAGGATGTCTCTACTATTCACGATCAAAGCTCTCTATCACAACAACTGTATATTGTAATTTCTACTTCTTGTATTCCTTATCGATTCTGTAAATAAACATCACCTGCCTTATTATCGTGTAATCATTTTATATGCTCCGTAGGGTTCTATAGGGGTGTATAACTCGTAACACAATGCATTAGCAACCTCGTGCAAAGGTAGCCGGTACCAACATGTGCATCGAGGATGTCAAAAGTGATCATGTGTCACACACTGATCCTGCAATCTCAAGTCCGAACTTGCCACAGCAATCCTTGCTTATTAATTAATGATGGCTTAACGAGGAGAAAAAAGAACAAACGTATATTTCACATCATGCAAACGTGGGGAGGGGGTGATGAATAGATGAACGATGGGTGATATTGGGAGAAGCTAGTCAGGTACATTTATATAGCGGATGCGAATGATTGTGAGGGAAAAAAAGAAAGCTTGATGATGCAAAAGGGAACAGAAAGGAGATGGGTGAGGAAGGGGGGGAGCAATCTAGATATCAATATCGTCCTTTCCAAACATGCCACCAAGAACGACCTTTTCACCTGGATTGAATGCTGGCATACCAAGATAAGGACATGTTGAGCATCGGAAAGCGTCACCCAAAGCACAGCTTCCACAGCCACCAGTTGCCTTTGAGGTAGGATCCACATCAACGACATCATCACTTGAGCCATCATCTTCCATCAAATCCAATGATACGACATTTTCAGCTTCTTCCTCATCCATTTCTGCACGACCACATGTACAATTCTTGCATGCTTTACGTCGACCGCCGGTCATTTCACAATCATCAGGACGTGCCAAAGATTCCTTGCTAGGCTTGATACGATCTTCTTCATCCAACAAGGCTTCATCATCCTCGAGTTCTTCATCATCGTCGTCATTACCAGAGACAGCCCATACGGTCTTTTTGGTCTCTTGTTGCTGCTTCTTTTTGCCAAAGCTCAATGTCACCTTTTGGCCAACTTCATAAGCAGGCTTCTTGACAGTGATATAGACCATGCCCAATTTGCCTGAGAGTGCTTGGACACCTTGTTCTACACGAGCAGCACCCCATGCCTTGATGAATTCTGTGAGATCAGCATCCGAGAGAGGCAACACCTTTTGAACTTGAACATCCACGAATCCAGTCAACTTGAGTAGCGACACCAATTCAGCTTCTTTGCGTGTAACAGGACATAAATTGGCATTCACAGTGGTGCCATCCAACCAAATGGGCTCTTGCAATACCAGACTGCCGTTAGCCGTCAATGTGGATAGAAAGCGTGAAAGAATTTGAGGTGTGTGGATGCTGATAGGAGGCTCTGCCGTGTTGGAATAAATCTTGCTGTAGGATGCCTTGTTCAAAGGAGCTATCAAAAGAAGTGATAGATAGATATGAGTGACCCTTACAACACAACCATGAAGAGTCTCTGATCTCCCAATTACCTTCCGCAACCCGCTCCATGGCTTCAAATGAAGTATTGCCAGCCTCCTTTTCAGCCGATGCCTTGATCTTTTCAAGAGAAGCTTGATCGGACTTGATAGAAGATACTAGTAGAATGGAATCGTTTGCTGATGCAACCATGGCTGTTGTGTAGAGAGAAACGGAAAAGAAAAGAAGATAGAAAAGACAACGGCGGTGGGTTTGTCAGCAAAAGCAATCAATAAATGATTGGTTCTCGGGTTCCGAGCATCCCATTGACCGAGATCATCTGCTTGATAAACGCAGGTGCTGGTGTGTAGGTGTTATCGCCCGGTGCATTCCGTTACCAGGACAATGCCCTTTATCAATGTCATATTTCTTTTATCACATTATCATCTAAAAATTGCATCCACTCATTCATTATCATACCCTAACCCACCCCCCTTGTTACCGGGAAACGGTACTTCTTTGTGTCCCATCGTCCTCATTATACCAATCACATGTGATCTTACATTACCTTAGAAGAATCAAAATTATCCCCATTGTTTCATGATTGCCCTGGTATCCAACGCAACAATACCCCTTCTTTTTTTGAATCACAGGATTCATGTAATACGACTCGGCGATCAGCTGACTTTATACAATAAAACGCAAACACCACCACGTTATATGGCCTGAGAAATTGTGAATGCTGATCTCATCAAGCTGCATAGTAACAACCCCCCCTTTCCCCTATGTAACGACACATACAAACAATTATAGGTTCCTTCCATACATCATCAGCCATATTAATGAAGAATCTGCAGGTACAAAGAAATGAAATGTTATGTACAAATAGCAATATAGAAAGTGGGCGTGCGTGTGTGAGTGAAGTAATAATAAGTGCGTGGATGTAATAAAAGAGGTGGGGATGTTTGCATGGATGATGAGATGCGGTTGTGTGAGTGTGTGTGTGCGTGTGCGAGTGTGGTCGTGTGTGTGGAATGGAATCGGATAGAAGAAGTGGGGGTGTGATGATGTGTGTGTGTGTGTGTGTGTGTGTCTAAATGTAATTGTGTCTACTATTTTCATGAAAAAGCTGCTGCTCTTGTCGAAGGTGCAAAATGATCGTAAAATCCACTATCGACTTCTCGAGAAGGGACCATGTCCTCGCCGACCAAATCATCATCATCTTCCGTAACAATAGCATCGGCATCTTCAAAAGGATTGACATACGCCTGTTTTGTCACTTGTTTGTTTTCTTGAACGGTCATAAGCAATCGATGTTTGAGTTCGGGATCCTCCTCCAGCTCAATACGTGGTTCAAAGGTGCCGTGTAAACCCATACGAAGGCCATGGAACACATACATGGCATCTCTTTCAGCATGTCCCAATTTGGATTCACTTTCTAAGCAATGCTCTATGACCTCACGAGCACGTTCCACAATTTCTTCAATGTCGTCGTCATCGTCATCTTGGTGAAACTGCACCAACGTGCGTCGTCGATGCCAATAATGCTTCATGACGTATCGGACGACAAAATGCACTTCCATCCCTCCTCGACGAAGCACTTGTTGTCCATCACCAATTTGGCCAAGTTGTTGTTCAAGCATGTTCAAGAAACGAGAACGAATTTCGCACGTGGGAGGCAACACAAAGAGGATATAGTTGAGCGTGTATAATCGGTGCGTCATCATTTCCCATAATTGTTGGTTGCTATGGCTATTGTTGGCAGGAGGATACCGTTGCTGTGATGGTGGTGTGGCGGCAGGTGATAGTAGTGCAGCAGGTGTCGGCTGACGAATCGGCGTAATCATCGTCTGCAGTGTTTGCTTTAATCGTGCTGCCATAAAGAAAGCCCGGTTTTGACATCGTTTGTCGTTGAAAAAGAAAGATCCAAATACATCCGCAAATTCTCCATTTTGTGCTTCTCTTGACATGGCTCGCAAGGTCTCACCAAAGCTGTTGGCTGTAGTAGAAGAAGTTGTTCTCCCAGCAGCACTAATAGTGCGACTACGTGGCAATGAATGACGAGCCATGTTGCCATAATCAGATTTGGTATTACTTGATGGAAGTTCTTCTGAGGCCGTTGATGTTCTTGAGGGAGGAGGAGAAGAAGGTGGATTTGGCGAAGGCGAACGATGTCGATGTGTAAAGGCCGATAGCTTTTTAACTGAGCGGACCCTCGAAAGCTTGGATGAAAAGTTGGACATGATGAAAGGGGTGTTTTGAAAAAGAAAAGAACACAAAGGATGAAGGGGGTTGAGTGAGTGTGAAAGATGGAAAAAGAAAAAAGGGGGAGACAAAAGAACAAGACGAGTAAAAGAGAGAGAGAGAAAACGGTAAAAAAAGAAACAGATAACGAAAAGGTTGTTGGTGCCCTGCCAAAAAAGCCAGCTGGTACACGTTTCCTTGTGCTCAGATGCACCGAATATAGAAAGCAGATGTGCCTTTTAATTCCCTTCATCCAAGACACGCTTCAACTGTTCTCTTTGTTGATCAGTGATTGTGATGCAAATAGACGACACGGAGGATGATGGGTACTATTGCGCGCATAAATCTTATTAGCTACATGTCGTTGCTGCCACTACTGCTCCACCTGGCACTTACCAATAAATCCCGAATACGGGATTTTGTATCCGCAGAACTCCGAGAAGGATCGGCTTCACACAACAACAGACTTTGGATATATCTCTGGTTCATCTCGCTCTGTGCTTCAGTCGTACGTTGCTGCAACCACATGGCAAAGTTGCCGCACTTTAAAAATTGTGCATACAGCTCTTTGGTGGGATCCGATGTAGACGTCCTTGTCTTAAAGGTCGACTTGAATGGTAGTTGCGTGCCATGCTCCTTTAGATACTTCATGAATTGCTCGGTCTGGAACGGTCTCAGTTGAGGAGGTCCTACATCCGCCTGAAACACCCTACCAAATCGAGTAGTTATGTTAGCAAAAAAGCAGCTTCCACCTGCAATGCATATCTCCTCGTCTTACGTGTTGTTTGGAATAAGCGTGCTAAAATAGCGATTTAAAGGACCCAAGAACTTTTCAGTAAGATCGACAAAATGGCGACGTAATATGTTATTAAGCATCCAGTCTAAAGGGTTGGAACTCAGTAAATGAATAACGCATAACACATGGCCTTCTTTCCCCCAAAGAGATGAAGAAACGTACCTGGTGGGTAACCACGCATACTAGCCTCGGTGAGCATCTTGAGCAGTTGTCGATCTTTGGCTATGACAGCTTTTCGCTTCGATGTAACCCCCTGCATGAATCCCAATAAGCCCAATGTGGTCGTATATATACAATATTCCCTTTGCCGGCTCTTCTTACCTGTATAAACTCAAAAAGCACATTTGCTTTGCTCCCTAATGCAGCCTTTGATTTATGCGGTTGAATGTGGTTGCCGTGTGCAGTAATGAGTGTCCCATCCGGTTTGCTACATTATCAACGCTATTAGAACAAAGAGCAACATCATGGTGTACGTGTGTATAGAGTATATAACTTACCGTAATTGTTGTCTACCAACACGCACAATATGTGGCCAATGCTCGACAGCAGTATTAAAGAAAGGATTGGTTACACCAAGGATGAGATTGGAAGGTGGCTATATACGCGTTGCATAAGATTCTGCATAACCCCAGACTATGTCACACACTCTCTTTACCTTATTCTTGGTAACAAATGATTTGAAGTCTGGATCTTGAATGGTGAAATAAGGTCGATAATCGCCACAATAGGGAATCTAAAAAAAAGTATAATGAATGACGAATATTCATATTGATCCCCCGTTCGCTCGCTGTCATCATTCTTACCGGATTAATGAGGTTCACAAGTGACACCACTGCTTCACTGCATACTCCTGGATCAGGGGCCATTACCACCAATGGTTCAGCTAGCAGTATGAGCTCCCATAACAACCAAAGATCTTGAAGGATATCTTTAAAATGATGGTATAATCCGCCGATTGGCAATGATGCCATGATCTAGAAGCGGTAACGTATCAGCAAATGGGCATTGAATGAGCTTGTAACACGTCTTCATACCTGCTCCTCGGGTTGTAATCGATTCATATCAAATGATGTGGTCTCCAGCAGCTGAGGATTAAAAGGCCGTGATATCTCCACTTGTAGTAGGTTACCCAAAAACGGTAAATCGAGTACTTTGCCTTCTACCACAGGACTCCTATTTCCAAACATTCATATAAAGGGAGATGTGATTAGTCCTCTTCTCAATTTTGCCACCCCCCCCGCAAGGATTCGATGCTTACCAATTGGCAATGTTCATACACGCCGCTTCCAACATAGGTTGACCATTATCGAAAAACACAGGGCCTAGTAGAGCGACCAGCCGTGAAAAGAGACCCACAAATGGATGCTGTGACAAGAGAACCAATGATTTCTAATGCTGCTGGATCAGAAGAATGCCGACTCGTCTTCGTTACACGACCCTTTTTGTCCAACCTGGAAATAGCCGCGACGAATAGTGGGATCCTTTTTCTGCCGAAAGAAAACATAGCCGTAAAGAAAGCCTGCCGTTGATGTTGGGCCTATCGGATGTATAATGAGATCTCTTTACTCCCGAAAATCAAAACAAGGAGAGAAAGAAAGAGACACACACATACCAGACACTGCCAATCCTGCTGTACTTGCTCGTACTCGTACATTGTATACTTGATCCCCCACTTCGAATACATTGGAATCAGGAAAAGCCGAGAAACAACTAATCCATCATGTTCAATGATTTGATTTGATACCTTGCATCGTTCCCATGACGACTTACATGTTCTTTTTCTCCAGATCAGTGAGCTCCATAGGTGGATATACATAATCAAGCGCTTATGAAAACCATATCAGCAGCAGTTATAATAATAACCGAAGCCTTGTCCCAATAACCTTATATACCTTGTCCAATCTCCAGATCAAAGTTGACAATGCAAAAGCCAATCATCCATCTTCGGAATTGTGCTAAATCATCAGGATCCAACTTTAGCATGGTATCATCGTTGCCGTTCTCTGTAATATCCAGATCAAGGGCTGAACTCTTTGTTGATAAAGCATTCGCTGATGGTGGGCGTGGTGGTGGCGGCAGGGATGAAGGAGACCTTGATAAAGGTTGATCGTCAAAAAAGTTGGGTTGTGAACTGGATTTGCCTAGACTCTTTCCGAGAAAGGACGAAGACAACGAAGGTTGCTTTTTCAAAGAGAACATTCTGGGAGTGTCGCCAATGTCGGCTTCTTGGTATCTTGACATTGCTACTTTGCGTGTTGTTGCAGGTGATGCAGAAGGCGTTGTCAATGGGCTATTGTGTAGACGTGGTGATGCATAAGACCAAGGACGCGCGGTGTGAGAAGCCATGTCAGATTCATCGTCAACGTCGTCATCGGACAAAGTGAGCACTTGGAACGGCGAGGAGATATGCGAGTTAGAGATATCAGACTCCATAGCCATTTTGATTTGAAGAAGGGAATAAATAAAAGAGCTCTCCTCGAAAACCGGAAGGAAAAAGGAAGAGAGAGAGAAGAGAAAGAGAGGAGAAGGAGGAGGAGGAGAACAAGATCACTCTCATTCACTCACTCACGCTCACTCACTCATCTTTGTGCACACACCACACATTGGGCGGCATTTTAATATCTCCAGAGAGAGAGACAAACGAAAAGCATATGCACACACATACAAAGAAAGGGGGTGTATGAGGACTTTCATATACACTGATATGATTGAAACCTTTGATCTTCATGTCAATGATCCCCGGCTTGCCTTTTCATTCATTTCCCGGGTATACAAAAAAGAATAAACTCATTCAACAACCCAAACCCAAAGATGGGATTACACCCACCCCATGATCAATCTCCTCTACTACAAGTACGATTTGCATTTGATCCTTTACCTTTCATTGTATTCTGCTTGATTCCAATACTTCATTGTCCCCTTTCACAAGGACATCATAAGCTGGCTGCTTTCGGGAGTAACTGCGCGCCATTTATGTGGTGCTACCACCACTTGACGACGGAGATATTAAAGTTTCTTCTACTATGCATAAACGATGATGACCGTAGTAGTAGTAAAAGGTCCTTGTTTGCGTCAAGTGCTGCTAATGTATCATGACCCACCATACAACACACCCCGAGTAAACATTTGTATATATATAAACAACACGTCTACGATTACTTTTGTGAAGCCCCAAAGTAGTAGCCAATGTGTTAATGAACGTGTGTAGAGAATATGAATAGATTCAACAATATAAAAAGCGGATGTTAATGCATATGACATTAAGGTAACCATGGAAACCGCACCGGGCGACGCGTTTGGTTTAGAGTGAGCCCGATATGCCTGTAACCACATTCACCCAAAAACAGCTACAATCAGCTGAGAGGAAAGCATAAATCCAGAACGGAGTTGTGGCCACGCACCTGCATTCTCTTTTTCTTCTCGACGTCTTTTTTTTCATTACTCTTTCTTCTTACGTCTCCATTCTTTCAATCCTCCCTGCCGATAATCACTTGAAAGCTTCTCCTATCCTTCAACAGATTACGCAGCATAAGCATGACATTTTCAGAAAATGACCAAGACGACGTGTTTGTGAGAAGGCCATTACCGAAAAGCAAACACCGCGCTGTCCCTGGTGGTGGGAAGCAATATCAGCACCAACAGCATGGCACAACACCCCACACACGCCCCATCCCTACCGCAACCACAACCCCACAACAACAACCACAACAACAATCAGCAGCCGATTCATCCGATGGTTTCTCTGCCGCTGTTTCATGGCCTATCCTCTTAGCCATTGTGCCCACAGTGGGTTCCTTTTTTGCTGGTAGTGCAGATGCATGGAGTGACTTTGTAATGATCCTCTTGATTCTATTTTATGTGTATAAATGGATGACAGGTATGCAAATTCTATATCATGTTCACACACACACACCATACACACATCATTTGTATTCACACGCCTTCCTTCTTAGTGCCATGGAATTATTACGAAAGTGCACGTTCGAGACGTGTTATTCATCAACGATCTACATGGCGTGGTAGTGGTATCGATAGCGACGACATTGATAGCAAAAAGAAGCTTGCTGAATATGAACGACGCCAAGCTGTGGCTGATGAACTTCGACGACACGAGTTGGCTGGACTCATCTGGGTAGTCATATCACCTGTGGTTGCCGGCTACACGTTGCAGTATAGTCGTTACTTTTTAAGCAACTATGAACGCTATATGAGCTCTTTCAATGTATTTGTGTTTGTATTGGCGGCATCGCTCAAGCCTCTTGCCCACGTGCTTACCTTATTACGAGAACGCACCTTATACTTACAAAGCGAGATGCAGATCTCTGAGACCGAGGTACAGCTCTTGCAAAGAAAAGTTGACCTCATGGAGGAGGAACTTGATACATTGCGTAAGGCTTTTGCAACCAAGAAGGACCTAGGCCAGGTAATAATGCTGTCCCACCATCGCGCGTATTTCGTTTTGCATGTGATATTAATTATTGCCTTATCCTAACACAAATAGGTCACTGATGATTTGAACCCCACCATTCAGCGACTTACCAAGACCATTCGTCGCTTTGAAAAGAAGGAAAGTGATATGCAATCCTTGGCTGATAACCGACTCGCTGTGATTGAACAAAAGATGCAAGACTTTGATCAATTTATCTGCTATCGTATCGAGCAAGAGCAACGACAATCGGCACATGGCATGGTCGTTACGCTGGTGTTATTGCCACTCAACATTACATTGTGGATCGCCAAACGTATGACAGGGCTTTTACCAGTGCCACATGCTCTTTTGGGCTCTTCAGCTTCAGCAGCAGCATCCGCCGCATCAGCTAAACCAGTGTTGCATCACCATCATCATCGGCCTAAAATGTCTCTGCCGACGAAGCATCTGACACATCCCGATATTCGTCCCACAATGCACGGGTCTACAGCACCCGATCCTACGGAATATGTAACAAAGGAAGAGGCAACAATGGCACTCAATCAGCAGAGGTCCCTACAACGTTGATCTATCCCATTGTTCTCTCATTGATTCTCTCTCTCATATGAATATTGTACAACATTGCTTATCACACACACACACACTCTCTCTCTCCCCCAACCCACTTTTTCTTTTTTCTACCATCACCATACCATCGAATAAGCAAAAAAGAAAATTCCCCTTTCTAGCACCATCACATTCATCATTTATCATTCGCATATCCACACACACGCACACACACACATCATACCTACTTGACCGCTCTCATATGCTTATTGTAATACTTGACACCCCTCGCATTGCACACATACCAAAAAGACTTATCCTTGTGCCTTTGCCTTCTCATTTATCCGTACCACACATGAATACACATTATATTATACATATGACTTTTTGGAACTTGCACGTGTAAAGTTGATCGTGTCACCCGTCAAAATGTGTTCTCTCCAAACCATCCATGATTTATGCGATAAGAATGATGCTGTAGTATGTTGTGTGTATAGGTCTAATCATGAACTAAATTTGGATTGAATGGATCTTGCATAAGGTGGAGGGTTGCCAGCCAACGTGCGATGTAAATCTGATAATCCACCAGCGACTAGACCGAAAAGCAAGCCAGCTTTGACAGCGTAACGTACACTTCCTCGTGTCAATTTGGCTACATATGCGAATAGATGGAATGAATGAATCATGCATGGCACAACCTTATCCAATACAATGACACTTACTCATGGCAGAAAAGACAACACCCGAAGTCATACCAGCAGCCACGGAATTCAATATATCATCCTCCCCACGTATCCTATCAAGCGTTGATTCCACGGATCCATACATCAAACAAAGAGCACCTGTACGTCCACCATAGAGCATGCCACGTTTGATACCACCCAACATCATCCGGTAATTCTTGGTCTTGTGATAAAAGTACCAGCCTTGCACCGTTGTCGGCAATCGATGTGCGTTCTCGGCAAGATACTGTAAACCGGATTGTCGTCCACCAAGATACGATCCAAGACAAAAGCCCCAAAAACTTGATACACCCGTCATTAACGCTAAACGACTAGGGACACTTAAGCTGGCACGTCCTCCGGGAAAATGAGTGACATTGGGTCGATGTTGTTGATCGTCCTCTTCGTCTGATAATGGTAATGTAGGTGGAACAGCTGTGTATCGAACGTCATTCGGTGCTGGATATGCAGGTGGTTGAATGGCCTTGGGTGTAGGAGGAGGAGGAGCAGGTCCTTCGTCATTGACAGACATGATTGCCTTGTGCTATGCTGTGTGTGTGTGTGCGTGTGTGCGTGTGTGTGGAAAGGAAAAAAGGCACCGCCGACACTCGAGGTCGTTGCTGCTGCTGCTCTACTACTGATAAACAACCCCGCGTCGCTTTGCCTTGACTACTATGCCTCCATTCTACTTGCATCGGTAGCTTACATGACTTGCGACATGCCAACAAAAGACAATCCAGTGACATTGTTACCACATTGGAGATCGTCGAAGGCGTGCTTGCAATAGTATACTACCCCTTGTGCGATGGCGGCATATGCAACTTTCTTTTTCTCTTATCATAAACCACAACTGTAAACCAAATAGAATAGGACTCTAGCACATTCAAAAGAAAATGATAGTAAAGCTGTCGAGAGGTGACATGATCAAGACGCTCTGTTGTATCGATTACTACATCACCTACCGCTTATTTCAACGCATGTACCATCAATTAGCTGCTGATTATTGTTCGAATAAAGAGATTGGATGGGTCAGGTTTTACCTTTAAGCATTCATCAAGAGCATCTTGTTACATTGCAAGAGAAAAGGATAGATAGCAATAGCATTGTTTGATGTTGTAGTAAAAAAGGACCATTGAAACCAAAATCCCCTTTTGAAGACTATTGTGGTAAATGAGAAAATGAATGATGCTCATACATGGCTGCTACCGGCTACGTCTACTCTTAAGCAGCCTTCATCAAAAAGGAACTACAATGTCGAAAGCGCATAAAACTTCCATCACGTCGGCGGAGGAGGAGATCTGTCAGCTTTTGAATCCCTCGAATCTGACATCCAAATTGAACACAATGCTCTTTACCTCCCAAAATTAAACGATTCACCACCCCAAATACAAATCCATCTACATCATTACATTCACAATGCATTCCGCTACATGTAGACATCAATAACAAGTTACCTTCCAAATTGGGAAGGTGACCCGTCGATGATGTTTCTTTTCCTCAATTCCAATGTCGTGGACGAGCTGAGTGTTGGCCCCACGCCTGCCAAATCGAGACGGAGGTAGCAACAAAAACGGAAAGAGAACAAGACAACTAGGAGCAAGGACCTGACACCAATGCTTGCACCCGCATGGCGAAATGGATTAACGCGTCGGTCTCCTAAACCGAAGATTCCGGGTTCGAGTCCCGGTGTGGGTAGGCGGGTTTTGTCACAATCCGTTTTGGGGTATCCCACTTTGGATTGGGAGTGTCGCAGCAACATACCGGATCTTCTTGATCGGTATTATCTTTTTATACATCTTTATCATCTTATCTTCTTTATGCTGCGCCCTCCATCATTACTTCGCCACATCCATATTACTTAGCCATCTTGATATACTTAGCCCCATCCAACAATTATAAATAGTGGACGATCTCATAGAATAAAACATGATCTTACGTTCTCTTTACTTTATTGTCTATTTGCCTGTGTGGCACTATTCTCCTTCGTGGTTCTATTCCTGTGTGGTCTTATTCCTTCGTGGTCCTATTCCTGTGTGGTCTATCTATCCTTCGTGGTCATTATCTCCTTCGTGGAAGTCGTCTATTATCCTGTGTGGATCCAAAAAGAAAGACGACAGGGGGGATTATGTTTTGCGTTTGTTTCAGGTCACGTGACTTACACGTTGTAGCAGATATTGCTTTAATGCTTTTGATGTTTTTTGCCACCAGTGGCCTATGTCAAGATGCCTAGCTGTCCAAGCTTCATATTCCCAAATGCATGAAAATGCGTAAAAGTATCATTGATAGCTCTAATATCATGCTGCATGTTTTAATTCATACAGTGGTATTCCTTTTCTTTGTTTCCAAACAATGAGAGACAAGCTCGACAACATCGACATCTACGTTACTACAGTGCGCTACACACAAATGGCGTAAACTTGGTGATCCTGCCAGTTGTACAATACCTCCGTTGGTGACGCTGTTTAAGAATGACAAATGCAATGACTCAAGGCTGGATAAATGACCCATGATTTCCAATGCATGATCGCTGACACAATCCATGTTATTGAATCGTAAGGATTGTAGCCGTTTCCATGACCGTAGTTGACTTGCAAATCGTTCGAACCCATCCATGGTAATACCACGAACAGAAAACAAGACTAGGTTTGTGAGCGTGCACAGCCGTCCCAATAAATCAATAGCATGATCCGATTCCAAATCGCAACCGAGGATGCATAAAATCAATTCGCGTAAACGTGAATGCGTTCCCAATGATCCATGTCTTTCAAAAAAGTGCCGTAATCCTGCAACGTCCACTTTGGCACAATCACGCATTTCCAATTTGCTGAGAAAATCCAAATCACAAAGTGCATCAAGGATAGCTCTATCGACTGGATCCGCTGCAACCAATAGCACCGATCGTAAATGGGGTGCTTGACGTATGATCCAAGGAACAATGTACTTGTCGGGTGTACTCACAAGGTAAATGCAATTGAGCTCATGCAGCTGGGACATTTGTAAACGATCCGATAATGGAGCAGTAACATGATCAAGCTCACAATTGATATGCACAGACAATATAGACAAGGTATCTTGATACGAAGCCAAAAAGGTGCCGAGCTTTGTGTAGAATTCAGTATGCACGATTCCCATCTCCAAGACTTGAAGGCCACAATGCTTGGTGTAGTGTGGTCGTTCCAACATATCACGTTCAGGATCAAAGTTGATACTTAAATAAGCAAGTCTTTGGCAGTGCTGCTTGATGTCGTCCAAAATATCCACGTTGCTGCATCCATTCAATTCCAAGTGATGAAGAGCAGGGCATCGAGTGATGATGGCATTCAGCAAGTCATATTCGATTTCTCCTCCTGTCAAATCTTGCAATACAAGCTGTGTAATATCATATCGCGTACTCCATTCGTGATTGTTTTGAGAGATGCTGTGGTTGCAATCGCCAACATAACGCAAATAATCCAGGTTGGTGCAGCATTCGAGTAAATCAAGAATCATCACATCCCCCTCCGTATCCGTCTCAATGGTTAGGCGAGTAAGCGTGTTGGCGATATGACTTAGTGAGTCGAAGAAGAAATGTGGATCATCGATCATATAGTCTAAATAAATGAATGAATGAGTCATCCATCATCCATCCCCATGTATCCCAATCTACTTTACTTGCCAGTGATCTCTAATTCTTTGAGTGATGTGAAATTGCCTTGACGTAGAATGTTCAATAAAGGAGCAGACTCTTCCCAATAAAAGCTGACAGCGACTTTGCCCACATTGGGAGCATCATCCAAGAGTTGCTGATGAATGCGTAAAAGAACGGAATGGTCGCATTGATGAATCAATCGGAATACGAGTGATGTGCATTGCAGGAATCTTTGACGCCATGTTTGAGATATCACGAGATAACGATGATCAAACTGTAATTCATCCCCATCCAAGAGTTCAGAGACAACATGAGACACCAAATCAAAGGGAAGACAAGAAACAAAGTCGACACGCTTCGCCAGCTGCTTTTCAGCTGCAAGCTTGCCATCCATCAATGTTGCATGCTTGGATAACGGTACGGCTCGTAGTCCTTGTTCATACATTTCAATAGCGGCTTTTTGTCGACCATAAAGGCTATGTATGGCTGCTGCTCGACAATACCCAAGAGGATGAGAGCTGGCAAGGTGAATCATGGTGGCTGCATCGTCCAGAGCAAGCTGGCATTGAGCATTGTCAGCGAATAAAGATGCTCGCATATCCAAGGTCTCGAGTTGAGCTTCTCGTAACTGATTCAATAGTTGACTCGACGCAGCAATCACATGGTTACGGTCCTTGCTCTTGGGTGCTTTCTGAATGCGTTCAATGTGTGCTAAGATGCTGGCGTTTAACTGTTCAAGTTGAGCGGATAAGGCTGCTGTGGTGGTGCGTTCGGCTGCTGCTGCTACTACTGCAGTGGAAGGCGGGGTCATGGAAGAGGAAGATTCCAAAATGGAGATGAGCCAACGCCCTTTTGTACAATGTGCCCGCCCTGTCATAATAATTGATTCGCATAGTAAGACGCAACGTATCCAATTCATCCTTAATGCTACTCACCCTATGTCATTGTATCATTTAAGCAACAGAGTGTCTCTCGGCCTGGTGGGATGGTCGTGACTATGCGCAAGCTCTTGTATCTAGTTGCCATGTCTACGAGATACCATGACAACCATCCATTGCTATGCTCCAAGATCACAAGTGAGACTATTGATTGACATGGCACACACACCTCCTCTGCTCTCCTTCATCTTCATGACCACTCTATACGCCCATTGATCCTGTATGCTATTTTTTATTCCTTGTTTGTATGTTCTTCTACTTGTTGATTTGGTTGTGAGATACGTTTTAATCGTTCCATATCCTCCTTTTCTTGTTCAAGGGCCTTGACGCGTTGCTTTGCCTCTGAAGCAGCGAGCATTTGATCTATATCGAAGCATGCGTGAATTCCTAATGTTGGCAGACAGGAGAATGCAAGGACATACAGTAGTTGCTCTTGACAAGCACGACTTCGAGAGAACCACCAAGGAAGAGACCAAGACCAAAGATCTTTGAGTAGAAAGTTGCAAGACTCATTGTTGTTGTTCGGTCGAATGTGTGATGCGTTTATTCTACAAGGCCGATGTACAAACAAGGAAAAGGTGTGTGGTATTGAGTGTGTGTGTGTGGGCGGTGGTAAGGTCGGGTTACTAATGAAAGGAGGGTGGTGGTGTGGTGGAACTTTTTTTTGTGGATTTCAAAACTACCTCACTACTTTAGGTTTTTCTTGTTATTCATGCCTTGTTTTCAACGACGGTGGGTGTTGGTTGTGGTGGTGGTCCAGAGGATGTTGTATGATTCTCGGATGATGAAGATGATGATGATGCTGCCATGAACATGTCATCCTTAGCCGCCAACTTTTCACGTGCCTCGACAATCTTTCGATACTTTGGTGTCTTTACAAACTTGGGTACTGAATCGGATGCCATCAAACGACAAATATGTTCATTGACACGATCCAACCACTTTAGCATCATACGCAAACTCTGTGACGTGGATGGTGTCGAAATGACAATGGTTGGCTTGACTTGACCAGGGGTAAAGGTTGGCACCACTTGGACCATGGAATTCACCACACGTGCCATTTCTTGACGCAACGTATGCTCAACATTCAATTCACATCGAGATCCAGGCGCCAAATACGTGGACCAGATATCATGAGCATCCTCCAACAAGTCCTTCTGATTCTGTGATGGCATAGCAGGACTTTGTGCACGGCATTTACGACGCAACGTATCATAGTCGATCCAAAAATCCAAATTCTCCTCACAAAAGTTGGCTCGCAAAAAGTCCTTAAACAAAGATCGCAATTGTGCATCATCCAAAATCACTTTGAGACGTGCAGCATTACTCTCTTTTACATCTTCGGCTGCCGATGACATGGGCGGTGGATTGGAAGGGGGTGGAGGATCCATACTTGCTGTGCTGGGGGGTCGTGGTTCATCGGTGGTAGTAGTAGTTGTTGTTGTGGATGCAGGTGTTGGATCATTTGGATCTTGTGACAACATTTCACGCAAGGTGGTTTGTTGCTGCTCTGTGGTAGTAGTAGTGGATCCAGTGGTAGTGGTAGTGGTGGAGGATGAATTATTATTATTGCTCTTGTTGTTATCTTCTGCAACCACTTCCTTGCCCTTGGATGTGACAATAAGCATAATGGTCTTGCTTGCACGAATAGGTGTCGACTGCTTTGGATCTTGGAATTCCACCCAACCATACTTTACAAATTCATTTGCAAGCGTCTCAGCTTCTTCACGAGACGAAACGGTGCTGTAATCGGTGAGCCAGTCGGTACACAGCTGAGTGGAAAACACCGTACGCATATGCTTGATCGAACGATGAGCATGAGAATGGGTCTTTTTCTTGGATTGTGTCAAGAGATTGTTGGCCAGCAACTGCACGCGTGAATCGGATTGAGATGCCATAGCAAAAGGAGCAGAAGACCCTGATGACGATTGAGAAGATGCTGCTGATACAGGTTTATCACTATGACGACCACTGGTTGCCTTGGTGCTGGTGTTGTTGTTGACCGATTGTTGATGATGCTCACCTTCCAAAGGCAAGCAAGTCATCATGATGCGAAATACCACCGACAAGTTTTGACGTCCATGGATAATTTGATCATCATCAGCATGGCGTTCAAGGCGTACCAGCTGAATCGGTTCAACATGCCCAAAGTATTTACGAAGCGTAGTCATATCAGCTTCAGTGCGTACACAAAAATCTTGCAATACACACAGCCCCTTGGGCGTCAATTGCCAAATGCCCTTCTCTCGATACGCCCGACTTTGTGGATCCGTCGCGTTCTCCATAAGCCGACATTGCTGAAATTGCTGTAATAATGTCTTGGCCATGTCCTTTTCCATATTAAACGTTGTCGTTGTTGTTGTACGCAGCAGCTTGGATGGATCATTGGGATCGGGCATACGTGCTGTGTAGGAAAATCGTAGCGACCCCAAAGCTTGTATAGCATCATCCGATGAAAAGGTGTTTGGGTAATTGCGAAAGAGGTATCGATGCACATCCAATGGTATTTGCACAATAAGTGCTGCAAAGAGATCGTGAATATCCTTTTGTATTCCATATACATATGCATGTGAGATCATTTGGTATATATAAAAAGTGCCACCACTAGGCTTGCCGATCTTGGTGGGCATTGTGGGTATCTTTTTTTTCTCTATGTACCTTGAGATAGGGCCGACCATCAATGGTGAATTTCATCATTGAGGTGTATGCCTGTTGTGAGACGTTTGGATCCATTGCAACTGATGAAGAAAGAAAAGGTAGAAAGGACAAGAAGGAGGATGGGAAATTATATAGTTGCACGCGGTCGTCATCGCCGTCCGTGTATCAATGGCCTCGACACGAGACGATGACCACCCATATTTCACCCTCCCCCCGCTTTCTTTCCCCCAACAAGGGGTAGGTAAGGATAGTAAGAGGAGAAAGAAAGAGAAAGAAGACGAGATCTATAAGGCTAGGGGTCCTATTGGGCCAGTCAGCAAACGCTTGGACCTTCATTGTTGTTATAGGACGCTCTCCTGTCCTAAAAGGAAAACGGGGCAACCTTGTGGCTCGCTGTCAATCTCAGAACAGTAACAAAGCCCATAGAGTAGTAGTAGTAGTAGTAGTAGTAGGATAGACCTGTTTCACTCTTCATGCTCGTGTATTTGATGACATCTTGATCCCAACACTTGCATCATTACTTGTCAATGAATGTATCTTCCCCCATTTCCTATATCATCATACCATTGTTAGAATTGGTTGAATGACATTCTTGACATTTCAAAAAGCAAAGGATGATGTGTTTATTCTCCCTAACTGTATTCTGAATGACACCTTTGGAAACGGTAAAGTGTGATCCATTGCGTGACGCTGCGAGAAAAAAGAACGCATAGCAGTACATGCGTGCGTCATACCGTGTGCTTGTCTATAGCCCCTTTTTTTGCTATCCATGGTGTCTTTTGCCTTTTGTGCTTGATGCACTTCTTGATTAAAACCTTGATCGTATAGCTCGCATCCCACCAACCCCCTTGAGCGAGATAAACTTTCAAAAAGTTGTCTCCTCACAATCTCGCTTAAATCACGCTCACATACATACATACACACACACACACGCATATATAACCGTGTGTGCTGCCTTCCTTTTTCCCCTGCTGCCTCACATCCCGCTTTCTCTTTTTGTCATTACAAGCTCCCTTGTGTATATGCTTTGCATAGCACGTTTTCCAAGTAACTTTGTAACCCCTTGCATCTTTTTTCAACCTCATCATGATGGTAGATGTGTATTGTTCTCTTTTGTTGCATTCGTCTTTTTTCTCTATGTTGCCAATAAGGATGCGTCTCCTATTCATGCATCATGGTGTACGCAGCTTTTCTTGCTATACACTCTGTGGCGCTCCGTTCATCGGGTAATTTTAGACTGCATACGATCTCCTCAAGCTTTTCAATATAATGTGTAATTATCATCCTTTCTCCTTGTCCCCTCAATTATCTTTTGGATCTAGCAGCGATCTCGGCAATAACGGTAACAACAACGTTCAAATCCTCTTTCTCCACGTTCGATTGTATTCCATTCTTAGTAGGGATGCTAGGATGATGCGTATCCTTTTTCGACTACGCCATTTGTTCATTTAGCAAATAGAAAACGCATACACATACACACCTATCCTCATAGTAAAGGATCGACGCTGTATGTCACAACATGCAACAATAGTGACAAGGGGTATGACAAAGTATGATCGGGAATAAAAAAGAATGCCTAACTTGTGTGTGTAGGGGCAAGTGTAAAAGAGAGAGAGAGAGTACGTGTATGTGCGTGTGTATGTGCATGCGTCTATTAAGTGAGCGATACATAGATAGAGAGAGAGGGAAAAAAAGAGAGGAAGAGATGAGAGGAGTGAGGCATATAGTAAAGAAGGGGGCTAATGTTCATGGCCGATAATACGAAAAGGTTGTTGTCATGAGCATTGGTTGTCCATTGTTTATGTGTAAAGAAACATTCGCACGCACAAGTGTAATGGTGGCAACCCAATGCGCACTGTTTTGTTCTTGTAACGCAAAAAGTACTTTTTGTGGATGCTTCACGGTGATCTCTTCTCTCCTCTTTATTGCTGTATGTGTATAGGTTTGTCTCACCTCCCACTCAATCAATGTCCCACCCCACCCCAACCCCCTTTTTTCTCGTTACCCAGCAACCATATCCTTTTTTCTACCATCGACCCGATATGGTTATTCATATCAGCAAAGGTCTGCATTTTAGTGAGAGAAAAGAGCTTACACGATGTGGATGATCTTGACGTCAATAATACGGGTATGTGATGATCCAGATCCAGTTGTATGGAACAGGGATGATGGAGCTAAAAGCCAACAAACAACAAGTGGTGAACCCAGCAAGATGGCATCAGGAGAGTGTCAATAAGTGTTGTCTGCGTCTATGAGCTATTTTGGGTTTTGTTGACAACATGATCCTGTATCCAAGGTAATGAACAAGAGTAGTCGCTTGTCTCGGCTATGCAACAAGATTCATTATTACATCCCACCCCCTTGGTTTGAAATCTTGTCTTTTTATTTCTCCTGTAGACGAGTTGATTTTTGGGTCAGCGATGATGATAATTATTGGAGCGAATGACAACATGTTGTTGCTCGTGAATGGAGGGATGGATACTACACAATAGCATTAATGGCTCAGGTACAATAATCCACCAATGGGCCAAGATACAAGCCACCACCGGCTATGGGTGGGTTGAGTGTCAACACCGCCAGCTATGAGCCCAGTCGTCTACCCTTGACCTTTTAACAAATACAAAAATGCTGCCCACTGCACGACCACTTTTGAAGGTGTCAGCATTACTACCTCAACGCACATTGGCTCCAGCATCACACCGATTCTTCTCATGCACAACACAACGATGGAATGAAGACCAGCAACAACCACCTGCCGATCAACAACAACAAGGCGAGGAAACCGCTGCTCCTGCTGCCGAAGAGGAACAGGCTGAACCTATCAAGTTATCGCGTAGACGACGACGTTTCCATGAGTGGGTAAAGGATGGTAGCGGTGCACGCTTTGTTCGTCCTTCGCAGGGTACAACCAACTATTTGGGCAGTACGGTAAGCATCGTTGTCATGTCAACCTACTACTTGGATAAACTTGACATGTATATATCTTTTATATAGCCATTCCCCAACAATCCTCTTTTCCAACCTCGTCCACCACTCTCAGATCAACGTCGCCAAGAGATTTATGACACATACGCTTCAGATCCTCAAGAATGGTCTATTCGTAAACTTGCAACAAAGTACAACATTTCAATGCGTCGTGTTGAAGCTATTCTTAAGCTCAAGGAATCTGAAAAGGAATTGGAAATGAAGGTAAAAAAGCTACAATGGCATAAGGTATCTATGGAAGGGTGACTCATTTGGTTGTATGGTGCTCTTTAGGGCGTTGCATTGCAAAGCAAATTCTCCAAGGGCATGGAGAAGCTTATGGGTGCTGATCAAACAGTACAAATTCTTCAGGAACCACTTGTCGACTTGTTCCCCAAGGTTAAGAAGCCTACCTTCAAGTTGGTTGAGGAACATGAGTCATTTACAGAGAAGGTATGTCATGTCATTTACCAGTCATGTCATACTAGATTGGGATTATTGATATGTATACATAATACACTAGGATGCCGCCAAGGAACTCAATCGTAAACCAATCCGTCAACTTGAGGAGAAGGTGATTGCTATGGAGGAAGCCAAGTTTGCCAAATCCCGTATTGCATCTGAAGCCATCAAATCCACTACTCCCACCAGCAGCAGCAAACAAAAGCGTTTTGTTATTGTAGACACCAGCCGTTAGAGATCTTTTTCCACCTTTTTATGTATACTATTCGCATTTCAACAACAACCAAAAAAAAACAGATTTCATCAGAGACTACTATTTCTGGAGGTTGACAGTGATCGACGGTGGTACACAATGTTGTGTGGATGTGTTTGTGTGATATAGAATACAACCCCGGCGCTGGTGATCGTCGTCGTGGTCGCCGTTCCTCTCCCTCCCTTTCTTTTTTGATATCAAGCCGTTGTCGTTGTTGTTGTTACTGCATGGCCTTTTTACAATCCTTATCCAAACGCTTGGTCTTGCGTATCGCAGCTTGTGTGCTTGCCTTGAGCGTGATTAGCACAGTGGTCTTAATGGCCAGGCCCAATCTACGTAAAAGAAAGATCGCCATCTCAAGACCTGCCGTCAACTATCCTCCATTCCATAATCCCGAGCATTTGCATCATCCCAATCCACACTTTAAAGCAGCCTATGTGACCATGACCAAGGGCGACGCTGGTTCGCTTGCCAACTTGCGATTGACCATTCGACAGCTTGAAGATAGCGTCAACCACCAACGACATTATCCTTACATTATCTTTTCCAATGAACCTCTCAGCACCGAATTCAAGACCCTGGCACGATCCTTATCCAGTGGCGATATGGCATTCTACGACAAATTGGATAGCACGTATTATGGCTACAGCCCATCCACCAACTTGACCAAAGCCGCTGAAGCACGTGAACGCATGAATGGATCCGTCTTGTTTGGTGAAAGCGAGGATTATCGTTTTGCATCGAGGTTTATGGCAGGCACGATTTTTCGACACCCAGCATTACAAGAACTCGATTACTATTGGCGATTTGAAACAGGCACAGAGTACATGTGTCCATTGGCATTTGATCCTTTCCAGTACATGTATGATCATGGCAAAAAGTTGAGCTTTTCAATTGCATTATACGAATATGGAGATACCATCCCTACACTGTTTGAAACTATCATGGGATTCGCTGCAAGACATCCTGATTGGGTCCAATCCACTGCAAGCAAAAACAGTATATGGCCTTTCGTACTCGATGACAAGAAGACCTTCAACATGTGTCATTTTTGGAGCAACTTTCAGGTAACAAGCAGTAGCGGCAGTAACGTGGGATCATGTGTGTATTGATTACATGGCATCTCTTAGATTGCCGATCTCAGCTTTTTCAGGAGCGAGGCATATCAAGCTTATTTTGATTACTTGGATAATTCCAATGGCTTCTTTTATGAACGATGGTAAGGGAACAAGGAAGAGAAATATGGGCACAACTCATTGACCATCATGTTCATGGCATGCAGGGGAGATCCGATTGTATTATCAATGGCTGCAGTTTTGTTTTTGGAAAAGGAACAGGTGCATTTCTGGGACGACATTGGATACCGTGTTGCTGGTTACTTTACCCATTGCCCAGCTGATTACAAGCAATGTAGTTGTAGACCCCATGAGAACTTTGACAATGATGGTTACAGCTGTCTCAGCAAGTTTCAATAATGTATTCCCTTCAAAAAATTGTTTTACAAATGATACAAGTATTATTCATCATGGTCGCCATGGAGACTTTTGTGAGGAAGAGGAAGGGTTGGCATGGTTACCACGCTTGGAAGAGGAGGATGAGCCATTGGTAGTGGTAGTGGTAGTGGTGTTGGTACGAATAGCTCCTGGCTTGGGTGAAGACGTGGATGGATCCTGGTGAAAATGATGATGATGGTGATAGTGAATCTGTGATGGCACATTTTCTGAATCATCTTCTTCAACACGTCGACGATGATGGAGGGAAGAAGTGGAGGATGATGAGGATGATTGTACACTCACAAGATCACGTTGGGCCTCAACACGACGAAGACTATGTCGACTGCTTGACACCTTGGATGCTGGCATGGTCATGTTGTTGGACAAGGAACGTGCATGGCCCATGGGCTGTGTTACCGATGCTGATGTGGTACAATCATGACGATGATGATGAGGATAACTGGTGCTGTTGTTGCTGCTACTACCCGTAGGTGCCGAAATTTTGCGTTGGCGATGAGAATGTGTGGTCGAGACACGCTGCGTATGTGTGCTGCTGCTTGCACGAGGTTGTGGATTTATCATGATCGGTGGTGGTGGCGATTGTGGTGATGAAGGTGAAGTAGGTGACATACTACGATGCGTACTTGTTGGTGGTGTTGGCACACGAGTAATTGCATCATTGTTGTTGTTGAAGGATACATGTTGCTCTTGTTGTTGCTGTTGCTGTTGCTGCGATTCCACAAGATAGGGTTGATAATGACGCACTTCATGCTGCTGCTGCTGTTGTTGTTCTTCAGGCTCACACACGTTTGCCATTTCTTCTTCAACACCAAGAACACGTCCAACATTGTCAAGCACAACCAAACCAAATAAAAGAGACCAACGAGCTGCAGTTTGCAAACACCCCTTGACAGCAGCAACACGACGATAACGAGGAGGATGGCCAATGCTCTTTTTGGTGGCACCGTCATCAGGCAGAGGTGTGGGTGGCGTTGTTGCCGGCTGAGGAGCATTATGGGCAGTAGCAGTGGATTGTGACGAAGGGATGGATCCAATCATCTTGAACATGCTTACTTGCATTTGAAGCAGCACGATGGTGGTAATCGATGGAATCCGCTTCTTGGGTGTGGATCCTGGTGGCGCAAGAAGCATATGTACATGATTGACATGCTCTGTAGCAGCAAAGGCATCTCGTCGGGCATGATCATATAAGACAACGATGCCTTGATTATTGGGAGAAAAGGCTTGATGCGATGTTCTCTTGATCATTATGGCCAAGGAGAGAGAGGAGAAAAACGCAATGAAAGAAAAGAAAAAGGAGTGGGTTGCTTATAAACCACGAATCGTGTGTGTATACATGTACTTGCACTTTGTCTCACCCCCATTCATCCATTAGCCATAAATCTTCTGTTTACCGATATTCAACCCATTAGAAAGAGAGGTGGAGACCCGTGTGTGTATCACCATCATTTTCTTCGGGGTCTACTTCCGAGATTGCAACACACCTTTTTTACCTTTGCTACTACTGCTTCACTAACCACACCTATTGCCATCATTGATAAAATGCTAATTGCGTTGAGCTTTCGTTTGTTTATTGGTGTCATGCACTTGTTTCGTTAGTCCCATCCCTCGTGTGAAAACGCCATGATGCCTATCATCAGTGCATTTTCCTTTTGCTTCATACATACAGTGTTGCACATGAAGAGCTTATCGGCGATGAATATCTTTTACTACCAAGCCAGCAACATCAGATCACAAAAGTAGCATCACCATGCTGCTGTATCATCCATGGCAATAGTATACGTGTCTCATCTACGCCATGTATACTGTCGGCTGCATATCTATTTGGAGCATGAGACATGTTATGATGTCGAATGGTGCCGACATTACCCGCTCAATTCGCTTTTGTTCCTGTAACACCGATCTTGTAATATGCGCAGAGGCCGCCTTGTCATACCTTTGGCTTCATTTTCCATCATACTCCGTTTCCCTAATCACATGTGTAATGATGATGCACCAAAGACAATACGACTGGCCCAAGTTGAAATGCTCTAATGAAAACCCGTTAAGTGAGCGCAACGACATGCAAAAGTCACGTGACCACAAAGTCAAGTTGAGTAAAAGGTTATAAGTTTTTACTAAGTTCTTCAAGGTCTCGCCGAGATTCGAACTCGGATAATGAGATTCAGAGTCTCATATGCTAACCGTTACATCACGAGACCTGGCACAACTATTTTTGAATAGTCGAGTGACATGATAAATCAGTCACCTTCCCAAAAATTCAATCAAAAAAGTGGCCCAATTGAGATGAGATTTGCACCATATTGCAGCGGATTAAACGTAGATCTCAATGGTAGAAGCAATGTAAATTTATGGGAGGCTAATGTTGTGTAATTTTGAGTTGAAGGATGAATGATCAATTTACTCGTCGGAGGATTGGAGGAGATCGGGGATGGATGATCAAGTCTTTTGAGTATCTTGGGCTTCAGAGAGTTAGATGCAACTACGCTCTAGTAAGTGTTGTGACTAGGAACATTGACCACTTTACACAACCCATAGCTCAAGCATATAAAAGTTATAAAGGGCTACATGAAAATGTAGAGTATCAAGTATCAATTATTGGTTAGAGGAGGGTGCTGAATGACTCAAGTCTTATGATTATGTAGGCTCTAGATAGGTGGAGGAGACTAGGATTCAGTAAAATGTTTGACTAGGGTGCCTGGCTACATTTTTTATTGACAAGAAGGGCTCAAGTAAGTCCCAGATGTTAGCAAAACTAGATCCAGTAAATGCTTTAAAGAGGACCACCTCTTGAAAATCGCCAGCTTTTCCACTCCTCTCTTCTTGCTTTCCTACATTGGCAACCTCCCCATTCGCAACTGCTGCCCCATTCAAGTACAACCAACCATTTGTTATACGATTGCTCTACTTTAACCCATCCTGTCAATGCTACAATGGTCGTGATCCAGAAGACTTTGACTGAATGACAAGTCCATGGCGTGTATGCAATCTATTACAGCACGCGCGTTCCTTTACACTACAAGTCTCTTGCCACAACCAATCGTAACAGCGTTCAATGCATCAGTTGCTATTAGCGAGTTCTTTATTCCATCGTCTCCAACAACTCTTTACTTGCAGCGACTTGGCCTTACAGTCTTTGTTACGTGGACAGCAGGTAGCCATTACACAGGAGCAGCTTTCTTTACGTGTAGCAACGTGCTTTTACATACGAATTCCTATGACGGATATGGGTATGGATACATTGATCGGCTTAGCTCTCTTGGCCCATTTAGATCGTGATGTCTTGTTTGGGATTATACCATACCAACCATCAATTACACCGCAATACAAGCAATCTTCAGCCGGTGGAGGTGGGCGAGCAAGAGTTAGACCCACAGCTGGATGGAAAAGGAAGCATACAGCGATCACAGTGGCTCATTTCAACCAACAATTGGATTTGCAATGGCTATGGATGGAGAGATGCAACCAAGTGCAGTAATGGTGAATGATGGTGATTATTTGGAGCGCCGTCAGCAGGAAGAATGTATGCTATCACGTGGATACGGGTAAGGTGATGATGGATTGGATGGAATTGACAAAAGAGCTTGTATCTTTGACGAACGGTGTTTTACAGCCGTGGATGGTTTTGGAGTACTCAAGTCGTATTATGCAGCGACGGATTTGGGATCATGGACAAAGGATGTTTATGATGGCAGCAACCAAGAATACAATGGCACCATTATCCCTGTGGCCTCTATGTGATTCACCCTTTGTATCTTTGCAATGCTGTTCCTTCATCCTATTTACTTGATAGACACCCACCCATACTACTATATACTATTCTTCAACTTTGTCATTGAATGAAAATTGGATTGAAAATACTATTTGGGATATCATGCTATTAGCTCGTATGGGCAAGATGTGGATCACTTGATGGGTTTCTGGTTTGAAAGAGAGAATGGATATAGAAGGTCAGAAAGCGAGGTTGGATCATTGACATTGTCGTATCGCAATGCTTTTGTTCTTTTGTCATCACAACATCATTTTATGACTTCACTAAAGCTTCCTTTCTCACATGCTGATAGTAGACGAAATTCAGTGGCAATTCTTTGAGGCTGGTGTTGCAAAGAAAACTAATTTGGGAGTGACAATATCTAACATTTGCTTGTTACAAACATGGTATTCATTGTGAGCTTAATGCATCATATCCAAGAAAGAATGAGCTGTTATACAATATGGCACAAGCACATGAATCAAACCATGCTTATCTATGACAGTTCTCAGTAACGATATCCCATGTACTTTTATATAAGAACGAATCATTCCATACGGCCATCATGGGCGGACCTTACTATAGGAAGGCAGGGCAAGGATCAATCATGCATTTCTTCACCAATAGGATCGATCCTTCAAGTTTGGCTCAGTTACACAAACAGCTCTTGTGAATCTTTTGCTCTCTCAGGGTCTGGCTACTTCACAATGAACGAAGACCACTTTTCATATAGCATCACGCTTACAAACATAAAGGTGCCTGTATCTCCAAACTTTACAATCAAACGTGGGCTCTTTAATAGATCAACGTGCTTGTCGGGGTCAAAGGAATCTTGTGTCAAAGTATGAAGTTCATCGTGGGCGATCCCAGATTTCGCAATGTCGCCACCAGCCAAACTGGATCTGGGGGTCGACCTCTTCGACGACGACGACCAAAAAATATTTTTTGGGCTGTTTGCGACATTGAACGCGAAACTTTCACACAAGGTGCTGTTGGCCAAGCCGAGTCCATTGCTCTATTCAAAACCCCACGTGTCATTGCAAAGTTTGGAGATACAGGCACTTTTATGTTTGTAAGCGTGATGCTATATGACGAGTGGTCTTTGTTCATTGTCAAGTAGGTGGACCCTGGCAGAGCAAAAGATGCAGAGGGTCGTGTTGTGTAACACAGCTATGTTTGCATGAATGAAAGGGTCAATGTATAATTACTTTATGGATCATCTAGGAACAGGCATGTACTGCTAGCTAACGGCCACTTTTATCCAATCATCATTGTTGCGAGATCCACTGCATGGGAACGATGCCCTTGCTCTAGACATTCATTTCCATGATTAAAGTAGGTTGATCCGAGCTGATTTGACTGAGCTACGGTCAAAGAGAGTTTACATCATTCTGGACATAGAGCACGCTCGATGTAGCTCAACCGATGTAATCTTGTGTGAGCGTAACTCAACCAAATCAGCTCGGATCAACCTACTTTAATCATGGAAATGAATGTCTAGAGCAGGAGCATCATCACCTACAATAGAATACACAAAAGTTGGGAATGCACAACAGTGGCTATTAGCTGCCAATGTATGACATCAAAGTGAGGGTTGCGTACCTTTCATGCATTGTCCCTGAAGTCCTGACTTTTTAGCTGAGTTACCCAAAGAGGTTCTTCTGCATCTTTGGCTCTCCAGGGTCTAGCTACTTGACAATGAACAAAGACCACTTCTCATATAGCGTCACGCTTACAAATATAAAGGTGCCTGTATCTCCGAACTTTACAATGAAACGTGGGGTTTTTATTAGAGCAATGGGCTCGGCTTGGCCAACAGCACCTTGTGTGAAAGTTCACGTTCATCGTGGCCAATCCCAGATTTCGCAATGTCGCTACCAGCCAAACTGGATCGTGGGGTCGACCTCTTCGACGACGACGACCAAAAAAATATTTTTTGGGCTGTTTGCGACATTGAACGCGAAACTTTCACACAAGGTGCAGTTGGCCAAGCCGAGCACATTGCTCTATTCAAAACTCCACGTTTCATTGTAAAGTTTGGAGATACAGGCATCTTTACGTTTGTAAGCATGATGCTATATGAAGAGTGGTCTTTGTTCATTGTGAAGTAGCTGGACCCTGGCAGAGCAAAAGATGCAGAGGGACGTCTTTGTGTAACTCAGCTGTTTTGCAGGATTGGAAGGGTCGATGTATGATCCTTTATGCATTATCATGTATTGCCAGCTAACAGTCAATTCCTCTCAATCCCAACTTTTATTCATTGTGTGACATTGGAATGATGCTCCTGCACCAGCCGAGCATTTCCCTGGTTCAAGTGTCTTGATCCGAGTTGATTTGACTGAGCTACGCCAAAACAGCAAACGTGAAAATTAATGAATCGCAGACCCTGCGAATGTCTCCGTCTTTCAAACTTTTGGACGCTCCCAATCAAAATCTTCGAATGAAGCGTGAGGTTTTTATTTGAAAATGTTGATCAGCATGCTCGAGAGCACCCTGCTGACCAATTTTCAAGTTGGAGGTGGACAACTTCGGGGCGGTGGGCCGTCCGCTCTTTTGTTCCCATCATCTACCATTTGGGGCGCCCCGTATTTTAAATCTTCACAATGAAGGCTGCAAATTCAAAATGAATGAGGTTGATCAACATGTCCCAGCGAACCTTCTGACAAAGTTTCAAGTTCGAAATGGGGAATCCCAAGGTAATGTATATTGTTTCGATAAATCATGACTCTGGGGCTGACCTCCATTTCCGACTTACATAGTAAACCCCACATTGTACCCTCCCATTCCAATTTTTTAAATGTACATGATGTCTTTTTTAATACAACATGAATCAGAATGTCCAAGAGCACCTTGTGTGAAAGTTTTAGGTTCGAGAGGGGCAATCTCAATATCAAGGATTGCTGTACAATGTTCATGCATTTATACAAGAGGTGTCCGACAGCTCGACCTACTTAAATTTCCACTTCTTCCCTCTTCCTCCCCATTGTCAACTGTTGGTGCATTCAAGTACAACTACCACCTACGAACGATTGTCCTGCTTCAACCCATCATGTCAATCCTACAACTGTCGTGATCCGATTGTCTTTGACTGAATGGGCAAGTCCATGGCGTGTGCACTCCACTACAATACACGAGTCTCTTGACACTACACCTTCTCTTGTACACTCTTCTACCACACCCAATCATAACAGCATTCATTCCAACAGTTGCCACCTGCAAAGCCTTTACTCCATTGTCTCACGCTACTTGCAACAACTTGTCTTACAGCCTTTTCACGTGGACAGCCGATAGCTATCATATAGAAGCAGCTTTATTTACATGTAGCAACTTGCTTCAATACATACGGCTTCTTATGGATATGGATATGGATATGGATATGGATATCTACAACGCTTGGAAAATGAGTCATTGTTCTTACACATTCATTGTCAACTTGGCATTGATGTTACCATCGTGAGCGATTGATGTATCCGATTATACTACTTTAGATGTTCTTCCATGGCAACTGCTATGATCATTCTTTGTGGAAGCTGTCCGCCGCCTACAACCATCATCATCATCCAACTGCATATGTGGACTTGCCATGCATCAAGAGCCATCTCACGTTCGTCTATTTAGCTTTGCAAATGTGCTCCCAAAGGATAACGGTTTCCAAATCGATCCATCTCCCCCATTGTAGCAACTTGTTGTATCTCTCAATTTCATGCCTATTCTATCTCTTGTGAATGATGTCGGATTAAAGGACTACTCAGCGAGTACGGCATTGCTTTGGCCATCTTATAGCGTAAGAGACGTTCCTCCTTGAATTGGACTTGTCGTGTGGGATGGATTATGTTATAGAGAGATGTATGCAGGATTGCAAAAGTAGGTCCACTTGTAAATGCTGTGGTAAAGGGAAAGGATCTGACTCGTTTATTGTGTCTTGAACAAAGGTTGTATTCGATAGTATAACACACCTTCCTTTATTTGGAGGTTAGACCTTACTATTATTCGATGATCGTACAGCTATCAATAAAGGTACAAAGACATTCATGCATACACAAGAAGTGCCATTGCATTCCGATTACTTCACCTGTGCTCCTCTCACATCCAAAGGTAACCTGGTGATCCAATAACGGCTTCCAGGTGTCCAAAGATGACGACTCTCTATTATGTGTCCGAGTGTCCTCCCTCCATGTGATGGCAACTCGTAGATGAGGAGATTGGGAATGATGGTAGTAGACGGCACTTACGAGGATGTCTTACCGGTTGTTTGATCGATGACGTTGCATTATTTTCGTTCCAACAAGGAATACGATATAGGCGCTTGGTTGTGGATCGATACCTTTCAAAGCAAAACTTTATTCATACATATTTCGAATCTTTCAATGAAATCAAGCATGTATTATAATGGGGTTGATGATTGATGATCTTTTATTAGGATACAAGAAGATCTCTGCAAGGGTACAAGAAAAGCCAATTAATCTAGGATTCGAATGTATTCATAATGATGTCTATCGATTGATTTTACAGAGGCAATAAACTTGTATGTTGGCATACTACATTTTGTGTAGCCTATGTGCAATAAGTGGGATCGGTCATTTGCATGAATCAGACTGTGTGAGAAGAACCCCATGCACGCGCGGTCGTGGAGTTGGAATTTCGTCGAAGTTTACACGCGACCACTGTTTCCGTTCAATTGTTTTCCTTGTCTTTTAGCACTCCAACCCAGTAATCATGGCTTCCCATTTGCTTCGTGCTTCTCTTCGTGCTATTGCTCGTCCTGCTACTCGCAAGGTCTTCACCACCGCCACTCCTTCTTTGGCTCCTCGCATGATGGCTGTTGCCCGTCCTATGGGTGCTCGCTTCATGAGCAGCGGCACTGGTAAGCATGGTGAACACACACACTGCAGCCGTTGATCCGTGTTTCTAATCGTGTTCCCTAGTCGACTCTGATCTTGCCCACAAGCTCAACGAGGAATTGCAATATGAAAAGTCGACTGAAGAGTCCTCCCAACCCGAGTTTATCAGTGAGTTCTTGGCTGCCAACCAGTTCGAGGTAAAATACACATGCCGTTGTATACTCCCGATGATGACACATACCTAATGGATGGTTCACGTATAGATTGAAGATAAGCAAGGTCATGATGAAGTCGCTTTGACCCGCAACTTTGGCAACGAAAAGTAAGCTATCAATGCATCCTCCACAAGACATCATCATTGACATGAATGCATATACACTTGTGTGACATAGGATTCGCGTCCTCTTCTCTATTGCTGATATCAACAATGCTGCCCCTGATGACTTTTTGGTTGAGAATGAGGAAGGTGAAGAAGCTATGGCTCCCTCGTTCCCCGTTCGTGCATCCGTTACCATTGAAAAGGTAAAGATGGCTATGGAGATATGGAGTTGGAAACAGGTCAAAGATGCTGAATCGATTTGGGTATTGTATAGGAGGGTAAGGGCGTTGTTACTATCGATACTGTTGCTCAGGATGGTGAAATGGCTATTGAGAGCGTCATGTTTTATGGTGATTCCAAGCTCGCTGGTGAGCAATCCGCTGAAGCTGACTGGCAACGTCGTGGTTTGTACATTGGTCCCCAGTTCTCTGAATTGGATGAGGTATGCAAAATGGATGTGATGGGCATGGTGTGATTATTGGCACAATAACTCACCTGGGGGCTTTTACATTTTAGAACTTGCAAGTGTTGTTTGGCCGCTATCTCGAGGAACGTGGTGTCAATGCTGGCCTCGCCGCCTTCTTGCCTGACTACGTTGAATACAAGGAACAAAAGGAATACGTTAACTGGCTCGAAAAGGTCAAGGGCTTTGTTTCCGCATAAAAAGAATCCCATCATATGCATCATAGATAAAAAGTTGTCATTATCATTCAAACGGCTCTGATGATCATGTTGAGATTGAGGTTGTGATTTGGATTAATAAGGGCTAAAAGCTTAATCGACCATGGTATAAACTGTGTGCTGTTAAAGATATCCTTTGTCCATGGAGGACACGCTACATGATATTAGTGTTCGAATAACCACCTGCTTGCTTGCAAGATGATCGATGTAGCTAAAGTTGACTCATTTCTAAGCAGGGAAAAAGGAAGGCTACTAGTTGGCTTAATGAGATTCATGCAAGCTGTAAGATAAATGAAAATGACAAAAGACAACGTTGAGCTTGTTCCAATCGGCCAACAAGCTTATCCAAATAGCAATTCAAGTACAAAACACGTAAAGAAGCATACATTTGCTGATGTATTTGCATGGGAATGTGTAATATGAGTTACATTGTTTATTGGGTAGAGGTGTGAAATGATGGAGGTATAAGAGAACAGGATGCTTAGTTGGGGGCGAATTCAATACGGACGTGGATTTCACCATGGCTGGTAAGACCCAACTTGGCGGGAAGCTTGACCCATTCGTCAATGACTTGGCCTTCGAAGCAAGGAGCAAAGTCAATCTTGGTGTCGCCAATCTTGTCAGTGCCGACAACATCCTTATCAAGGACATCGAGGTAGAGCTTGTGATCACGGGTACCGGTAAGGTTGAAGGTGAAGGTTTCATTCCAAACAGGGTCGTTGCTGTTCTTGATCTCGCTGGTGCGTTGCTTGTTCTCGCCCAAGGTCAATTCAATGAAAGCATCGTTCTTGCCAATGAGATCTTTGTCCTTGAGGTCCTTGCCTTCAAAGATAGTAACAGTAAGAATGCCAGGGGGGTACTTTTCGAAAACCATTGTTGTGTGTGATGTAGAAAGAATAATGATTCAAGACGCATGGCTCACCCTTTTTATATTCGTTTGGGAAAAACGGGAGAACGCCAACCTTGCATCATCAAATCGGACATTATGCATATGTGTGTGTGTGACAAGGCGCATCCTCGCATGACATCCTAGATTGGTGGGCAAGCCTGTTACACAGCAGACTGCGCCCAAAAGCAGTTTAAACGACCAAATGACATGACGGCCTTGGTACCCAAAATAGTATCTATTGTGTTTGAGACTGAAGGTTCTATTGTGGTCTATGATCATGTGGCAAACGCGAGTATGTTGCTGCTGTGGCTATAGATTTCATGCAAAGCATAGGGTTTTTGTTTGAAGAATTGACATGATAAAAAAGTAAAAGCGGCGCTGTTATACGAGATACGACATGGCCATTTATCCGTGTGTGTGTGTGCTGCATACCATATATCACACTACTATACAATAGACACGACAAAGATTCTCGAGAAGGATGAAATGTACTCTACACAAAAAATGATATATTTGCGGACTACTACTACGCTTATGGTTCCCATCCTGCCGATCCCTTTTACCCGGCGGCAAGCATTAACCGCTTCAAACCCCAGGGTCTCTGGTACAACTATACATGGAGCGCACTGGTGCGTTATTTCTGCTACATACCGTAGTAGCTGTCATATTTTAGGCGGAACTATACACAGCCGAACGGCCTCATATCCAAATTTGGCTGTTTTAAAAGGTAGAAACGTGAGGCGAAATGATCATCATTTTGGTCTTCAATGTGACAGCACCCTATGATCCTTCAACCATTCACCATGTCAATTAGTGCACCATGAGATACCTTCAAGAGACGTTTAATGCAATTGTGTCGTGGTACAAAAGTGAGCCGCACGGCGCCGCACGGCTAGTCGGTAGCAGTGCCAAGCTTTGTGCTGTGCAGCCGCTCTTTATTCCCATTTTGGTAATCCTACGTCATGTGCATCATCCAAGCCAACAGGATGTAGAATATGCATGCTGAGGATTGCTGTGGCTAATCAGCTTTAACATGCTGTGGCTCCCCGATCGGTGATAGACTTTGTTATTCGGTCATGCAGATGCATAGTTTTCATGTGATTTTTAAACGGCAACATTATTATTAGCCTTGCCTATGTACATGCCAGAGTGATGATGATACTATAGCACAGAAGCTCCCTATGCTGAGCATTACGTATGATATCAAATGCACCAATTACAAAGCAAACACAATCGTTACAAGCATACCTATGCCAAGATTGAATGGTGGATGAAGACATGGCAACGTGCTAAGCGTAGATTCAATGATGCAATTTGCCATGATACCTACCCACGTCGACTCGTTTCTATGCGCATAAAACACGTGACATTCGTCACGGTTGTTACTTTGTTACGTTGCTAGGCGACAAAGTCATCACCATGTTCAATTATGGGTTGCCAAGTATTCAGCGGAGACATCATTGTTATGGTTGTTCGATGCAGACTTTTCTGATACTTTTTTGTGCTCGATAGCATGATCATAGAATAGAAGCAAGGCATTTTCCATGTCTCTCATCGCCCTTTGAAGGGATTGAATAAGGTCTAAACTAGAAAAAACATACACTCCTGAAACCCGTAAGAGCTTTCTAAGTAGCATACAAGTCCTTTAAAGAAGGATCCATTGTCTTCAAAGGAAAGCCATCTCGATGTTACTTCCACAACACTGAAAAGCGATTCATGCTGTATGTATCGCTTCAATCTATAATGCACTTCTTATTATGCAAATGCGTTTTAGCTGCTCGATCTTCTTGGTCGCTATACGTTTTAATCAGCGACCTACTAGAAGATGTTCTACGTCATCCTTTTGGTTATCATATATGCTGATGTGTGTTGTTGATACTCGCTTCAAATCGAGATTTACTAAGCTTGAGGCATCCAGTGCTAAATTTAATCTAGGGGTTAAACCAGTGTATGTGACAATTGAGCAGCAAGCAGCTGCTAAGTATAAAAATAGAATGGTCCTGTTGCGAGGTATTTTCACGTTATGATGTGCCTTAAGGTGTCAAGTGCGCTTCTGCCATAAGCTGATATTGGTCTTTGTGACTAAAAAGCGGGAGCATGCAGGATTACCATAATGCAGAGGGCAGCGAAGAAAGAGCACACGTTGCTAACGGGTAATCATTACGTGCACATAGTACATTGGGAAAGGCATAGTTGGCATGGTAAAGATACATGGATTGTCGAGCTGATGATCGAGCTTCAAATTTTATTCAAACATGCAAGCGTGTAATATCAAGTTTTGGTATCAATGACAATATGGGAGCCGATTAGAATGCAGGGTGCTTACGACGCTGCTCATACAAGCAATAATGCGGGATTACGGTGATTGTGGAACGGGATGAACTTTGTATGTGAATCATGATACAAGAGCGTTGACATGTGAATGGCATGGGCGATCCATGCACAAACACAAAGATGTAAAGCACCAACTGTTGGGTGGTGGGAATGTCACACGTTGCAGCTTTTTCGAATCATCCAACAATCACAACGATCAAAATTGGATATTGTTGCTCTCTAATGTACAAAGCTTAATCGGTAAAAAGTGAGCTTGAATGATTCACACACACACACACATCACATTGCATTGCCATTGTTTAATAACTTCTGTGCCATTCCACCCTCTCACTGGCCCACAAGCAGCAAAGGAGCTGTGCAACCATTATAGCGCTGTTGTTGTTTTCGAATAATGATTGATCCGAATCGTGATTGTACGACAGGTGATTGTTGCAAGCACCAAAAGCAAAAATAAACCACAAGCTCGGGGATGAAAATCAGCCGTTTCAAGTGCTACGTCAAGTGCTGCTTTTTTGACAATCCCCGCGAGCGCGCTCTATACAACTTATTTACAACATTTGTCCACCCCGCAATTGCTGGATATTGTTCATCCCGCCCCCACCATTCTCAATCCACGTAGACATTTGCCACATTCATGTTACCAATACCATAGTCACTCATGCTATCAATTAGAATGGGCGTTGTTCATCGTGATTCACGTGTCATCAACCCATGCTGAAGAAAACAATCAATTAAACATCGTGGCTGGCAACGGCCTTTATAAGGTTTAGCGTGTCGGTCCGTGCTCACACACGTGTACAAGAAAAGTCGTGTTCTGGAACCTCATTTTGTTGACAACCCAAAAGAGAGAAAAAAACACAATGTTATTTCAATTGACGAAAGAAAAAAACATACATAGCGATTAGAGACAAAATATCGTTCAAGTGAGGGAGAAGGTTGTGTGCGTGGTATACGTTAAATGAAGGTGTGGCAAGTTTATGGTGTTGCAGAAAAGGGAAAGATACGCAGGTGGAATGTTGTACCAGGTTGATGGTATATGAATTCGTTTGTGTATTGCTTGGTGTGTGTGTGTGTGTATGCGTGATCTGCCCAAGGAGCATAATAAAAGGAATGAGAGGGTGGGGTGGGGGTTGTTGTTGAATATGACAATGATGAAAATGACGGTGATGGTGGTGGGAGTCGAAATAAAAGATTGTTGGGTAGTAGGAGGTATTGCTGTGTTGTTGGCGGGCCAGCCCTGACCTGCTGTGTGTTATTGTATATGTGCTGCTATTGTTGTTGTCGTAATGTATAAGCGATTTTTACCTCCTTCGAGGAGGCTTGAGCTGGTTAATGACGTTTTGCAATTCTGCCATCCACATGTTCATAGCTTCTTTGGAATCCGCTTTGAGATAGAACACTTCAGCCGTAGACCCGCCAGCGGCAGCTAATAGAGCATCAATGTCATCAGCGTACTTGTAGGTGGGATCTGTCGAGTTGATAGTGATCTCAAACGCATAAGGGTGATTGAGCTTCTTTTTAGGCAGTTCCCGAACCACAGCATCACGAAGATCAATCTTGCCCTTGAAATAAAGCGATGATGATGGTGATGATGTTGAGGATGATGACGACGAAGATGAATCATTGTCCCTTGGCCGAGCAAATATCAACATGTCGTTCAATAAAAAGTACATGCGTCGATCATCTCGATGGCCGTAGCTGCCGACACCCACACTTGTCAATTGACCTCGCATGATGAATTGTCGTGGCTCATCCAACAGAATGGGGCAATTGCGTACAAGGGTGATCATTTCCACTAATCGGCTTATGTTTTGACACCTTTGTTGTCTATGATGACAAAGAGTTATTAGTTCAGGTACAAAGGAAAAAAAAGTCGCGTGATGTTTCAGGTTATGCTTACAATGGGCGCATGCTGTGATCCAAGCGATTCATTCGCAACGAACATTGGGCAAGTTTCTGAGCATCGGGGTGATGTGGATCGGTTTGCAGCACCAGGTCTTTGAGGATCTTTGCATATCGGGGGACAGCGTACAAGGGCAGGCTTAGTAATGAGAACAACGAGATTTGACCTGCTCCACCGAATTCACCCATTGGCTAAAAGATGAAGATGATAATGAGTCGTCTGCACACAATGAAAAGTAGTTAAACATGTATGTTCCATTACATACCTCCACGTATTTCTTTGTGGCGGGTGTACGAGCCATTCGTTCCAGGACACTCATTGCAACAACGTAGTTCTCGTAATACGAAATATAGGATGGTGCATCTAGCACCTATTGCTTTGTGTAAGTAGTCATGTAACCCCATCATAAGACATATAAAGAAGAAGCACGTACCAAAGGCTCAATGATATCTGACAAGAGCTGCGTCGGGCCCCAGATTCGAAACCTGCCGTTGCGAAAAAGACAATGAGCCATGATGCTGCATTAAAGAGACACGTGCATACCTGTCTTTGAGACCATTATAGAAACGACGACTGATCTTGAGCAGATCTTCAAGGTTGCCAAAGACAATTTCAACATCGTTGCCACGAATGACACCAGCTGCCTTGTTGGAGGACAAGAAATTCCGAGGCAAGGAAGACGATGAAGTGGAGGTTGTGTTGGAGGATTGTCGAAAGGTCGCCATCATTGGCTTTTTGTAGTATTCAACTGCTGCCTGCAACTTTGCAATGTAACGGCCCTCATTGTCGAAGAGTTCTTTGAGGATACGCTCTCTATTTTGTAACTGAAGGTCGACAGCTGCCAAATCTGGGAGGAAGAAGGGTTTGATTTTAGTTGTCATAGCAATGAATGCATTTATGAATAAATGGATGGATACCCACCAAGTTTGCCAGCATCAAGTTCGGTTGCAAAGAAGGAATACAAATCATCAATGACATCGACATCATCATACGTGGATAAAGCAGTTACAGGTGGACATGCTGCTGAGCCCACTGAGATGCGAAAAGGAGAAAGTGGATCATCCATGCTATAGGTGCTCATTGATGTACTCGCGTCACTAACGGATGCAGCACCAATACGACTACCGCTACTACTGCTTGCAAAAGACAGTTCGGATGAGGTGGTTGTGCGAATGGTGGCTCGTGTTGATGTCGTGCTAGTCGATCTCGTCTTTTTCAGCATAATTGTAACCCGTATATATATGGGTGTGCTGTATTATTAAAAGAGGCGTCAATGATGTGGATGCGTGATGATCGCACGTGCGGAAAAGAGAGGAAAGTTAAAAGAATGCGTGGAGCGAGAAAAAGAGGGATGGGTATAGAATGATGGGATGTGAGTGTGTTGACGAGAAAAAGGGATCGACAGCCGACAAGAAAAACGGAAAAAGAAAGAAAGAGAGAAAGAGATGTGAAAGCGAGGGAGCCCAAGATTTGTATACCGAGTACAGGCAAATTACACAGAAACTGAGAGAGAAAAGTTTATTCAGTCGCTACTTTCAATATGTACCCGTTTCGGCGGTAAAGTCTTTCTCATCATCAAATTCCATAGAAGGAGTAAAGGAGTAGGTGTATGTGTATGTGCTTGTGCTTGTAGTATGTAAATGCACAGATGAACTATGCTAGGGCATCCCCATCATCATCGTGTGCATTGGCATAGAGCTCCCAAGCAATGATGGCGGGCGTCAAAAGAGATCATCCCTTTGTGTGCCTTAGTGCAAAACACTATACTACAGTCCCTGTTGCAACACGCTCTCGGAAAGCCCGGGAAGAATGTCAACGTTGCACCTGCAAAATAACGGGCCTTGTAGCTGATAGGATTGGTCATGCGGTTACCTAAGGGAAAATCACATTATACTATACAAGTCATCTTCTTGCCGCATACGCATTTTCATTTCTGCTTTGCTTTTTGACGATGTGTGCTGTGTTGGGATCTTTGCGACGATCTTTTTTTGACTCCTTCTACCCCGAAACCCGACGCAATGCCATGTGGGCATGTGTATCTGGTCCCGCTCATCTCCCAATCAATGAAGGGGCATTGAGGACCCCATGGCATCTTTTTTTCTTCATACACGAGCGTTTTAGACATCTTTGTATGAAGAGGAGTGATTCGGCTCAGCAAGGAGAGGAAACAACTTAGGGACAATTACAAAGTGAAGTTTTTGTGTGAGTGTAAGTGATAGTAATGGACTTGCAGGGTTACGCAAAGAATGCTGCAGATTCAATCTCAATTAGACTGAAGCCGTGATACACGTCGGTTGCACGAGCCAATACAAGCAAGTGAAGGAAACAAGTGAAATGCTCGTGGTAATACTTGCTCGGCTATCCCGCGTGCTCGGGAACTGGAAAAAGATCGTGGCAACACGATAATCTCTTATAGCTACCCGTCAAACAACCTCTTTATTATGGTTGTATCACTGTGTCATTGAAACATGCAACATGGTTGTATTATTAAGGAGTGGCTATTGTACTCCTCCTCAATAACAATAAATCACACTGCATGAGGATTTTCTTTCGGATGGTTAGCAAACCCACAATATGAATTTTCCTCCGCCCCATAGGTTGGAGCGATGATGCTATATGTCAAAGCACTTGATCCCATAAGGCTGTAACACACCAAAGTGGTGTAAGTGAGCCTATCTTGCTAAACTATCGACGTCTGTTACGTTCCAGAACGTTTCCAAGATATGCATCACCTGGTTTAACAATGGGATGTGAGATGTTGGTGCGCCTATTGACAATGCCAATACGTGTCTTTGGTAACGGCCATCCAATCGGTGCGATCATGGTGACTATATTACACGCAGCTATATAATGAATGGAAGGGTGCACGGATGATCAAAGCACTTTTTAATTATAGATTGTACCTGTATCTGACAGAGTAAAGTTGTATGAAAAAAGACACGATGCACATACTTTGTGCCACCATGATCCTCGGTTTTTCCTACATATTAACTTTTTGTGCCCATCGATCATCATTCTAAGCGTATGCACGTCATATTGCTCATTACTAAGTACATGCCATTGTATGAAGGTGACTCCCATTCCTTGACTTGCCATTTATAAAGTATCCCGTTTTAAACCTTGAAGGCCTCAAATAGCATACTCAGTAGCTGCCCTTCCCAGATTAGAAGCAATCGATAGCCGCTGCCCGCTGGTCGCGATTATCTGAAAACCAAAAATGATCATGGATGGTGTTACCTTGCTTGGGAAAAACTTGTTGTGTGGCAGGGGAAAGGCTGTCTCCTATTTTAATTGACGCACGGCTAACATGATCTTATCCTTAAACATGTTCTTGGATACCCGTCCCATTACTCTGGTTCATTCCAAGTCGTTCACACGGGAGATGCCAACTTGATGATATTGATATACACTACTCTTTGAGGCATTCAATTTCTTCCACTCAGCCAGGGCCTGTATACTTACCTTATTTGATGCGTGATCAGCTGTCTGGGTTTATTAATGAGCCATCATGTCGGGGTGCCTGCACCAAATCCATGACTTGCAGAAATTTTGGGATGATCGAGACCATTGTGAGCGCGCACATTCATCATCACTGCTAAACGGCAAACACAACAATGCTTACATGACATTGAGTACCACTATGCAAGATGCTCACATCACACTTGAAAAGTTGTGCTGCTTGTCAAGGGTTTAACAAAAACGCTGGGTCGCTTGCTACTACTACCTTGTTTTTGTTATCATCGTTGATGAATACCATCAGCCAAGAACGTAGCTGAGATGCATGGTTGCTTATTGCTTCTCCATAATGAAGCCCCCATTCACGTTAAATAGTAGCATAACGTTGATAGTAGATTGCTTTCTAGTAAGGCACGACGACAAAGCTGATGACGCCCTGACCCAAAACTTCGGGCATACTAAGCCCAACCCCACGGGCCATTGCTTGATGCTGACTATAAAAATGAAGCAGCTGCATTTAACAAAAAGCATCTTAGCTTCATCTGGATTACTTCTTTGACAACATACAAGCAGCAAGCATCTTATCGTAGTATGATCAATGTGTCACTATCACACAATTGAAGCTTGATCGTCAACGTATTCATGTCACGGGGATGACGTTACCTAAGCTAAATGTCCTCATAAGGCAAAATGTAGGAAAATTTTTCGTTTTACAATCTTGCTCGCATCAAGCGTAGCTTGAAAGTTTTTATTTTACAGAAAGATCATGCCAGTGATTTTTTTCGAGAACAAAGAGAAAGCAATAAAGAAGAACAACAAGGGGGAGTTTGGGTATTGATATGCGAGAAAAGAAGGATGTCAGGATGATGTGCGCGTTATACATGATAAGACTTGGGATGTTTGTGTGGTGGTACAATCATGCATTGAATGTGGGAAAGTTGCGTGTATCTTGTTTAGAGACCACCACCGCTACGGCCAACATCGACGAGACCAATACCATTGTTCACCTTGTGCCATTCCTTGCGGCCTTGAGAATCGGTGCCTTGTTGGGTCATGATATGAGAGTAAGCAGGAGTGGGTTGTGCAGTGGTGCGAACATAGGTGGCATAACCAGCAGCAGTGGTAACGGGAACAACCAAGAAAGAAGCAGTGCGAGAGGCAATCATGTTGTGTAATGTGTTTGTTGTACAAGGAAAAAAGAGCAAGTTTAGATGTTGATGTCTTGAAATGGACAATAAGGTCGCCTGTTTATATACTTTTCCAATACATACGCTGTTTTGTTTCTTGTTACTTTGCCACTATCTATGCCGGATCAAGTGGACGGAGTAAAAGGCTTTTGTAGGCTACGATAGGCTAAGAGTCGGATCGGGAACCTCTATCGGCGATGCAATTTGACAAGTCAATGATATCATATCAAGCTGCTATCCATCATCATATACTTGCTCCGCTCGCTAGAAAGGGGGGCCATGAATTTGATGATGCGCGAGTGTGTGAATATTGAGAAGATGGTGAATTGAAGATTGGAAGGTATGTTAATGCTAGTTACTATTCGTATGTTGAGGATCGTTGTAATGAAAATACCATAGCAGGCACGCAGCAGATGTAGTTAAATAAGTAAGCGTGTGTATGTTCGGATACTTTTTTCTTCTTCTTTCATACCTCATTTTCTTCTAAACATGATTGGCGGTTGGTTAGCCTTGTTGTCCATTGTTGGCCTGTGGCAAGTTGCCGTATGCGAATTTTCGCCATCCGTACCCGAGCCTGGTACAGTATGGCAAGCGGGCAAGGAATACGATATTATATGGGGTGAGGAAGAATTATTCAGGCACCATGAGAGAATCGTATGACTGAGTTGATATGCATGACGATAGAGGAGGATGGCACCAAGCCCTTGATGGAAAAGAACTGGAGAAACTTTAAGATCGGTAAGCTGATAAGGGGGAGGTTTAGGCGGTTGTCGGCAATGATCAATTAAACATAATGCTACACACACGCAATCCATGTGCATTTACGGCATATCTACGTACTTGATAGACTTGATGACGGGTGATGATATGGATCAGAAGTTCTTATCCAATGTCGCTTCGGTATGCATATTGGACCCTGAACAAATATGCGTCTCATGTTGATATCCTTATCGGGAATGATAGAATCTGTCAACCGCCAACGGTGCCACCAGCTTCAAGTGGAAGGCGCCCGACGTCAGCCCTCACTCGCCTGTCTACTTTTTGATGTTCACAAATGGTAAGGCCCTGACTACCAAATAAGCATAAAACTCCTCATTAACCTTTTTTTGCTGCACACTCAAACGTAAAACGTTTCATGTAGAACATGGTGAAAATGCCTGGACAACTCGTTTCGCAATTGTAGGTGAGGATGGCAAGCAAGAGACACCTGAACATGCTGAACAACCCAGTGGTAAGTACTGTTTATTATGCAAAATGTGCAAGTTGTATATAATGTGGGCGCCCTTTAAACTGAAACATGGATGACGATGCTTTTAAGGTGAAAAAATTCCATGGGGGGTGGGTAAGCTCGCCAAAATTGAAGCTGCCAATGTGAACTCGCAATCCGCTAGCCAGGCTCAATCCTCTTCCCAAGGTGCCTCCGCAACCGCTCCCCCAGGTCTCAAGATCCAAACCGCTTCCCAAAAGTCGAGTGCATCATCCACTAGTGCCTCTTCCTCCAATACCTCTGCTGCCAATGCTTCAATGACAAGCATGTCATGGCAATCCATTCTCATGATCACATTTGGGTCGTGGGTTGCAATGTCCATGATGTTATATTGAAAATAAAAGTGTATCGATTCTCCTATCCCTTTTTTTACATTTCCATTGCCGTATCTACAGCCATGCTGCTGCTGCTTCCATCGGTCACCTCGTTGAACATGTACTGGTCTTGATAGTCCTTGAGATATTGCACTGATCGTTTCTCGTCGAGGAAAAGTGAATAGACGCGTTTGATATCTTGGATATCAACAGCAGGTGCCTATGTGTAGTAGTATGTCAATAAGAGCTTTCCACGTTGACAATGATCAAATCCTATACATACCTTTCGCTTCCTTGCAACAAGATTAGAAGCGGTGATGAGATGAATAGCATAACGCAACGAGGTTTCAACACCAATCTTTGTCAACACATCCCGTGCATCATCAGTCATTTCCACATCTTCCTCTTGGCATCTAAATTTGCATGATGAGTAATCGGACACGAGATATGGATACTAAACCAACACCTACCGAATAGTAAGGATCTGCTTGATCTCGTTTTCTTCATAAGATTGTGTTGAGATGATAAGCATACGGTCCAAAAGATCAACAGGGATGCCGTGTGGTGATTTGTACTTGGTGCCTCGGATTTTGGTAACGCCACGGTTGGAAGCCATAACAACCACAGGAGACATTTCATCTTCCAATGCTCGGTTCAAGAAAGAGAAACATTCAATATCGAGCATATGAACCTCATCAATAAATAATACCTATATCATCTCATGAGCATCACAAATCGACAATGTGAAAAGTTCACGTTTACTTACACCAGGCACAATGTCTGCCTTTCCTTCTTCTCTCCATTCAGCCACCTTGGCATTAATTTGATCTCGCACTTCCGACTTGATTTCACCAGTGTCACCTATGATTCATTGTATTGAGTTGTCATTGTTCATCATCACTCGCATTCCTTTTGATCCTCCTACCTGAAAAGAGAGCCAAGAAACCTTGGGTTCTGCTGTTGATGACATCAATCTCGTGCAATGACACGGTGTGAACAACTTCTTTGCGCTTTTGCAATTCTCCTTCTGGGCATTGGACAAATTTGGTCTATGGTACATAAACTTAGCCCACTGAATATCCTTCCATCATTGTTTGTTTGTTTCTTTACATCAGATCCCATAGCATCATAATCTCGTGCACGTGTGAAAGAGCGTCCAAGCTTTGTGATACGTCCAGAAGCCTTGTCAATAGCAATGACATCGCTAATTTGATGTATAGTGAGCCATGTATGCTTTGCATGAATGTCTCCTTATCCAGAGAGTACTTACCCAGCCATGACCTTTTCTTTGTTCAAAGCATCAATCATCTTGTTACCCAAATCATACACTGTCTCCATATCGGTCGTCTTGAGAGTGAGCTTGCCAGTCTTGGCTCCCTAATACGATGTCACAGAATGAGCACAAAGAATGATAACACGATTGACAATGACCCCACTTACTCCTGTCAATGATCGATCAATTTGGATTTCCACCACTTCACCCTCGATGATTTCAGATTCTTCTTTGATACGCACACCAATCGATCGACGGAATGCTTGAGTCAATGCTTCGGTTTTTGACATTTCCAGTGAGAAGATCTCGGATGCTGCAAGCATGGTGAATGGGACATCAGAGCCAAGACCTAAAAAAGTGATAATGATTGGTGAGGCTGATCCATGCTGTTATCGTATTCATTGTCGTCATACCTTGAGCCATGCCTATATGCATAAGGATGATAGATCCATTGTTAATAATATATTCTATGACAATGACAAGCGCAAAACATACCCATAGCAATAGCCGTCTTGCCCGTGGAAGGAGGACCAGCGATCAGCACAGCACGACCAGCGATCTTGCCAGCTTCAATCATGCGAAGAATCACACCAGCTGCTTTACGTGCTTTGAGTTGACCCACCATGCCTTGCGATGTAGCACGTGGTTCGAGGGCATCGTCGAGACCAAGACCGCGAATGTGTGAATGCGCACCTGTTGGAAGGAAGCATGAGTTTATCTATGCATCATGACACACTCTTTCCCAACGCGTAGGATACTTGCCAACACGCTCCATTCGAAGCAGATCTTTGGATTCTGAAGGCGAGACTGAAATCGGTAATGACTATGGGCAGAGAAAGGTCGTATGAATATCTCATTGACATGCTCGAGTGGTGAAGATAGTATACCATGGCTGGTTTATGCTAGGGAAAAGAAGAAATACAAGGAAGCAAAAGCAAAATTCTTACGTTCGGCTTTTTGGACAAGTTGCCCAGCCAAATTGTTCAGGCTCACCATCGCCCAGCCCACCAACCAGCCATATTACCATAGATACGTCTCATGGTAATAAACCAAAATGGACTATGCAGATGATCAATGGATGAGGTCTTTGTGCATACCTCGTAACAACATCCGTATTGCACCCATTCATGCTGTAGCACTATCCTACTTTGTCTCTGTGACCTGTTGTTGTCGTACGGCTTCATCGTCAATAAAGCTCGACCCTCAAATTTGAAAGGATGTCTTATGGAAGCCCTGATAGTATTGATGGGTATTTTTGTTGACATACTCCCAAGAAAGTGGGGCATTCATCCATGTGTGGTTTCAAGCAAGAGACACGTTTTATTTTATAGATGATCCCAAAGGGAATATACAGCAAGATATCGAGCTACTGCTACTATCATTCAACTCGCAAAAGGGATACCTCATTTATCATCCTGTGATCAGCATACCTTTTGATGACTCTATTGACTTATATAAGTGATGGGCGTCTATCACAGCAGGGAGCAGAGGGTCGGTTGATGGTTGCCATTGGATACCGAGTAAAGAAGGCATGTGATTGGCTGAGCGAGTTGTTGAGCCCGCCGGCAAGTTATCGAAGGGGTCAGCAAAACAAAAGACTTTTTCCCCTTCTCCAGTAAACGACATGTTCAACACCGTTATTCGTCGTGCCTACACCACCAAGGCTCTCATTCCTCCCAACGTTGCTGCTGCCACCAAGGTCTCTGGCTCTGGTGCCAAGGACGCACAACTTGCTCAACTCGTTGCCTTTTACAAGGTATGCAAAATCAGCACTGCCCATTGATAATACGCGCACACCAACAGTAGACTCATGTACTTTATTGTCGACATTAGAACTTGCCCAAGGGTGCTTCTGAGCCTGCCAAGCCCTCTGGTCTCTGGGGTCGTTACAAGGCTCGTTACATTGATGGCGACAATGCCTCTGTTACCCCCTTGCTTCACCTCATTTTCGGTGTCTTCGTCGCTGGCTACACCATCGACTACCACTTCCACTTGAGTAAGTTTTTGTTCATATCATCGATATAGATCATGAATGGTTTATTGATTGCAACATTATCTACAATAGAGCACCACAAGAACGTTGAGCACCATTAGATTGTATCATGTCATCTCTATCTGTATAAAGATTAAAGCTCCCAGGCAGTATATCACTGGCGCGTTTGTGCGATATCTCGTGGACCCAACGCTGAATTTGTGTGATAACGACATGTTGTAAATGGGATTCCTTATCCAATCTTATCGGGAATGGGTAGGAATATGTAATTTGCCATGGCAACGGCATGGTGCGGAAATGGATGATTTGAGGAAAGCTAATTTGGAGAGATAACTTATGGCCTTCTAATGGCAATGACACACACACACGCACACACACACACACACACACACACACACACACACACACACACACACACACACACACACACACATACAAAAAGTGATTGATGCGTCATGATCTATTGCTTGCGTAAAAGCATTTATTGGTGTGATTTGGATGATGTCTATTATGTGATTTCCAATGATGATTCCTCTTTTATATGGCTTGAGACATGTGAATGTTGTATGCTAATGTATCGACGAGAGATGTGTGGGAGTAATAAAATGGGCGACAACATTCTTGTTTATATGGGTGGTAGGTGTGGATATTTATGTGGTCATTAACGGAATTGCTTGTTGACTCCTCGCAATCTTGAACTTCCTCCGAGTCAGGTGTGGATTTTCCAAAAACTCAAGGCATGTATCCAAAATGATGAGAGTCCTCACCCAAAAAACCATTGATCGTTGTTCTCTTATTCGAAGTTTGTGGACGCTTCTTCGGTGAGATGTATGCGGTATCCCTTGAGTCTGAGCTGGCGTCCGATGAGTCTGACAAGGTGTCGCTGTTGATATAATCTATGATTGTTTGCGCACTTTGCGACATGAGATTCTAACAACGATATTAGCAAATCAAATCGATTCAATAGAGATAGCCTGTATATGCACACCTTCAGTTTCCAACAATGCTTGACAAACTTGGGGATGAACATGGGGAGCCTGCCACATGGCGCAAAGACATCAAAAGAGAATACACGATCAAATACATAGATGCCTCTTGTAGGCTCAGAAAGTGCGTATACGTAGATGTGATTCACTGTAATTACATCAATTAGCATGCGACGTAATTATTTGTGTTCAAGCTCAATACTTACTGGCGGAGCTTGACTCTAGTTTGACATTGTGAAAGGACCACTAGAGCTTTTGGGGACCCTGTAACCCCCCCTATGGGTTCTAGAGGAATGTGCCAATTGATTGTAGACGCATCTTGGAAGGTATGCTAATCAAAAAAGAATGTAAGTATAGGGTTCATGAAGCAGGATGACTGGATACTACCTTAATATAAGAGCCAAATATCATAATGACAACAACGACAATGAAAGTGAGAGGATAACAATGAAACGCTAAATATCACCGCGAATGTTAGTACATGGATCGCTCACAAAGAGGATAAACCATCATGACATACTACTCACATCAACTTGGGCTTTGAAGGTGTCAGCAATCAACGAGAGATGTGATGGACGAAAGAGATGTGTGGGAGTAATAAAATGGGCGACAACATCCTTATTTATCTTTGGATGGTTGGCGTGGGATTTATGTGATCACAAACAATGAGAAATGAATAATGAATTGCTTGTTGGGAATGATGATGAGCTGATAAATTGATGGTGGGCCTTCACAAAGAGTCCTGGGCGTGATTGATTGTCCATGCTTAATCAGATTGTGAGATACACAAGAGGACAATATCCATCATCATCATCAAACAATGACATCTTTTAAACAACACGAATCACTTACTGTGCTCAAATCCTACCAAAAAAGACGTTTTTGGCCGATGTTTGTATGAGCGTTCGTTTCGAAAGTGGAAGTTGGCGTAAATGTTATCGGCCACCACAGCTCCAGCGTAGGGTGTATAACGGCATTCATGCATGCATGCACCCAAACAGGGTAGTGAGCGATGGTTCTCAGCTCCTACATCACCAGCATCGACGTGCGATAACAACACTGCTCCTAGTACTTGATAGGATGGATAAAGGAACAATGGATCTGTTGCACTTGTATCCCATCTTTTATCATCATTATCAACCATTTTGTGAGAGAAGGTTCGATCATAATCATCATCATCTATTTGTTTTCGTTTGGGACACCTCTTCTTGCCATCGTTGTCCACAATATCTATGCGCCTACTACTTTAAACTACATCACGAGATTCATTACATCATGGGCATTGGAATGTAACTGGTGCATAGAATGTTCAACGCTTGTAATCACGTTAGCAACACCATTGACTAACAGCAATGCTTGTATTCCTATCGTCATCGCCGACGGCCGTATCCATATAAAAATTGCATTGACACGTAGCTTTAGTGCCATCATCGTGTGTATTGATAAAAGAACTTTTTATTTTTGATTAGTGTACATAGCATATGCTTCACGTGGATTTGTATTGTATGGAAGTGGATCATGCAGATGTGGTTAGAGACTACGCTTGTTCCCATTAAGCGGTGGCTCTGCCGGTAGCAGTGACAAGAAGTAGCAGCATGGTAGGTAAGGCATACACCTTTTTTCTCCCACAAGAGGATGTCGATTCAATAAGGTGGTAGCCTCCACTACCGCATAGGAACCATTCTTGATGGATGGGGGATGATTCTACTACTTGTTATGCTGTGGATGACGTTTTTAGAAACTTAATTGGATGCGCTGGTGACGCGAATTTGCTGGATACTTCCCTTTCTCCTCTTTTTTTTATGAGCTACGAATCACGAGGTTACTATCGATCGCGACAAGACGGTAAGTGTCACGCGTGAATGCGATATCAAGCAACTCAACGAACACGAATGCAGGCAACAATTACGGTCGATCTGGTGGAGGAGGACGCTACCGAGGTGAATAGAACAAATGTGCTGACAGTGGTTGACCATGAACTCATTCCTCTTTTATGAAATAGACGATCGCCGTGGTCCCCGAAGACGCCGATCACCTGCAAGAGATGACGACGTGGAAGACATTGAAGTTCGATTGCGTGGTTTGATTATCAAGATTGGTGACAAAGTATGTCGCTTGTGGTGGTTGTGGTGGTTGTGGTGGTTGTGGTTGCCAAGGCGACTGGCCACTTACATGTATGATCCACTAGATTTCACCAGAGCTTCAAGTGAATTTGAACAAGATGAAGAATATCCTCGATAACGACTATGCAAAGTATCCTGACACTGTGCAAGACACCTTGAAGGCATGGTAAGGTTTAGGATGGCTTTATTATGCGACATTTGACTGATCGGGATATGATAGCATCACCGAATTGCCAGCAAAAGCACCCGTGTATGGTACACTCCTTGGATTGCTCAATGTATCCAGCCATGATCTCGTCAGCAAGCTCATGTATCTCATCAACGATATGCTCAAGCAAACGGTCGCAGAAGCCAATTGGATCAAGCTCAAGCAAATCATGAGATTTTATGGTGAATTGGTCAATGCCAACGTCATCTCTCCCACATCTTACTGCGGATTGATCAACGATCTCTTGTCAGTGTTGAACGAGCCTAATGAATATCGAGTATGTATGATGCTTGCTTGACAATGGTACCTTCCATTAACAATCTCATGCTTTATAGCGTCGTGCGGATTGCATGGTGTATATTGTTTTATCGACGCTTCCTTGGGTAAGTGGAATGGCGGGTATCTTGATCCATTGCTAAATGGTCTTATAGAGTGCAAAGCAGCTTTCGGAGCAAACCATTTCCAATTTCGATGACATTTTGCAACGCATTGAAGACTACATGAACCGACGACCCGCCCTTCCTTCACTGGATATCTTGAAGTGCTACAGATCGGGCATTGTCGACAGCACACAGGATGTAAGTGATCATTGTTACTGATATTATCGCTCTTAATTCTTATTGTATGATCTATATAGGCTCTCGCACATCTTTGGGAACTCATTAAGCAGCTTCGTAGCAAAGAATGGGAGGTGAGTAAACTTTTATGCGTGGTACACTATTGATACTTACACGTAATGCTAGTTTGCATTTATCCCAAGACTCTACAATTGGTTTGAAAGCGAATTTAGTTCGGCAGTCCAGGTACGTAAATGATTTGTAAGAGCAATTTGCAAGGTACTCATTGGATCATATTGTAGCATGATATACCTCGAGTCGAGCTACCTGAGCACACAGATTTAAGTGAATACATTAGCCCCGAAAAGCCTTTCAAGATCCACGTGGATGATGCTGGTGTGGTAAGTACATTGGATGGGTATGCGCGTATATATAAACGTATACGTACATTTCTGACATGGTGTATTAGTCACTTCCCAATGTGCCAGATCACAATGGTCTCGAATACTTTGTGCTCAATGACGTGATCTCCGATATTCTACGTATCTTTGAACCCAATCGCAAGGAGTGTGGCAAGTACTTGCTCGCTGTTGGTAACAGCTTTGAACCTGGTCATTTCCGATCTACACACAGCAACGAGCGTGATCGTGATGGAGACGAGAACATGGATGAGGATGCACAGGGATGGTGTTTGGCTGATATACTCCTTGAGGTAAGATTGACAACCATTGGTATGATGACGCGATGGCATGACTGATTCATTTATGCGTATATATGTAGGTGATCATGTCACAAATGCTCAAGCTTCCCTCATCACCCTATCCTCAAGTGTATTACACCTGCATTATGGCCGAGCTTTGCCGCACAGAGACCAGCACTTTCCCGTTAGCTCTTGGAAGGGCAGTCAAAATCATGTTTGATCGATTGGCAGATATGGATACAGAATGCGTCTATCGACTTTCTTGCTGGTTTGCACATCACTTGAGCAATTTCGGTTTCCAGTGGGATTGGGCTTCATGGTAAACAAACAAGAGCGACCGTTCTGCTTACTTTATTGTTGCTCATTATTGTATTCTTCATTAGGGATAGCGTTCTTTCATTAGAACCAAGCCATCCTCAAGTTTGCTTTATTCGCGAGACGATTGGAAAGTTGATCCATCTCAGCTATTATGAACGCATCAAGAGCATCATTCCAGAAAACTTGCATGGATTGGTTCCCCCAACTGCACCAGCACCCAGCTTTGCCTACCAAAGCGCAGAGCATCCACAGCATGAAGCTGCCAGGGAGGTCATTAGCACACTTCGAGCCAAGAAATCCACAGATGATGTACAGGCTTTATTGGATCGTATCAAGGAGCAGCATAGCACCGATGCCCAAGAACAAGAACGATTCATGCAAGAATTATTTACACAATGCATGCTCTTTGTGGGTAGCAAGAGTTTCTCACACGTGCTGAATGTGGTTGAAAGGTTTGTTCAACATTGGGATTATGTAGCATGCGATATTGATGTTAACCTCTCTTTTAGATATCTTGAAGTCTTGAGATACGTCAATTCGTCTCCTGAGGCACGTCTTCGCACTGTACAAATTGCAGCTGCATTCTGGAAGGATAATACACAGGTAAGTAGGCAGGCTTACTTTTACGATCATATGCTCATTTGGAGGAACGTATAGTTCCTAGGCATTATCTTGGACAAGCTACTTAACTACCGTGTCATTGATCCTGCCAGCATCATCACGTGGGTGTTTGAAACACAACAAGCTGATAGCGCTTACCGTTTCTATGCATGGGAGATTCTACAAAACACAATGAGCAAGGTCGTGGCTCGTGTGGGACAAGTACGAGTCAAGTTGGAGGATGCAGAAAAGACCCACAAGGAAAATGAAGCAAAGCGTGCCCAAGAAGAATCAAATGAAAGTAAGTATCATCACTCCTCCCCCTTTTACAAAAGCAATTGACGGGTGGTGTTTTTTAGTGGCACAAGCTGAAGCACAACAAGAATTGGATACTTTGCGCATTATTGAGAATTCCTTGAACACTGTTTGCCGAGAACAAAAGGAAGTTTTCATGGCAGCTTATCAGCGATTTGTACAAACCTTGCAAGACGCATTGGCTCCCTTCCCCCCACACGAACGTGATACACAATTGACATGGAATTATCGATGGATCTTTGGCTGGTACCGGGAAAGCATGCGAAAGGTAGGGAAAAGAGGATAAGAGAAGAGAAAAGTGTCTCACATCTTATGTGTGTATAGTACTACAAGGAGAGCGGTGGTTTCCTAGTAACACTCGAGAGCGTGGTGTTTACCAACCAAGTGGATGAGAGTATCACTAGTGTATTTAACGATGTCAAGCAGTTGAATGAGCTTACTACAGCTACTGTTTAATATAATACAACATGTTGGGATCATAAAAACACACACAGAGGGAGAGGGATAAAAGCAATGCATATGGAATGATGATATATTGTTTAATCCTTTTCGAGATTGATTGAGCTGCCAAACTTTGCATAGAGGTCCTTTTTGAGATCTGACATTTTACTTTGTACTGAATCCATCTCGCTCTTGACAGCTTCAAGCTTGAGATCAAGTTGTTCGTTTTCCTTAGCCACACGGTCCAATGCTTCGGATACTGGGATATGCACAAACGCGTCGCCAATCTTGTGTCGAATAGGCTCATCCTCATCGGCTAGTTCCAGTTCCATCGAGACATCATCCAAGTATTCCTTCTCTTGCTAATGCCCCCATATACACGTGAGTTGGATACCTTCCATTGACCCGGCATTGCAGTGCTTACCTTGAGCTTTTCATATCTTTCTTCCAAGTCATCAATCTTGGCGTTTAACTTGCTGAATTCGTTGATGCGTTGCTGATCAGCCCACGACACCTCGACATCGGCTTCTTGCTCGGATTGTTGGCTTAACTACAAGTTACCAGCATGGTGTCAACTCAGGGAATGGATGCTTTATCAGGGGTCGGCTTACCACGCGGATATTTGACATTTTGTGTAAAGAGATTCAAGAACGAGTGAGCTGGTAATGCACGCTATTCGTTTTCGGCTTTGATCCTCCGCAACACGACACAACTCCATAGCTGTCAAGTAGACTTCCAATAAAAAAGTTATAGTAATACCACACATCTTCTGGTATCGGATTCGTCAAGTTAAGGATGATGGCAAGATGCGATATTGCTTTTTGTCTCCTGTAGATAACCACCCCTCGTGCCTTGATGAATGCAATGTCATCATGGCAGGTCTATGTCTGACCCATCAACCATCATGCTCCTTTTACCGTCTTTGGTTACAATACTACTACTGGAATCGTAAATGGGGAGCTCAAATTGATATCATGTGGAGTAAACTATAGCTGTCATGTTGCTGGCTTCGATATAGAATTGGCGAAAGGTGCTTTACAGCCATGGCTGGAGACTCAAGTCAAATCACTTTTATTCTATCCACAATACATTTACGAGAAGATACATACCCATTGTCAAACGTGGTTGATATATTTAGAAGCTACTAAGCAATAAATGAATTCGTTTTTATTCTTATTCAATGCACAAGCTATAATCTACATCTCATTGAGTGGTTCTTCGGGTGGGAAACAGGGTGGTGCAGTGTATAGAAAGGTGCCATCTTCAGCATTCGTGGATACCGTCCACCCATACAAGTTGGCAATCGAATTCAGAGAGTGATAATCCTTGGAGTCGCGTATACCCAGAAATTGCTTGATATCATCGTCATCATTACCCATGGCCACCTTTTGAAACTCGTCCCAGAAACCATAAGAGTGATCGTCAAAGTCGACTATAACCTTGTCCCCGTTGGTGTTGTTATGAAAGAGACACCACCAGTACCAAAACGGTCTTGTATCAGGTTTGTTGCCACAGGAGCGTTTCTTCAAAGCAGGAGCCATCTCCGCCTCGTTGTCTCTTAAGCCATTCGTATCATCCTCCTCCAGCATACATCGCTTGCGTTTCACGTATCCACGTAGTGCTTGTTCGAATAAGGATGGCTCGTACTTGGGTATCGTCCAAATGTTTCCTTGAGGAATGATCTTGTGCACCTTTTTGAAATACTTTTTGATATCGCTATGAGACAAAATGTTAGTCATATGACGATGATCACCACCACCCATAATAAGAGTACTTACGATAAACCATGGTATCCTTTGTTTAAGAGCTCTTTCCAAATCTCCACCTCAAGCGGGTATCCATATTGCGTCAATACATGCTGCATAAGAGTTGCAAGTCTGGGAATCCCTGGGATTGGTTCATTCGAGACGCATACTTTCACATCACGATCCGAACAATACACCTCCAAAAAGGCGAGTATCATGCTGGTGTATGAGAGTGGCTCACCCCGCCTACAATGTTCGACGACTTCGGGACGTAAGCTCTTGTTCTTGAATACCATGGTCTTGACGTAAGTTTGGAAATACGTATTGGGTGCATGAACCATTAACCATGTGTCGGGAATGATACGAAGAGGATTGCTATTCAAATCCTTGACAACCTGTATTGATGCATTGGATGAGTCATATGGTTCCTGTTATACTCAAACACAAACTTACCAATCCATTGCTTTCCACATCCGGATCATAATCGAGAATGCGTTCACCTTCATATTCTTTGCCAATCCATAAACCATCTTTCTCGTGATACTGTGTGCCATTCACAACGACACGCAACTGCGCCCTTCCATTGCTCTGGACATAAATGGGACACGATACGAAGTACTCGACGGCTTTCTTACTCCTTTGTTGGCGGAGGAAATCCAAAAGCTTTGCCTTGTTGCGTGCTTGCATAGGTCCTTGCCAGATCATGGATAACCTCTCGCGACGTGCTTGTGACACCAAATCAGGACACAGCATCCAGGTATCATTCCTCTCATCAAAGCCAAAGGGTGCCTTGCATTCGGTCTTGAGATACTGGTACTTTTCCTCATTGATGTTGCCAAGGCATGAACCCGTTTCCATTTGGATGCGGTGGATAAGCGCTGACAGGATATTGGTGCCTCGATTGAGATCCAGAAACCATTGGCGCCAATCCTCAGGGGAGTTGAAATAGGAAGGACATTCATGAAACATGGCATCGTCGTATCGCATGATAGTGAGATATTGCTGCTGTCGCTCAAGTGAATGCGGCTCGCTCACAGTGACACCATAGCGTTCAACATGACTTGTGATCCCAATTTGACCAGGCCGAGTAACGTGGTGTGGTAAGATCTCACAGACCTCATCATCACGCAACGTCTCGCTTCGAAATAGAGTCCTTTCACTAAGACCTATATCCACATGATAATTAATCAAGGGTGAAAATACACAGAGGGAATGCGTTACATACCAAGTGAATCGGCTCCTCGCATGTCACAAACAGCAGCTCTTGCTTCCTTTATCCTTTCACCAAGATCGGATCGCTCTTCGCTTTGTTCCAGCATGACGGTCAAGTTCCTTGCAAATGCCAATGTGCCGGGTCCATCGGGATCATTGGTGCGTGTCGTTTGTAGTGCGACGAGACAACATTCGAGTAATAGCAAGGAGCGAACCCAACAGAGAAACACCAGACGCAACACGCGTGGATCACGTGAACCAAAAGCCAAAGATGCAGGATCAAGATGCGGAATAGCCACTCCCCAAAATCGGTCGTCATTTGCTTGTTGTTGTTCCTCTTCCTCCTCAATCGAAGCGTCCTTAGTAAGATCACCAATCCAAACGATCGCTGGCTCTCCTATCACCGTTGCATATACTTCCTCCGTCAAAGATTGTCTATAATATGATTCATATATGAGAAATAAAGTTGCAATAATGCCTTTTTGCATAATCATGATTGATGTATTACCTTCCATAAAACCTTGAGCGTACAATAGCAGCTGGGAGGTATCCCATGGTAACCATAGTAAGACATCGAATTTGACGTAGCACTTTTGAAGTGGTAGCAATAGCATGATCCAATTGGGGTGCATTGGCCATTAGCATCCACAAGTCGACAAAGCTGATGGTATCCTGCTTGAGGTTCTGGTTGCCCAAAACATGTTGAATCATCATTTGAGAAATGGCGCCAGCACGACAGCCTTGAAAGAATCCACGTCGTACATGTGCGTCTTCCATACCCATCTCCTTGCCAAAGATTGCCATGGGAGTGTATCCACCAATACAGCTCGTATGAGGTGCAGCTTGCAATGTCACATGTTGGAGATAGGGATCAGGTAGCATGCTCGCAAGGTTGGGGTCCGATACACCTAATTGTGCACGAGATTCTTGGTAAATGTTGTACACTGCTCCTTGATCGTGATGATGATTTCCAAAGACATCGGCACCGGCCAAAAATTGATTGACATGTATCATGGTCGTAACGAATTGGATACATCTTTGATCATGCTGTTCTGGCACATAGGAGTAAAAGTGTCCACCGGGTAGTACATTGAGAAGAAATTTGCGGCCAAATAAATGGATCAGAAATTGCTCTGTGACATCAATAAGTGGCAGCGATGGATCTCCTTGTTCACCCCGTAGCTGAAGCAAAGGTATAGCATAAGCGTTGACTTGAACATTGCCACCAAAGAGCTCCTCAAGTAACGCAATCATGTTGACATAACGACTAACACCCAAATTGCTGGCGGAAAGATCAACAAGGTGGCTAGCATACGGTGTTTGCTTAGATGTGCACCCGATGTAACGCAAGGCCACAGGATCGTCGTTGGACTTGTATGCAGTATGCTTCATGAGATCATGCACAAAGATTGGATCGTGGTATCGATGGTGATACATATCGAGGATTATCTTCATTTGACCACAAGTCAAATTGATGGACCGGATGTAGAAGGTTGTGGTGTTAGGTATGGCTTGATCTTTTTGTGTCGAGAGACACGCCTGTAGCGTGGATGCCATGACGTTATCGGTCATTGATACTGAATCGTGCGCTAGCTGCAAAAGACGATCGATGTTGTTTTCCGAGACAATCTTCGATAGCAAATCTGGCACAACTTCGAGTTTATCGATTTGGCTTTCGATAAATCGTTCTTGGACGATCCTAACGACGGCTTCCAAAGTCGCAAGTGATTGCTCGTCAACCATTGTACGCGTCGCCATGAGATTTTTTTTCATCATTTCCCTTATTACAAAGTCGACCTCTTTATATACCATATGGATAACAATGAGGACAAATGTTGTCGAATCCATGTTTGATACAGCTCAACAATGGTGTACTCGTCACCAGATCATCCTTTCACAATGAACCACAAAGACCAACACTTCCCCTTGATTGGCTCTCCATTGTACTAAACATGGAACTAAATGACTCATCTAGCTCATCCGTGTCAGGTAATCAGCCACCTACAATCCCACATTACAAGATGATTTCATTAGGCAAGTGGAAATGGCTGGTCTTGAAGGCATCTTTAACATGTTGGGAAGTTCGCATGTTCATCCGTTTATGGTAGCCTCCATTCGCTCTAAACGTTAATTCGCGCAAGCAGTTACATCCTCAACGGCTAATAAGCATCCAAGCAATGCGTTTATTACATCTATTGTGGCAATCATGTAATAAGCGACGTACACTGTTACCAAGTCATTGGTAATGTTGCGAATAAAAAAGTAGTAACCAAGACGACGTTACAATTATCTTGCGCAAAAGATACCCCATCGCAACGGACGTGTACGTATACAAGTGAGCGAAAAAGTATGAAATAAAGATCAGGGTGCTGCATGCTTTACATACAACCTGCAGATTTTATGCAAGCCCGCCTTGTCATCATGTAATTCTTAAAGCACGCCGCACGCATCAAATTAGCTGCACCCTTCTCATTTTCATAACATGAATGTACATTGTGCAACGTTAATCAAAGAAAATGCTGGTACCCATGGGGTCATGTATATGCAGGTTGTAAAACAAGTTCATCGTACAAGGGAAAGGATACGTAAAGAGCGGGAACCGGATAATAAGAACATCCCTCATGTAGAGCCCGCGTGCTGTACAATGTGTCACCCCTCTTTTCGCACCAAAAAGGGAAAAAGCCGAGCTTTTACACCGTTCCCTAAAAACCTTGTTTCCTAGCTCTTTGGATTAAAACATCGTGGGCGATGAAAGAGATCGTGCCCTGATTTTTCTCTCTTCTTTTCATTGACAAGCATCTATCATCTTTTGCTTCAATTTCATATACAACCAACACGCGCAACCCCCTCAAAGATTGACATTACGCACCATCACATCATTATGCTGCATCCATTACATGACAAAGTCGTAGCGGTCTATGGAGGCACTTCAGGTAAAAAAGATACACTATTTCGAGAACAAACAACAAGCTCATTTTGATCATTGTAGGTATCGGGAAAGAGCTTACATCAAAGTTTACATCACTCGGGTACGATTAGACAATGAAAAATGAGCGAGAGCATGCCAACCACGTATCCATCACCCCCTTTTAAGGGTTGTTGTTGTTGATGCTACTGCGCATAATACACCTCCTTGCTGTTGTTGGCTGATCCCCACCTCCTCACTTTTTAGAGCATGTGTCATATTTTTGGGCACCAACAAAGAAAAGGGATGTGCACTGCAAGATTGCATTAACAAACAAGCTGGATCCACCAGGGCCGTGTTTCACATGTGCGATGTCACTGACTGGTCATTACAAGAAGCCTTGTATGACGTTGCTGCCAAGCAATTCGGGAAGACTGTTGATATTGTTATCATTGTTGCAGGGATCCTCGAGTCGTCTGATCTACTCAATGATGCCGAACAAGATGGTAGGTCATATCAACAAGGGTGTTATTGACACTAATAGCTCATGTTGTCATGATGCATTTTTAGGTAGTTATCGCACCCTTGAAGTCAATCTTGCAGCTGCTGCCAAGGCTACACGCACAGCCGTGCAACATTTCATCAAGAATGACAAACCCGGTCTTGTGATTCATACATCTTCCATCTATGGATTTTGTGGTGCACCCTTAGCACCCTTGTATGCTGCATCCAAGCATGGTGTATGTTTTCATTTTATAGTGTGCGTATCCAAGCTCGTATACTCATTTGCTATTGTAGATCTTAGGATTAGCGAAAAGCTATGGTACCTTATTTCGCTCAACCAATATCCGAGTTAATGCAGTGGCTCCCCATTTCGTTGGTATGCATCGGTGTTGTGAGGATATCTATATCGCATACTGTTTTTCACCTGACAACATGCATATGGTATGCTAGATACACCCATGGTCAGTGGACCATCCAAGGACGTTGCTACAGCATTAGGGATGGTGCCCATGTCGCGATGTGTGAGTGCGTACATGCATGTCATTGAAGATGAGACACTCAACGGTAAGGCATGAAAGCAAGCAAAGGTGTCAACAACATGCCATTGAAAAAAGAAACTCATGGCTATGATGATGTTGTAGGTGATGTAATTACAGTGACAGCACAAGGCATGCGTATTGAACCACGTTACTCTGATCCTATTTATGAAAAGCTGGATGAGCTCTGCAGCCATAGGAAGGCTTTCATTTTGGATGAAATTAAAAGACGTTTTCATGTTTGATCTGTACCATTATGCAAATCAGGCTCTTTATGTCATTATGCACGCACCAAACAGGGGTTTTGTTTGAGTATTTATACGGCGGGATGTTTGATCTTCGATACACAGATCACCAAATTTGCATTGTTTCTCCATTTTATTGTACTACAGCGCACATTATGCTATTTGAACAAGCAGCCAACCTTTTAAGCAAGTACAACATCATTGACATGGTCGAATAAGGATATTAATTTTGGGATCAAATAGAGAGTACGGATGTCAGCCATGCTGCTGATATTGCCACCCAAAAGCTTGGTGGTAGTAATGGTAAGTTATGATGATGATACCAGCCACAACACGCATTCATCACGTCGTAACAACGCATTTATATATCTATCAGAGGACAAGGGGATCTTTTCGGATGTCATGTCGAGTGTGATGGGCGGTGGTGGCCAACCAAAAGAAGCAGCAGGCGAACAAGACATCAACTTTGCAGCCAAGGCACATGATATGATTTATGGACAGAATCAAAAGTCATCATCTGCACAAGATCTTGGTTCTGCAGCAGCGTTACAAGCATTCAAGATGTTTGCTGGTGGAGACGAGAAGAAGAGTGGTGGAAGTACAGAGCAACTTGCTGGATTGGCCATGAGTGAAGGCATGAAATTATTCATGAACAACAATTCTGGTGCAGGACAAAGTGATATTCTCAAGACAGCTGTTCAATGGGCCCTCAAGTTCTTTATGACACAAAAGATGGGTAGCTCAAGCCCTGGATTTAGTACATTGATGGGCCTTGTAGGCAATATGGGTGGCGGTGGTAATGCCCCAGCTCAAGCTGCTGCAGGTGGTAGTAGTGGTAGTGGTGCAAAAGCACTCTTTGGCAAGCTCATGTCAGTTGTAGGCGGTAACAAATAAAGCATGCGCGTGTAACATCCACTGCCTTTGAATTGTATCTCTCTCTCTCTTTTTCTCTTTTGCGTGTATTATCTTCTCCTCCTCTCTTTTATCTCTTTCACTCACATGTCAAATCACCAAGACCAGCTGGATCTGATCTCTCACGAAATCGCCAATCTCAACGATGAACTTGACTTGGAGACACAAAAACAAAAGCGATTAGACAAGTCCTTAAAAGAACGAAGCGAGGATCTCGATCGACTCAATGCGCAGATCGACAAAGCTAAACGCATCAGGGATTTATTGGAACAAGAAAAGAAGGTCGAGGAAGAGAATGCAAAGTTGGCTGATAAGGTTACCAAAGCACAAGATTGGCTCGAGCAGTGCGAAGAGAATGACAACAAACTAGAACAGCTTAGAGGAGAATTAGCTGAGGTGACAGCACAAGTCGAGGAACTAGAACGTCAAATCGAAGAGAAGAATAAAAGATCATGAAACAAAAAGACCACGTATCATTGTGAGGATTGGGTGCTTTGTATCATACAATGTACACTTGCCCATTGTTTGTTGGATTGTTGTCAAATAAGGAGGTGGCATGAATTAGTGTAGAAACATTATCAGCTGCCTTCGCTTCCTGTCCACTTCCATATTAGCATACGCTTCCCAAAAGAACAAAGAGATTATCCAATAAAGTTGTCATGTGTACATCATATCATCCCCATCCCCAAGTCCATTTATCCTTGTGTGTTTTACTTTTCGACGAAAGTGTTATCCACTTTTCTTTCTCAATCGTACACTCATACAAACATCCTCGAACAACGTCTTCGTTCAATTTGAGCTATGCACTACTTATGTCCACTGATGTACTCTGTTCGAGCGTTGCTCAGTCAAATCCTCTCGAATCAAGACGATTATTTTGGATCATGGAATGAATGTCTGGAGCAGGAGCATCATTCCACTGTCATACAATGGATAAAAGTTGGGATTGAGAGGAAGTGGATGTTAGCTTGCAATACATGATAATGCATAAAGTATCATACAGCGACCCTTCCAATCCTGCAAAACAGCTGTTACACAAACGCGCACCTGCGCATCTTTTGCCCTATTATAGTCATACTACTTCACAATGAACAAAGACCACCCTTCATATAGCATCACGCTTACAGCATAGTAAAAACATAAAGACAGCCATATCTCATGATTTCACAATGAAACGTGGGGTGTTTGATGGAGCAATATGCTCGGCGGGGTCAAAGGAACCTTGTGTGCCAGTTTCACGATCAAGGTGGCCAATCCCAGATTCACTCAATGTCGCCACCAGCCAAAGTGGATCTGGGGGTCGACCTCTTCGACGACGACGACCAAAAAAATATTTTTTGGGCTAGTTGCGACATTGAACGCGAAACTTTCACACAAGGTGCTGTTGGCCAAGCCGAGCCCATTGCTCTATTCAAAACCCCACGTTTCATTGTAAAGTTTGGAGATACAGGCGTCTTTATGTTTGTAAGCGTGATGCTATATGGGAAGTGGTCTTCGTTCAATGTCAAGTCGCTGGACCCTGGCAGAGCAAAAGATGCAGAGGGACCTCTTTGTGTAACTCAGCTACTTTGCATGACTAGAAGGATGGAAGGATGATACTCATACTATTGGATACTGTCCCATACATTGCGAGCTAACAGCTATTTCTTCACAATAGCTCACTGCTGTCCACTCTATTAGGCGATTCTCCTGCTTCAGACATTCATTTCCATGATTGGATTTTCATGTTGATCCGAGTTGATTTGGCTGAGCTACGCTCATACAAGGTTACTTCAGCTGAGCAACATAGAGCATGGTTAGATGTGGATTGACAATCCGTCTTGGCTGTATCTCGGTCAAATCAACTCGATCAACATAATCCAATCATGGAAATGAATGTCTGAAGCAGGAGAATCGCCCACATGTCATAGAGTGGACAACATTGCTGATTGTGAGGAAATGGCTGTTAGCTCGCAATGTATGGGATATTGTCAATAGTATACAGTATCATCCTTCCATCCTTCCAGTCATGCAAAGTAGCTGAGTTACACAAAAGAGAAACTTTCCTGCACTTTTGCTCTGCCAGGGTCCACCTACTTGACAATGAACAAAGACCACTCTCTATATAGCATCACGCTTACAAACATAAAGACGTTTGCAGTCTCAAATTTACAATGAAATGCGGGGTTTTTATTAGAGCAATGGGCTCGGCTTGGCCAACAGCACCTTGTGTGAAAGTTTCGCGTTCAATGTCGCACTAGCCCAAAAAATATTTTTGGTCGTCGTCGTCGAAGAGGTCGACCCCCAGGATCCACTTTGGCTGGTAGCGACATTTGCGAAATCTGGGATTGGCAAGCTTGATCGTGAAACTGGCACCCAAGGTGCAGTTGGCCAAGCCGAGCACATTGCTCTAATAAAAACCCCACGTTTCATTGTAAAGTTTGGAGATACAGGCGTCTTTATGTTTTTACTATGTTGTAAGCGTGATGCTATATGAGAAGTGGTCTTTGTTTAATGTAAAGTAGTATGACTATAATAGAGCAAAAGATGCAGAGGGCGTGTTTGTGTAACTTGAGTCATTCAGCACAGGCGATGCATGATTCTTGTACACTATTTAGGAATAGTTTAAAATGCCAGCTAATAACCTTAGTCCTCCCATTCTCCATTGTTGTCCAATCCAATGCATACGAACGATTGTCCTGCTCCAGCCCAGCATGCCCATCATTTAACTTTCTTGATCCGATGAGATTTGACCGAAAAACGCTCAAACACAGAAACATCATCCAATATCAGAAGAATCAAGTTGGTAAGTTATTTGTAAACTGCCGGCTAATAGCCCATTCCTTCCATTCACCTTTGTTGTCCGATCCAATGCACACGAACGATTCTCCTGCTCCAGCCCATCATCCCCATCCTTCAACTTCCATGATCCGAGAGGATTTGACTGAAAAACGCTCAAACACAGAAGTATCGCCCAATATGAGAAAAATCATTTTGCAAAGTTATTTGTAAACTGCCAGCTAACAGCCCATTCCTCCCATTCACCTTTGTTGTCCAATCCAATGCATTCGAACGATTGTCTTGCTCCAGCCCAGCATGCCCATCGTTACTTTCTTGATTCGAGTAACCTGGTAGTAAGGTAATGGCTGTTGTTGGATCATCATTATCATGTAAAGTGTAAAATGGCACACCTTTAGGATCTGTAGTACCTGTACGTGTACCTATTGTCTATTACGAGGATGATGATGGGTGGATAGTGTGTGTATAGGGTAATTGAGTGGCCTCAGTGTAATAGCAGTAGGGGATTTAAACTTGGGGGTCAGTAGCTCCCACGACGAGACAACGCTTATCTTCTTTCTCCCCTTTCCTTATTGTCCACGCTTGTATGATCAAGGTAATGTACTGTAAAGGAATGCTCTTGTTGGCTGTGAGGTATTAATGTAGTTCTGAACATACGTGTCGGGAGTTAGCTGAAGGAATAGGCGTGGACGAGGTGGTTGGTGGTTGCCATGGCGATATTGTTGCTTCCTGCTGTCATTGCTATTCCCGCCTTACGCTTGGTGTCAACAGGTACGTCAGAGTCCAATCTTTGCAGCCAATTGGTTTAATCGAGCGCGTCAGCTTGTATAGAGGGCAAGTTTGGTTTCAAGACGTTGGCTGGTTTGGCGTTTTGTTTCAGCTCAACTATACTACACCATGGTTTTCGGTTTCCAGTAACCAACAACAACGGGTCTTTGTGTATGGAAAAGGCAAGTACAATGAAACAGACAATGAAAAGGGTGTTTATTGTGTGTGTGCTAATAATGAATTGAATAGGTTTCTTTGGTCAGGCAATGCAACTTGGGGCATCATCATCATCTCTTTGGGTTCAAGTCCCGGCCTGTATCAAGTGGCCACTACATCGCTCTGCACTAGCCAAGTGTGCTGACTTCTTGGAACGCGTCAGGGCTCTATAGGCCTGCGTTGAGTTGAGGATAGATTCGATGACGATGGATTTTGGAAGAGCATGGTCACCGTGTTGAGGTAAAAGGGGATTTGCCGGCCGTGAATGTGTTGACATCGGTGCGAACCAACAGCTCTTCTCGTGATAGGCTCGTTCTTTCCTTGAGGTTTTCTTTTCATGAGGTGGGAAATGATTGGAAGGATTGGATTGGGGATCATTCTTTCTTTGGAGAGGATAGATAAGAAACTATGAGCCTGGCCTTGCGTGATCGTGCGGTGCTTTCCTCAAGAAGTCGAATCGCCCGACGTTGCTCGTGGTGGGTGGCGTTTGGTTTGTGAATTCTTTCTGATTTGCTTTCTTCCTTGGAGAGGATCTCGCTAACGGTGACAAATCGTCATCATTCCCACATTATCAGATGGTCTACTTGGCTGCTTTTTACTTATAGGAACACTACGGCGAACACGATGATTACGACATTCACAGCAACAAACTACTACGATCACCACATTCACAACAATGACAATGATAACGACAACGAGATTCAAAAGAGGCTGCAAGATCTCATTCTTTTCAACTTGTTTGTTTTTATTGGGTGACGGATGCCGATTGACGGCCGGTGACGAGTACGGATGATGACGGACGACGACACGAGGACGGTGGTAGCGGTAGCAAGATAGCTAGATGAAATGACATTGTTGTACAGGCTTGGACTTTAGCTTGTGGATTATACTATTGGTTCGAAGATGAATAATAAAGGTGGTTGGTTATCCGGTCATCACAAGCAGTATATAGGTTTTGTGATACAATAAGAAGGGAGTGGGAAGTGGGGAGGGCAGAAGAGATAAAGTGAAGTGATCCCTGCATTGAGTTTCAGGATGAGTGACCGATCAATATGTATATGCAATTGTATGTAGCTTATTCCTTTCTTATTGCTTGTGGATTATAGCTTAGATGATGGGATGATAAAAGTAGCTCCTGTGATCGGTCTTGTAATAAGGATAAGCACTCTATTTTTTCATATGGAACAAGCGCAATGATGATGCATCTCGCAGGCTTCTTACTACAATTTAATGATTGAGGTGGGCAGCTGTTCCACTTGGATGATTTCAACAGCATTGTATCTTAGTTGCAGGATAAAGTAGAGACTTGGTTACATATAAAACAATGTGGAATGAAACGCATTAATGATGGCATCGATACCACGACAACATGGATAGATAAGATGAGCACGTCATAACAACATCACTAGGATCGTGAGTTTTCGTTTTCAGTTACGTACTTGATAGTGCGTTACAATATCAGACATGCAAAGGCAGAATGTATGTCAATCAAGAACATGGTTTAATGATTACGATATGTACTAGAAGATAAACAAGTAGCTGTTGGTTTCTCAGCAAGGCTTCAGTACTCACAGGATGACCAACGAGAAGGTCGCTACTCAACCATCCCCAACCTCTACCTGTAGGCACCAATTCGGAATCGACAGGGGCGCTTGTAAATGCCACTTTAAGGTGCCGGGACTTGACGCGCCAAA